GCACAGAGCTCAGTCAGAATCAAAAAGCTGGGGGAAGGTAGGGGAGCTGGCCAGGCAGAGTGGACGGGTCTCTGTTCCTAACCTTGTCAGCTGTCCATCTGCTGGGCGTGGAGGTTGCACCTCTAGGGCCAGAGTCACCAGCAGCTTTTGCCAAACCTTAGAGAAATATCAGGAGCACAGGCTCAGGGAGGCCATTTGCATCGCAAAGGACCTCACACATAGACGTGCTATCTTTGCACATTTAGAGGCTCCTCATGAGGACTGCAGGTTCCTCTTCAGTTAGTGGCCCCTGCACGGCCTCTGGCAAGTCTGCCTGTCGGTGTCTTCATATACAAGTGGCTGTTTTTTAATTAATCACTGAAACAAGGTCAAGATGGCCCCACCATTCCCAGCTGAGGTCTGGGGTCACCCGCAAAAGTGCCTCCAGCTGCACAGGAACACCGTGGCAGCCAAGTGCTGAGAACAGTCTGCTCACAAGATGTTCTCAGTAACTGTCAGTTATTTTTAAGAGAAAGACTATTATCGAAGCGGATCTGGGCTTCGGGAGACTTTCCTTTGCTTAATGGCTCCCCTTTAACGTGCTTACATTTTAACTCGACAGTCACCATGCGGCATCGCAGCCTGTTAGAGCTGGCAAAGGTCTAGGAGCTACCCAGTCCACAATGCCCTTCACGGTTGACAGCTAAATTGGAAATCTAGAAAAATCCGGCAACATCTTCTCTGACCAGGCTCCTGAGCTGGGAGATTTCCCCTTTACTGTAATTGGGGGGTCACTGGCAAATGGCCGGTCCTCTGCTGCCCTCTGGAGGCAAGTTGGGGGAATTGTCTTATGTACAATAACAGAAAACACAGTCGCCCAAAGAAACTTCCTTTGCAGAGGCTCAAAAAGCATGTAAGAAAGTCTCTACAGGGGGCACCAACATAGCTCAGTCGGGGATGTTTACACTGAAGCAAGTCTCTACACACTGTCTCAATAATGAAGTCAAAGTAAAAATTATTACAAGTTGCAAATATTTGTATTTGCAAAAGCCACAAATCATGTAAGGGACTGTTCCTTTTGAGCATGCAGTTTCCCTGTGTCATGCATTCTCCATTGGTTTGAAAGGGTTGGTTATGTATGAACAGACCAACTGCTAGGCTTTAACCACCTACATATACTAGCTAGATCTTCTAACAATGCAGAAGGAAGGTCTACCTGGTGATGGTGGGCTGCCCAAGGTTGGGACCGAAGTGGTCGTGGAGTGCATGATACCAGAGAATTTTCTCTATTCTTGCAAATTGTTATGAAGTGATGCTAACATGAGCATAACTTCAATTTCTTTTTTTTTTTTTTGAAAAATTTATTTATGCAAGCACTGGGTACAGTCAGAAGTGTGGGAGGGTGAGAGAATTCACCAGAGCCACCGAGGGGAACGGAACAGGCAGACTATTGAAATACACTGCTGAGGGGAGCAGCGGGCGGCAGGAGAGGTCTGCGCGCCATGTGGGACCCTCCTCTGGTGGCCGGGGAGCAGCCAGGGATCGAACCGGCGCTGCAGAGGCTGCGGGCAGCTTCGCAGCCCAGCACTCAACCACTGTGCCACCAGGGGAGGCCCAACTTCAATTTCTTATAAATTTATTTCCACCTTTGTTAAGGAAGCACTACGATGCACACACCTATATCATTCTAACATTTTATAAAACTCATCTCTTCTGACAAAAATCAAGAAAGAATATATTTTAGGGCCTCCCTGGTGGCACAAGGGGTTAAGACGCAACCTATGAAGCTACCCACACGGCGCAGCAGACCTCTCCTGACTCGCCCGCTGCTCCCCTCAGCAGTGTACTTCGGTCAGCCTGCCTGATTTGCTCCCCACTCTGTCTCTGGTGAATCCTCTCACCCCCCGCATCTCTGGCCTGTACCCCAGCTGTTGTGTGCATAAATAAATAAATCTTTTTTTTAAAAAAGAATACATTTTACCAAATGCCTCTTGGCCATCCAAAGGACAAATCATACAATGTTTTTTTTCTTTTGGCCTTGAAATGTGGGTGATTCCTTACTAACAGTTCTTAGTAGTGAACCATTTGTGTATCTTCAAATGAAGCCCCTTGATCACAGTTAATATTTTAAAAAATGTGTAGCAAATTGTATGTCTTGTTTTGCAATTCTTGCATTGCTTGTTCTTAGTGAAATTGGTCTACGAATTTTGGCTGCTATTGTTATTTTGGGGTGCGTTTTGTCCAGTTTGGGCACTAATAATACACTTGAGCTCGTCCTCCCCGGGCTCTGAGGCTGCTTCACTCGCAGGCTCCATAGCCTCTCGTGATCGCTATCCATTCAGCCGCCCCTGCTCCTGGAAATCAGGGGGTGGCCCTGAATCTTCCACACTCCAGTCACAGGCCATTACCCTGGCAACCAGTCCTCCCTCAGACGCCCTCCAAATCAACTCATTCACATAGACTCAGTGTGGACTGGGGCTTATTTAGGATAATGAGACACACCGTTCACTTTGGGGGCACAGAAGCCCTATCAGGTACCAAGGATGAGACACCAAGTATTTGGACAAAAGGTGCCGCCAGTCCTAGGAAACTGCAGCGGTTTAAGGAGCCCTGTGCCTGCACCAGGCCAAGGCCAAACAGACACACCTTGTTACAAATCAGTATCCCATTCCCGCTCTCTTTCCTGCACTTTTCTGTTTTCTCTCTTCCCTCTGGTTTACCTTTCGCGCCGCTGCCTCCCTTAGTTTCAAAAGACTCTGAGATAGATTTTGTAGCTTTACTGTTTTTCTGTTCTAACTAGTAGGGTGATTTTTTAAGATTTACACTGAAGACACGTAACGTGTGGCATGTTCTCCTAAGTTTGCCACAGGTGGGACCATGAAAATTCTCCATCATGGCGACAGGGTTAAGGGGACGGCTGGGTTCGAGCCCACACCCAGCAAATGCCATCCTGTGTGGACTGGGTGCTGAGAAGCTCCGCACATCTGCAGAGACAGCTGGTGTCTCCTCACCTCCTGCCGAGCCCCGGGGCTACTAGACATCTTTGTAGCAGCTGTGATGGGCCTGTCGCCTGGAGACTTGGTCTGGGAATGGGGGCAGCTTTATCCAACTCGGTAGTCAGTTTTGAGAGTGAAGAAAAAAGAAAACCCAAATCAGAGTTTGTGAGGGAAACTTAGAAAAGGAAGGAAAGCAGAGCTGAGCTGGAAGAGCTCAGTGAGAACAGAGGGCCTGAGGACACCTGCCTGGGAAGGGGCAGACCTGGAGGGCTTCATCCACAGCACTGACCTCTGTGGACACGCCAGGCCCATTCTACAAGGGTGTTAAGGCCAAAGCACCACTCCTTGGAGGCTGGGTCCTCCCCCGAGGGGGAAGGTCACCAACACCAGTCCCTCACCCATGGGGCACGCAAGGCTTCTGTCAAGCCACCTTGACAGCTGGGTGGATTCCAATCCAGGTCTCACTTCAAGGTCACCTGTTGCCTGCCTTGTCACCACCCTCACCTAGACTTCGGAGGATTGAGCCAGTCGCACCAGCAGTGAGCAGAGACAGAGGCGGGAGGAACCCAAATACCACCAGCCAATACCTCTGCGGCCTCACAAGCCAGCTCTACCCCAGGATGTTCACGTGCGCATTTACTCCCTCCTGGGGAGCGAATTTAGAACAAGGGAGTGCTTTTGTTCTTCCCAGGAAGTCTGAGTGTAACCAGAAAAAGAATATTTTAATTTGCACGCAGGAGTCAGGAACGAAGGAATGTTTTGCAGACATTCACTTGGGTGATTCATTCTGAGATTGCAGTTCTAGCTTTAATTAGATCAGAAGCAGAACTCCTTGAGCTGAAGGAAGGAAAGTGTAGCTCTGTGTTTTCAGGAGAGTGTAGCTTGGAAAGCAGAGAGGTTTCACGGAAAACAGAGACTGTCAAAGAAGCCTTTTTTACAGGAAAAAGAAAACAAGCAAAGCGCCTTCACTCCTTTGTCCAGGAAAACCTTGCACCACTCTGAGATCCTGGTTCATAGGACCCTTTGTTTTGCTTCTTTATCTGTTTTCCCTCTGTGCTGGCCTCCCTGGCCTCTCCCTGAGTCTCCCTGTGGACACGGACTGAGACCCCACCCGCTGGAGCGTAAATTCAGCACAAGCCTGTTTCAAGGAGCCGCTGTGCCTCTTTGTGTCCAATGCAAACCATTCAGGAGAGGCGCGTCAATTCCCCCATTGTGGATGGGTTCCCCACTCTGCGTTTTAAATATACGAACCACTGTTCATTTTTCTATGGGGTTTGCTCGCCACATAATTAAACACAAGACGACACTCAATACCTCTGATGTTGCATCTTCTCTGGACAGTGGAAGTCCAAGAATTCTCCTCCAAGAAGGGAACAGAGCAGGCGAGAGAAGAGAGAGCTTACACAGTCAGCCCTACTTGGGATTTTTTTTTTTTTACCTTTGACGCAGTTTTCTTTGAAATATTTCAAGTGCAATTGGAATTGCAATTTCAGAAGAGTTTGTGAATCAACACAAAAGATAAGCCAGATCCAGTGAGGAAGCTTCATCACACAATAGCAAATTTATATAAAACCTATTCAATTTCTAAACCTTTATGTTTGGATTTTACAAATGTTGCTAGAAAGGCAGAAAAGCGATGACACAAAAAAACACAAAGAAACTCTCCAAACACAACTGATTTCAGTTTTGCATGTTCCAGCTGTGGTTCTATTAATGTAGTCATGGAATTTCGACTTCTCAGGCTACACGAGAGAAAGAAAACTCAGAGCAAGACGCAGTTGCCAAAGGTGGGAAGTGTTTGCAGCACACCTTCTAGGGCACCCCACACAGTCCTGCCTGGACACATTACTCAGCCTCCAACCAGATTACCCCTTCCTACCCCCACCTCCCAGATTCCTATTTCTCATTGACTAGCTAAGCCCAACATGAAAATAAATCCTTCCTCCTTAAGTAACATGTGATTGTTATTTTATTGTTAAATAAAACTTCTTTGCAAAAGAGACAAAATATTCCACACACACACACACACACACACACACTGCCCCAGTGCTTAATGCACTGTCAGGCATACAACATACTAAATTAACACAAGACAAAAGCTATTTGGGTCTTCTTATGGCTTGAAAAATCTCTCTCTCTCTCTCTCTCTCTCTCTCTCTCACTCACACACACACACACACACACACACACACACACACACGCGCACAAGCATGCTCTCAATTTTAAGATATCCTTTATTTAAAGAGTTTAGTTGATGAGATTATTTTAAAGCCATTCCCGAGTTTTTCCAACAATTCACTCACCTTATTTCCCTCTTTCAGGTAAATACAAAGGCTACCGTCTTACAATGAAAATATTTCCACCCCTAAGCTAGAGATAACACCTTGCATTTTTAATAACAGGCAGAAAAACGACCCTTCCATTTCCCAAAATATTCCAAGTTTCTCATCTGTCTCTTCCCATTAGAACTCTCTTCTCTCCTGAAATCACGGACCGGTGATAAAGAAGAACACATCACGGTTGCCACACTGAACACTTGTACATTTTATTGAGTTAAATCAGCCATTGTACACATTGCAGCTATGTATTGTTAGTGCTGTATTTTTTTTCCATTAACTAATACATGCCCTCATAGATATATTCAATTAGTGTTATCACCATGGGAACAAGATGCTGATTCATCAACTGAAAATTCACTTCTTCTCACAGTATTCAAGTTTTTTGATTACACAGCAAAAATCAAAATCAAAGAAGGTGAATAACCATTATGTTGTTACACAGACATCATCTGCACTGCAAGGAACACGACAGAATGCTTTTCCGGAGCTCCCGTGAAGGGATTGACAAGCAGGCCGTGGTGGTGTGTCTCAGGATGCTTCGCCCTGGGCCTCGCTCATGGGGCCGCCCAGGGAAGCTTGATTTCCCATTCAACTGCCAGAAAGTGCTAGCGTCTGAGGCTTAGGAAGAGTCGGCTTGTGGGAAACCTCCCTCCTGGGAAATGCTCTCTCTTGGCAACGTTACTTGAAATGATGAAGAACCATTGTTTGTTGCATATGTTCTCGACATTTGGAGCCACGAGTCACTTTTGCACAACAGGAAAAGACCAGATCGGGTTGGAAATCGTTCAAGCCCTGGAGGAGAGCCTCTGGGGCGGTTGGTGTTGGTTGTTTTTTAATTTCATCTTTGTTGAATATACTTTTCTTTAACAAATAACTGATTCAAAATGTATACTGTTTATAGGAATATATTTGTGAATATATATATATGTTAAAATGCTACACAGCTTCAACCACTAGAGAAATAAGGAAGCGGACGTGGAAATCACTCAGATTATTCAGGTCCATTCTTGGAAACAAACGAACGAGAAAATGCACACACGCACTTCAGAGTTCCCCAGGGAGTTTGGGCTTCAAATAAATAAACCAAAAAAATGTTATTATTAACCATGACCAAATTTGTCAGGGTGTCTCAACCTTGTCTGCAAGCTAAAAAACAGACTGAGCTGAAACGTTGAAAAGTGCTTACTTCCTGGTAAAAAGAATGAAACCCATTCATGAATGAGATCAGAAGAGGGGTTGTGACTATGGTTCCAATGCTTTCAATGCTCCATGCAGGTATTAGAGAAGATATAAACAGGGAGGAAAAAAAAAAAATGAAACTGCTCCGACATGGCGGGAGGAGTTGAACTTTTTGTGTGGTAGGTAAATTTCGTTTCCAATTGAGTTATGTACAGTGCAGTGGCCTGAAGATGGCGCCACCAATAAGACAGCGTGGTTTGCTAAAGCAGCAATGAAAACTGGAAAAACTACAGTAGTTATAGCTTTTTAAAATACCCTGCCAACGTGTCCAAAATCGAAAAGACCTGAAGATGCCAGAAAGCCACAGCGCGTAGCTCCCAGCAGCTGATACCTCATTGCTTCGATGTCTGCCATCTGCTCCCTTCCTGCCCTCCTCAGACTGGCTGGGGGAGAGTGAGAAGCCATGGCTGGGCCGCACCAGCACCAGGGTGTAGTGAGGGAAGCTCCTGGAGGTTAACAACCCATCTTTAACTAGGAGCCATGGCTACTCTGGAAGTTCTAAGGACGTGGTACGTCTGAAGTGCTTCTTGGCGGTAGAACTGTGTTATCACTCGATTGTGTTAGCAATATCTTGATTAGCCACGGTCCAGCCATTTCTAGAGGCGTTTTATTCCTTGATGCCCAGTGTAGTTATGATAGGCAGTGGTTTAAATTTTAACAGGTCATTCATCTGAGCATTTTAGCTATATACATTGTACACGGATGTCCCTCCCAGAGACTCCGAGACACCGTCACTTGAAGAGGTCTGCGGGTGAAGTTCTTCTGATGAATGGATTTCCATGGAGCTTGTGCAGAAGCCAAGAACGAATGGGTGGCCAGTTCCCAGGTTAGCACAGACCCAACAGGGAAGTGGATACAGCATCCAGAATGAGGGATGCTATCTTTGGTCACAAATTAGCTTACAGTTAAAGAGGATTGGGGGGAAACTGAAATAAAACGCAGTGTGTTTGCTAAAAGTGGAACTGCCAGGTAGCCCGTGGATTAGGCCTGCTAGGTTGCTCCGCTAGAGAATCGGGAAGTTGCATATTGAGTGAATGTGGTTGCTGGGGTGAGAACTGGGCGGCCCCTCATTTGGCCTCTTGCTTGGAGTCCTCCTTGCTGAAATGCCGAAGGAGGCGCTGGAGGTCGCGCTGGAGGTCATCCTGGTCTAGTGCTTCCGGTACATCCTCCAGGTGCTCCAGGTAAATGCGTTTTCCGTGCTGGTCCTTCACCACAGCCTTCTTCTGTGTACTGGCCTTACTCATTGTTGTCCTGGAGGAAAGCAGACAAGAGAGAATTATGCTCTGTGTTTGGTATGGGGGTATAACCACGATGCAAAAGTCCTTCCTGTCTCACTTCTAGATGTTTCTACACCCAGAGAGGAGTACAATCAAAGCCATCTTTTCAGGTCTTTCTGTTAAACATGCATTCCCATCTGAAATGATTGGCGAGCTTTTTAAAGATGTGATTGGAACAAGGCATGCTTTTATCTTAAAGAAATACGCTCAGAAAATAAAAACATGCTTTAGGATGCTGCTCCCCAAAAGCTACCATAACATCACTTGTATTTTGGTGCAGGATGCCCTGATTTAAAATAACTTGGCTTATCCTCAAATAGTGATTCCATAAATACATTTTTGATAGGAAAAAATAATCTTTTCCACTTTAAAGTCGATTTTATTCAATTCATCTATTTTATTTAATATTCCTTAGCTGCCAGCTTAGTCCTTTAGAGGCACATCCTGATGCAAACTTCTCAAAAATGTTCTGAGAGAATTGCTCCTTGACAGATATTTAAAAACTAGAATATTATCCTGGAATATTACAGGAAAGGGACTGCCAACAATAGATGAAGATTCAAGCTTTATGTGGCAACGGTGGAGAAGACAGAGAAAAAAGAAAAAACTAAAGACTAATCCTTCCCCAGTCTTTCCAGCATCCTCGGCACTTTGCCAATTTTATGTCACCTATGGCCATCGGATTGTCCGCAGCTCCCTCCTCAGGCTGGTGATTCCTTAAGAATAGTGACTATGCAGTACTTTTACATTTTGTATTATTATTTTCCCACAGCCCTCCTTGAAAATGATTACATGGTCTTTTGTTTACTCTTAGTTCTTCTCGCTCTCTACTTGTAAATACAATTCCTCAGTCCACAAATATGCAGTGAGCCTGTTTTAAGTACCAGTCATGTTTATTATAACAAACAAGGAAACTTCATCTCAGAGAACTAAATCAATGCTCCAAATAAAAAACAGCACATTTAGCATGCAGCAGGGCCAAGAGGCAGTGTCTGCATCTGAAACCACAACGTCCTGGCTCATCTCCACCTCAAACCACTGTCGGAATGATCCATTTGTAGCTCTGCCCTGCATTTTCCTGAAGGATTCTTAGAGACCAGGGCTGGAGGCTCTGTTGATGGGCTGCCCTTGTCGTTACCCTGCATTTCAGAACACTGTGAAATTTTGAACTGTGGCTTACTTCAGCCAAAATACTTTCAAGCTTCTTTTGCACATCTGTGGTTTTGTCCTTGCTTCTCACATGTTCTCTTACTCATCCATTCCCTTTGATACTACTTGAATGATTTTGTATATGAAAAAAAAACTTCCATTTGTTCCTCTTGATAAAAAGGTCACACGTGGACCCAATGGTTTAGTTCAAGTGATGCTTTCTGACATTTAGCATTCTTCTTTCGCTCCAAAGGCAGCTATCTGACTGCTTCTGCCAAGAACTAGCAGAAAACTTTATGGCACTGGTGTCAGGGGGCCAGAACATTCCCCTTTGTCACAGGACATCACCTGGCGTTTGTGCAGGTTTATATGATGGATGTGTTTATGAATGTGCATCTGTCAATAAATGACAGGAGCCAGGGCTGAGTTTAGATGCAGGCCAGGGGAGCAGCAGCTGTGAAGACATGTCCTTAGTAAGCATCAGACAGACTCCCTTAACTGTGTCTCTGAGGAACCAGACTGTGCTGTCTGTATCCCTGGCTTCACATTCACCAGCTGTGCTGAGAATGCAGATGGACTGGCCTCTCCATCCCTCCAGGCTTAGGACACCAAGATGCCGGGGCCTGCATGGTTGCTGTGGTTTCATCTGAATAAATGACTTTGAAGTTCAGAGTACAAAAAGCACTTTATCCTTAATTCATGCAGCATTTTTCAAGTTCTGTGAGCAATTATGCTCTTTTAAATTCCTAGCTACTGCTGTTTTTCACATGTGACTGGAGGGTGGGATCCTGACAGAACCTTTAATTTCGCTGTTCTAATTATTATGTTTTATGGACTAAAATTAGCTTTGGAGAGTACTATAAATGACAATCTTTCTCTTCTTTTCAATGAGGTGAAAAGCACAATAGTAACTTGAATTTCCATTGTGTCTCTCTTTTCACAGTGCAGCTGCAACATTTTATGAATACTTACAGTGCTGCTAAATAAGGCCAAGAGAGAGATGAGGGTAGACCAGGGAGAGTTCACACACCAGAGAGCCTTTTCTATGCCAAGGAGGCTGCTCACCACTTCCTTGACATTTTCTTAACTTACTAAAGGCCCAGGTTTCAGCATCGATGGGTAGATTCAGGTTCATGGGTGTCAAACGCAAGCATATGTTATTTGCCATCCACATGCAGAGTCACAAAATATTGTGTTAAGAAAAGCATGTTACTGGCTCTCCTTGGTGGCACAAGGGGTCAAGATGCAGCCTGTGAAGCTGTCCGCAGTCTCTGCAGCGCAGGTTCGAGCCCCGGCCAGCCAGGGAGATACCCACATGGTGCGGCAGACCTCTCCTGTCGTGCCTGCTGCTCCCCTCAGCAGTGTATCTCAGTCAGTCTGCCTGTTCTGTTCCCTGCACTGTCTCTGGTGGATCCTCTTACCCCCTGCATCTCTGGCCCATACCCCAGCTCTTGTATAAATAAATGAGTCTTAAAAAAAAAAAACAAAAAACAAAAAACTGATGTTTAAAAAAAAGCAAGTTACTGTGAAAGCAATGATTTTCTAAGACTGAACCGAAGGCAAATGTCCCAAGATGAAGTGGTGAACAATTGCTTGGGCTCCTCCTCCTATGCTCTCCAAATCTATCAACACAATGGAACAACTGGGCTGTCTGCCCTTAACGAAACTCTGGACTTGCTACACTCAGGGAGGGCGCTGTGAACTGGCATCTCGCCACCACTGTGTGTGACTCTGAAAGCATCGCGAGGGTGCTCAGGCACTGCAAGCTGACGGGGTCACCCCTTGACAGTACAACAGAGGCAGCTGTGCCCAAGTGTTAAGGGCCTGTGTGGGGGCTCTGTTTTTATTTTACACTGGAAAACTTTTTTAAGGTGTTAGTTGGCAAACCATCACCCCATGCTAACCCAAACCTCTTAATTACGGATCCATCCTCTTTCAGTATTTCATTCTCTACTAAACTGGGCAAGTGGACTTTCAGGCGGCTACCTGTGTAACTCAGAGCCTGAAGGAAGAAAACACACAAGCGAGACAAAACCATTGTAAACCACAGGTTTGTAAATGTTCTGCTTTGCCTGATTGCTTGACGGTATAAACACACACCTTGAAAGGATAAAAATAATTCTTAGAAGCGGACCGAAGTATTGGGTTGTGTTTAAACATCTCCCGATTGCCTGGGACATTGGTTCTACTTTACAAATGTTGCTACCTCATATCCATACAGGTTAGTTTTTTTTTGTACCTCGACAGTCCCCGTTCCTTCCTCAGGGAGGTTTTAATGATTAACAAGAAGTAGAGGCAAAAACAAGCAGCAAATAAAACCCAAAGTGTGTGGCTCAGATTATTGGTCTTTTGATGATCCAAAGTTACCAGGTGTCAAAATGAGAACTGCAAAATCCAAATAAGTTACGCTTTCGAGCCTCCCTCGTGGCCTTGGGGTTAAGTGTCTGTCACTGCTATGGCCTGAGTTCTATCCCCGTCCGGGGAGCTGACCCACATGGCGCAGCAGACCTCTCCTGTCTCCCTGCTGCTCCCCTCAGCAGTGTATTTCAGTCAGTCTGCCTCCTGTTCTGCTCCCCACTTTGTCTCTGATGAATCCTCTCACCCCCTCAACTCTGGCCTGTACCCACAGTTCTTCTATGTAAAAATAAAAGAAAAAAATAAGGTGAATTTTTATTATTTTTTTAAGATTGATTTATTTATGCATACAAGAGCTGGGGTACAGGCCAGAGGTGCAGGGGGTAAGAGGATTCACCAGAGACAGAGTGGGGAACAGAACAGGCAGACAAACTGAAATACACTGCTGAGGGCAACAGTGGGCTAGTCAGGAGAGGTCTGCTTTGCTATGTGGGTCAGCTCCCTAGCCGGGAATTGAACTGGTGCTGCAGTGGCTGTGGCTAGCTTCATAGTGCTGAGACTTAACCCCTTCCGACACCAGGGAGGCCCAGTAAGGTAAACTTTCAATGTCCCAGTGCATTCATATATAATCTTAATGCACACAGGGAGTGTAGAGGAGAAACCCAAGTAACATCTAACTTGAAAAGGTTTCCATAACAGAACTTTTTTGCAAATGTTTGCACACGCTCACAGTTTTTTAGTTTAAACCCTTGGGGCCAGATGTGCTTAGAATTCAGATATTTTTCCTTTTGCATTTCTGACAAGTGAGATGCACAGACGGATACTTCAATAGCCCCACTGAGGTAGGGACAGCATCCTGCAGTCAGACACATTGGTAGATCAACAGCAAAGCATGAATATAAAGTCACTGTAGCTCAGGTCACTTCATATTCACTTTCCTACAAAAGAGTTTGCTATGAACTTAAAAAACTTGTTCTGATTTTCAGGATTTTTGGATTTGGGAATCAAGGCAAGGGTTTGTGGACCTGTCACTCCAATTGTTGGAAACCAGAACTTAAGTAAACTATAAATGCTTTTTAAATTTATGGGTGTAAAATACGTCTGAATTTTTTTTCTTGCCTATTCATGGAATACTTGAAAATATTAGCTAAGAAAGGCAATTTTTGTTTGACATCATGCTTTCTTTTCCTTATTAGCTGGAGTAAAGGGCACTTCTGGTGTGTCTTCTGGGGCTTCTAAGTAAGATGCGCAGCCAAACCCCAGCTCCGATTCTGAGTCAGCAGAAGTGACTCCTGGTCATCTGGATTTTGAGAAGCTCTTAAGATGGGACCACAGGCTGAGAAACACTGATTTCACCATACAAGTTACTCGAATAGGAATCCTACTGTCTTGAAATATTCTGGATCCTTCCATGAGTACATAACATATACAACACAATGAAAAATGCTTTTCAAACACCAGGGAAACATGAATCTCTCTCTCTCTCTCTCTCTCTCTCTCTCTCTCTCTCTCTCTCTCACACACACACACACACACACACACACACAAAGACAAAGTGATGAAGCTTCTATACCTCTTCAAAGTCATCTTTGGCTGAAGGAAGATCAGCGGCTAAACTAGCATCCCCCAGGTGTTTCTCCATCCTCTCTCCATGAACCACAGTTGTTTTAACAACTTTGCTGACTCTACGGCCTTCCACTGGTTCAGCCTGAAACTGTGAGGTACTGCACAAAATGCTGGGCTCAGACAAAGTCACCTAATGAATGAAGGACACACAACATGCAATTTCTGCCTGCCAAAATGGAACAAGGAAGCAATGAATCAAAACAAAAAGCCACAATGTTATACAGTAGTCTGGGAAAAAAAAAAAAAAAAAAAAAAAAAAAAAAAAAAAAAGACAGCCTATAATGAATTGGTAACATCTACACAATGACTTTACCTAGACGGCACTAAATCAACCACTCCATCACTTGTGTGAAAATCTGTCAGGAAGTTTCCTGAGTAAAGGAATCCACTCCTCAGACCAACACGCAGGGAGAACAGTGTGTGGGTGGCCTCTCTCTCTCCCACATTTAAATGGTTTGTCTTGTTTGTGGATTTGAGAGCAGCCCTCCAAGGAGGAATTCTCAGAGGCAAGAGAAATCTAAAAAGCACATTTCCAGAGAACCTTGTAGATAGAATAATACAATTTCGAGGTGGTGAATGAATGCAAGACAGTGGGAATGTCACAAACAGCATGTCAGAGGGAATAAACATGTTTCCGAAAGATTGAAGTCAAACAGAAAGAAATAAAACCATTCATCAAGGAGCTCCTGGGTCCTGATTTTAGCAACTGAAATGCAGATGCTGGAATTTCAAGTATTAATCTGCAGTTCCCCAGGAACGCCTGCACGCCAGGCAGCCAGGAGTTCTGGAATACATCTTAGATGGGGTCTTTTCCAACACACCGCGTGCCCAGCAAGTGGGCTTCTAGGCTCTTAAAATCTGTCATTCGGGTGTCTGCTGTGGTCAATGACAAATTAAATAGAAAACAGAAATGAAAAGACCCAAAGAAAGACCATGGCTACAACGGTGACCATTCTTGATGGTTCTTTCAAGGTTCCACCCCATCCTGAGGCAACAAATGCAGGTGCCCCTGAGGGCCACGTACGTGGAGACCCCAGTGCCGTAGGAAGGGCCACAGGATCGCGCTGGACTCACCTCTGACTGTGCCGAGTCGCTCTTCAGGACAACGCGCTTTATGACTTTGGAATAACCGTCTCCGTCCTCCAGGCTCACCGGTTCCTGGGGCATTCCCTGCATCGTGATCTCCTCCTTCTCAGTGCCATCCGAGGAGACGTACCGCCTGATGATCTTCCTGGTAACCTGGAAGAGAGTTTATTCATGCATCTTGTTTCTCGTGGCCAGGGCATGGTTCCTGGTAGCCAGCGGGGCTGAGAGCCCACGCAAGCAGACAGGGGCCAGTACCTTCTTTATCACCGTGTGTCCCTGCTCATCGACGTACTCTTCTTGTGTGACTGTTTCCGGGGGTATATCAGGCATATCGTCTCCCTGCAAGGAGAGGAAAGAGGCCGTCAGCATGGGCACCGATGCTGAGGAATTACGCCCGCGTGTGTTATCAGGTGAGCGTTGTTAGCCAAGAGAAGGAACTCCCCAGAAGCATGGCTGAGATGCCAATCCTGTCAAGTAGTATGCTTAAAAGAAAAACACACAACCAAAAATAAGTGGGTAACGACATGCTTGGGAGAATCTGACCAGAGTTAGGTAAACTTGAAACAAACAAAACCGGAGAAGCGCCAGGTGAGGCAGTGGGACCCCGTGGGAGGTAAGTCGTGCGATTGCCGTGGGCTGTCTGGAAGGAAGGCTGCGTCTGGCGTTGCCTCCACATTTGCTCCAAGCAAAACTGGGGCGAGTTAAGGCATCTGCCGGAGTGGCCATGCACTATCCAGGGAGCATGCCAAGCCTGCATGGCTCCAGATCCATCACTCTCTAGGAGCTACGGGGACAGAGCTGGCCTGCGCGTGCATCATCTGACAGCTGGTACCTGAATGATCACTCGCCGGCGAACCACCCTGGTAGTGACCATCGCTTCCTCATCTGAGCTGACCTCCAGCTCACCTAATTCTTGCGTTAGCTCCTGGTGGAAGCATGGAAGCATGGTTTTGTTTATCATTCTAAGGAACTTCTTCGCCATGGCTTTCTGCTTAGGTTTTCTGAACATCTCATTCACAGAGGCTTTGGCAGAAAGGCTAGCCTCAAACTTGAGTGAGAATATAATGCTTTTCAGTGAATGAAAAATAATTCTGGAATTCTGACAGCATCTGGGCGCCCATCTGTCAAAATGTGCCAGAAAACATAGGCAGCCTGCCCACAGGGCTTCTTGAACTTCAACTTCTGATAACGGAATGTAAGCACAGAATCCAAGCAACACAATTAACGCTTTTGAGCATCGACACTTGGGCTGAGGTTTGCCAGGAGAACCTGAAGGTATGAGCATGTCTTCTGCTTATAGCAGAACTTTTCTGCAAGAAATGAAAATCTCCTGTGGCTAGCACACCTAGCCAGTAGTGCATCTCCCTGGCATCAAGGTAAGCTATAAATAATACAGATGCATTCTGCAATGAAGTTGAGAGGCAGAGGCCAGTCCCATTATAATTACAGGCCTATTCCAGAGATGGAGCTAGGAAGACCATTTTAGATGAGAACATATGTCTTGGGAGCCATATGAGAAGTCACTCTGTCCTGAAGGAATGCTATTTAAAATAAATAGGAAGGGCCTCCCCGGTGGCGCAGCGGTTGAGCGCTGGGTTGCAAAGCTGCCCGCAGCCTCTGCGGCGCCGGTTCGATCCCCGGCTGCTCCCTGGCCACCGGAGGAGGGTCCCACATGGCGCGCAGACCTCTCCTGCCGCCCGCTGCTCCCCTCAGCAGTGTACTTTGGTCCTTCTGCCTGCTCTGCTCTCCGCTCTGGCTCTGGTGAATTCTCTCACCCTCCCGAGCTTCTGACTGTACCCAGTGCATGTATAAACAAAAACAAAGAAAGAAAGAAAGAAAACATGCCTCTATATAAAAAAAAAAATAAATAAAATAAAATAAATAGGAAAACTCAGCTAACTTTTTTGGGCATATTTTAAAAGGCCCAATATATTCTTATATTCTTTCTGCTAAAGAAAAACATGTCAATTCTAAACATTAAATACATTTAGGATTCAGCTGCCTAGCAAAATGATGAGCAAAAAAAGTGACTAAAATTGGATCCTCAAGTTAGGGTTATGAGAAGTGAGGGGTCAAGACAGGAAACAAGAGAGAGAATTGGATGTCCATCAAAAATAAATTGAATAGATGTATATCATGTATTTGGAATACAGAGTAACACAGCAATGTTTATTTTATGCATAGGGTAGTTTATATAAATAATCCAGGTAACAGTTACAAGTCTATACTTCACTTAGCCAATGGAGTCTTAAACTAAATCAGGTAACTTTTAAGCCTAGACAACAATTATAGTACATGTTTTACTACAATTCATTTAAGTAAAAAAGTTATTTAAGGAAAAATGCATTTAAGGAAAAAAATAAGTAAAAAACTCATTCAGTTGAAGTTTGTATGACTCTGTGTAGAAGCAAAGTTGGAATGAAAATCCACTCAGGGATGAATTAATTATTTATAATAACTGCCCAAAACTCACAGTGAACACATGAAAAAAATAAATGTAACTTTTATAGCCAAAGATATATTACTTTTTCCCCAAAATGCTTTAATTTTTATATACCGCATTTACTCCTAAGATGATACTAATGCTTGAAAAACATTTTTTTTTAAAGATTTATTTATTCATTTATACAAGCACTGGGTACAGTCTGAAGCCGGGAGGGTGAGAGAATTCACCAGAGCCAGAGTGGGGAGCAGAACAGGCAGAAGGACCGAAGTACACTGCTGAGGGGAGCAGCGGGCGGCAGGAGAGGTCTTCGCGCCATGTGGGACCCTCCTCTGGTGGCCGGGGAGCAGCCGGGATCGAACCGGCACTGCTGAGGCTGCGGGCAGCTTCGTAACCCAGCACTCAACCACTGCACCACTGGGGAGGCCCTGCTTGAAAAACATTTTGAGGGTCTCTTCCAGTGGCGCAGCGGTTGAGCGTTGGGGTGCGAAGCAGCCTGCAGCCTCTGTAGCACCAGTTCGATTCCCGGCTGCTGGCGAGGGTCCCACATGTCGCACCGACCTCTCCTGCCGCCCGCTGCTCCCCTCAGCAGTGTACTTCGGCCTTCTGCCTGCTCTGCTCCCCGCTCTGGCTCTGGTGAATTCTCTCACCCTCCCACTCTTCTGACTGTACCCATTGCTTGTATAAATAAATAAATAAATAAATCTTTAAAATAAATAAATAAAAATAAAAACTTTTTGATGCATTACCAGTTTTTAGTTTTTAAGAGGAAAAAATACTATCTAATTTAATTTATATGAAGTTTAATTCAAACAGATTTCATGCTTCTCCCTATGAGAATCATCTATTGAATTATTTAAAACAACTTGTTGGCCTCCCTGCTCTCACTCAATTCCTTTAGTTCAGGAATTCTGAGGAGGGATCAAACCCCTCAGTCAATGCTGAGGGAAATGAACCTTCAGAGCACATCATGAAAATAAATGGCTTAAATGAATTTCTCAAGATAGCCTCTTCACAATGTCAGCAGTCAGTGAAAGGCGAAACGCTGTGATGTGATCTCACACTATTATCAGACATTTTTCCCGTTATGTTTTCATTGCTATTTTATATCACATCATATAAGATTCTGTGAAAAAATATAAGTGGCACATGTAATGATTTTCATGTCTGTTTACTTAAATAATTTAGAAGTGAACTTTTCTAACTGGTTTTGAAAATCTTCCAAAGAAATAGATGTTTTTCTCCAGCTCCATTGAGAAATAATCGACATATGTCACCATACAACTTTCAGGGGTACAGGGAGATGGTTTAATTTGCATATACTGTGAAATGATGAACACAACAGCTTCAGCTAACATCGGTCTTATCATATAGATAGAATAGGAAAAAAAGGAAAGAAGAATGGGCCTCCCTGGTGGTGGAGGCAGTTGAGCACAGCGCTGAGAAGCTGTCTACAGCCTCAGCGGTGCGGGTTTGATCCTGGCCGGCTGGGGAGATACCCACATGGCGCGGCAGACCTCTCCTGTTATGCCCGCTGCTCCCCTCAGCAATGTATTTCATCAGTCTGCCTGTTCTGTTCCCTGCTCTGTCTCTGGTGAATCCTCTCACCCTCCCATTCATCTGGCCTGTACCCCGGTTCTTGTATAAATAAAATTTTAAAAAAAATCTTAAAAAAAATAAAAGGAAAGAAGAGAAAAAAAAGGAAAAATGTCCCTCCTTGTGATGAGGACTCTTGGGATTTTGTCTCTTAATTTTCTGTCTAGTATACAGCAGCACAGCAATAGTCATACAGTCGTACCTTCAATTCCTGTTCTTATTTACCTTATGATGGGATGTTAGTTATGCCTCTGGACAGCTTCCTCCAGACCCTCCCCGAATCCCACCCCCTGCCTCTGGAATGCACACTATAAACTATTTGGACATTTAGAACCAGCAATAAGTTTAGGGATCATGTCCTTTTTGAGGTCATTGTTAAAATAAATCTCCTAAGTCAAATTTGGAAATAATCCTTCCTCAAATTCTAACACTGTCTGGGGAGGTGAACCCCACTTGATTTACAGTTGGTGGGTTCACCACCGGGCAGCACAGAGAGCTCACAAGACCGGAGGCTGGGACCCTCCCTCATGCTGGAGGCTCACGGAGGCTCTGTTATCCTTCCCAAAGACTTTATACCTAGATTTATTAATTTTGAAAAGCTAAGTCAGATACATTATTTCTGATGTCAATCTTCATTTCTCTTAGTTAAAAGGTTTCCAGAGATAGAGTGAGGGATTGTGGTCAAATAGCAAGAACTGAAACTCTGTACCGTTTTGTTCCCCAAGATTCACTGGTTCTCAGATTGACAGGCAATCACTGAGACTGTCCACAGCCCTGGTTAACTTATCTGCAAAGCTTTTGGTGCTACATGAAAACCGAAGTCATCTGATTCACTTTGTGACTCGCGGGCCATCAATCAGAGAAGGAAAGTCTCACCTTTACAAAAGCTGCATCTTCATCGAGTTGTTCCACGGCCCGGGGCTGCTCATCAGTGGACTCCATGATCACCAGGCTGGTTTTCTGGGGGGAGTGTTCCTCCTTGAGCTCTGGGGATTCCTCGGGTTCTTGTATGATGGGGGAGTCTCCGCACTCGCTGGGGGCCGGGGTCTGGAGGTAGGGCCTCTCCCCGTCAGGAGGGGTACTGACTTCCTCAGGGGTCTGGCTGGGGGAGCCCGAGGCTGCCGTGGCCCGTGGGGGTTCTGACACCTCTGTCCCTGGGGATGTCACGCTGCAAAGGAAACACAGGTTATAGCAAGGCGCATGCACACTTTGCTCTGGAGCTCATCTTCATAGATCAGGAAAGCCTGAACAGATGTTATATATTTAGCCAAGAAATGAAATCTGAAGGAAAATCAGCCTGTAAGATATAGTATAGACATCCATTGATCTAGCACGGGGTGGGAGAGACACAATCTAAACATAAATGATCTTAAAATGTAGTACTGGCTCCCAATCTGCACAGGAATATGCATTTTAATGTCATCATTTCTTTGACAACTGAAGGTGATATGGAAGATTTGAGGTAGGTTACCAGAACAAGGATCTGCAGGTAGTAAAGCTTCTGAGCAAATCCAAATGTGGCAACGTTTTTAAAAAGCAACAGATAAATGCCACATTTATATAGTTATCAGAATTATAAATATAGGGGGAATGTGATATCTTTTATCATTTCAATTGGATTAAAAAACAAGAAAATATACTTCTTTTGCTGCTCTTTTTAAAAAATTACTAATATTGGGCCTCCCTGGTGGTGCAGGTGATTGAGCGCCATACTGTGAAACTGTCTGAAGCCTCTGCAGCGCAGGTTCGAACCCAGCTGGCCGGTGAGAATCCCACATGGTGAAGCAGACCTCTCTGTCTCACCCGCTATTCCCCTCAGCAGTGTATTTCATCAGTCTACCTGTTCTGTTCCCCGCTCTGTCTCTGGTGAATCCTCTCACCCTCCCGTGCATCTGGCCTGTACCCTGGTTCTTGCATAAATAAATAAACCTTTAAAAAAAAATTACTGCTATTGTCTGGCACAGACTGGAAAATTAATTGCCCTGTATGTCTCTATGGTGCTCCCTCTTTGCTTCCCATTTTTCCCTTTTTCCTTCTCTCTTTGCTCTCTCCTAAAACCTCAGGCTGGTGATCAGTGGAAGAAGCCCCTCAAATTCCCAGAACACAAACTCACTTAGCAGCAAAGGAACTCTGTGGCGCCACCTGCTGACTCCCTGCTCTCAGATTCCAGGGGGAGGGACATGCCAGCCTTTCTCCAGGTCTGTTTCCTAGACAAGTGTCCCTGGACATTCTCTCCTTTGCATCCATAAAGCCCAGAATGATGCCCTGCGCTGCTTGTGCAGCTTCCTTCAGCCAGAAGCACCCGGACATCCTTTCTTTGTCCCACTCCACTGCAATAGTCTTCCATTCAACAGTCTGTAAAAATGTGTTTGCACTTCTATTTTATTTTATAGATTCTATTATTAGCATTTCTTTCTTCTTTTAAGATTTATTTGTATTTATTTTTGCATACAATAATTGGGGTACAGGCCAGAGGTACAGGCGTGGGTTCACCAGGAACAGAGTGGGGAACAGAACAGGCAAACTGAATGAAATACACTGCTGAGGGGAGCAGCAGCTGAGACAGGAGAGGTCTGCTGCACCATGTGGGTAGCTTCCTGGCTGGGGATTGAACACAAGTTGCAGTGGTTGACAATAGCTTGATAGTGTTGAGTGAGACTTAACCCCTTGCACCACCAAGGAGGCCTCTGCATTTCTTTTTTATGGTTAGCTATCTCATTGCTTTGCTAGACAACACAGGGTGGCTCTCCTAGCTCTTACTGGCCCTGCTCCAGGGCCAGGGCATACAGGCATCATACAGAAGGCCACAGAGAAATGAAGGAACGTGTCTAACACATGAGCCCTGCCAGGTCTACGTGAGAGTTTACAGTTTAAACGTGGCTTTCCAGGGCCGTCCTAGTGTCGCAGCGGGTTGAGCGCAGCACTGTGAAGCTGTCCACAGACTCTGCAGCACAGGTTCGATTCCCGGCTGGCCAGGGAGATACCCACATGGTGTGGCAGAGCTTTTGGTCCGTCTGCCTATTCCGCTCCCTGCTTTGTCTTGGTGAATCCTCTCACCCTCCCGTGCCTCTGGCCTGTACCCCAGCCATTGTACAAATAAAATAAATCTTAAATAAATAAATAAATGTGGCTTTGATTGAAGGTTGATCTTCAACCCTGTGAACTCCACAGGATGTAACTCTATCAGCATAATTTTTAGATGCGGAAATGAAAACTAAAAGATCTCAGGGCCTTGATCAAAGTCACAGAACTGGTAGGTGGTTCAAGCAAATCTGGGCCACACATAGCTGTCACAGTGATGTCTCTTAAACATTTTGCTTTTTGAAATAAGTATGAAGAAAGACAAATACAGGATAACTTCACTGCTGTGTGGAATATAAAGGAATAAAGCAAAAGAACAGACAGAACCAAGCTAAAATAAACTCTGGAAATTTGCAGCAGAACTGAGGTGACCAGACAGAGGAGGGGGGTGGGCAACCAGGTGGGGAAAAGGCCCAGGGACTGTGGTAGAGGATTAGAGGTCCTTGGTGGTGCAGTCACATACAGCTGGAGGGGAGCAAAGCTACCCCAACAAATCCTATACAGTGTTGTAAGCCAACGTTATTACATCATTTTTAAAAAATGAAGCCATCATGGTAGGTATAAAGTAGCGCTGGCATTTATTATTGGTGTGGTCACTTGAATACAACTTATGCTTGCATCTGCCTGGCATCCTTGCCTACCATAGGGGCTGGTTTCTTTGCAATGACTTTTGACAGGCCTTCTTTTGAAACTCACAAGTATTCCTGCTGACGTTCAGCAGGTGACTCTTCAGGCAGGTCTTGCATTTTCCCTGAGAAATCCTGTTGCACTTGCTCCTTGGGAGTGTGAGGAAAGGGCTCTGTGCCTGCACCGTCCCCCTCAGTTTTGGGGATGCAATCCTGGAAAGTGGAATAGCCGACAGAAATGTCTTCCTCAGAGACAATGGGAGGGTGATCGGAGGACTCGCTTTCTTTACAAGCAGCTGGCTCTTCTTTCTGCTTGCGTGGCACAGTGCAGAGTTCCTCTGGAAGCACCGAGAATCCTGCAGGGACAAACTGTAAGTTAAGTATTGAATCGAAGCTTGTCTACTTAAATGAGCATTTAATAAGTCAGAAGAAAGACAAATACAGGATAACTTCACCACTATATGGAATATAAAGGAACAAAACAAAGGAACAGACATCTCCTGGGATAAGACACTTCTGTCTTCAAAATGATGGTCATTTACAGGAGGTCAGGCAAGCGAGGTGACAAGTGCAGAGGGGATTGACAACAGGGGCCAGCCAGTGAATGACTTGAGAGACAACTGAGGGTTGGAGAGGTAGGAAAGGAAGCTCAGAGGGTGTGATACCTTTAGGAGACCTGCTGATAAACAGGCATCAACTGTGATAGTCCAGTTACTACTAAGAGCAAATGTTCCTATTCTTCCATCCTAGAATCCATCACCCTAAGTGCATCTGAGTATCTACACTCTAAGTAGAGTGTAGTAGGTAGTAAGAAGGCTGAGTAGTAAGTAAGAACACTGAGAGTTCAATGCTAATGACAATAAAAAATATTATCAATACATTGTATTTATTACGAGTCAGGAACTATTCAAACTAATCTGCAAGTAAACACTTGCATTAACAACACTCTGAAGTTAGTACTCTTTTTAAGGAAGATCTCATGCCAGGATAAGGGGTTTCATTCTGTCCAGAGCAATGAGGGGTCACACGAGGTGTTTAACAAACATGACTGACAATCACCTCTTCACTGAGCAGGTACACACTGCGTATCAACTATGTTCAGAAGCTGGGTAGATGCTGAAGACATAGCAGTGAACCAGGTAAGAGAAGCTTCTGTCTTCACTGCACTTGCATTTTTTTTTTAAGATTTATTTATTTATTTATACAAGCACTGGGTACAGTCAGAAGTGCGGGAAGGTGAGAGAATTCACCAGAGCCAGAGCGGGGAACAGAACAGCTAGACTGACGAAGTACACTGCTGAGGGGAGCAGTGGGCAGCAGGAGAGGTCTGCGCTCCATGTGGGACCCTCGCCCAGCGGCCAGGGATCAAACCGGCGCTGCTGAGGCTGCCGGCAGCTTCGCAACCCAGCGCTCAACCACTGCACCACCGGGGAGGCTCTGAACTTGCATTTCTATAGATAAATATTTATGACAAACTTTAGGAGAAAAGTAAAACTGGGTGAAGGTACATACTACATAGGGCTGGTATATTAGATCGACTATATGTCAGGAAAGACTCCACTATGTCAAATGCTACCAAGGGGTAAAGTTATGATGAAGACAACTCAGAATTACTCATTGCATTTGGCATTATGGAAATGATTAGTAAATTTTAAAAGTCTTTTTATGTCTAGTGATGATGGTAAAAGCCTGACTGGAGTAGACTCGGGAGAGAATTCTAGAGAGAATGGGAAGAAAGGAAGTAGAAGAAATTCAGATGCTTCTTTTGAAGAGATTGACTATGAAGTGGGTGGAAAAACTGAGCAATCATCAATGGTTAGGCAAGATGAAAGGATTTGTTTGCTTTATCTTGTCTTCAAAAGGTGGGGGGGTTCCTAGCAAAGTGTGTTTAAATGCTGTTGAACCTGCTCTATGAAGTCAGAATGTATTCCTCAACTGGAAAAGAGGGAATGAAATCTTACTATTAAAGGAAAATGCTGATTTTAGCAAAGCCAGGAAATTTTATTCATTGCAATGGCAGGGAAGACAGAGTGTAGATATTCAGATGCACCTAGGGTAATGGATTCTAGGATGGAAGAATAGGAACATTTGCTCATGATCATTTCTATTTCTTCCAGGAAATGTGAAGCTTGGTCATCAAATTAGACTCAACAAGGCGTAGAGAAATATTGGAGGCTTGATAGAAGAAAGGGAGGAAATAGGAGCAGAAAGAGAAGAGAGACAGAGAGGGCCTGCAAATGAATGTGACTGGATTAGAGAAGCATCAGCCCTGAAAAGGAGGTAGGGCCCGTGGCTGGAGGTCCCAGCAGGCTTGGGGAATTGCTGCTTAACAAGCAAAAGAGGAAGTAACTGTGATGCTTCAGACGAGGGCCTGAATATAGTTACCGCTAGTGACAGGGCCTCGCCTGTCAACGCAGAGATGGCCGGCCAAGGCAGAGCAAAAGCACAAGTAGCAGAAGTGCCATCAGGGAACTGAATGCAAATGGTCATGAACTAAACGTTAGTGTCCTCTTAAAATTCACCAGCTGAACCATAATTCCAAGGGGATGACATCTGGAGGCTGGGCCTTGGGGACGTAACGAGGCCATGAGGCAGAGCCCTTATGAATGGGATTTATGCCTTCATAAGAAAAGGCAAGAACGAGCTTGCTCTCTTCCCCCTGGTGAGCACACAGTGACAGGCAGTGCCTGCACCCTAGCAGCGGATGCTCACCAGCACCCAAGCATGCTGGCACCCTGCTCTTGGATTCCCAGTCTCTGGGAGAAATGTGAGAAATACATTTCCGCTGTGAAGTCATCCAGTGTATGGCATTTTGTCATAGCAGCCAGAGCTGACAAGGGCATTGGTGAAAGAGCAATGAATGAGGCCTATGGCTGCCTCAACAATGGGCAGGGAGTTCTCGGGGTGGCAGGAAGTATGTATGAGGACCAGCAGCTACAGTGCATGCTCCAGAAAAGATAGACAGTAGGTCCAGTTACCTGAGTTAACCTTCCAACACACACATTCACACATACCACATATACACTCTCCATACCACACCCCCCATAAACACACCCCCCAAACACCACACACACCCCCATACCACACATATATACCACACACACCCCGCGCACACCACATGCCACACACATCACACACACACACACACCCTCCACACATACCACCCATATATCACATAGACCACACACACTCACACATACCACACAAATACAACACACGCACTATACACAACACACACACACCACATATACATACCACACATGCCCCATAAACACACATACCCACAAATGCACATCCCACACACATCCCACACACACCACATGCACCCCCGGAACAGTCCACACACGCACACACCACACGCACATCTGACCTTCGCTGTGGTCCAGGGCGATGGTCTGCTCCATCTCGGCATAGCTGTGACTGAGGCGCTGCTGCAGGGGCTCTGCACTGGTCTCCATGAGGTGCACGATATCCATGCGGTTGATCTTGGTGAGACACTCGATGAGACTGGTATCTGGGATGTTAAGAGAGAAAGGATTTATGGCATCTGAGGGAAAGCCTTTTATACATCGCCTTCATTCCATGGCCTTCCTAAATTTTTGACAATTGTACAGGAGACAACAAAAGCCAATGAAAGACTTTTGTAAAAATAAACAAACAGATATACAGAAAAAGGGTGTTGGTACAGGTCAGCACAAGCTCTAAGAACAGGGTTGTCAGATAAACAAGGACCCCCTGGCACAGGTGAATTTCTGCTAAAAAGCAAATAGTGTTTTAGTGTAAGTTATCCCAAGCATTGCATGGGATACACTGATACTGAAAGTATTTGTGGACTAGCTGAAATTTAAATATAACTGGGCATCCTCTATTTTTATTTGCTTTCTGACAATCCTACCTAGCGGCATGATAAAAGGAAAGATAAATATAGAATAGATGTAAGTAGGGCCTCCCCTGGTGGCGCAGCAGTTGAGCGCTGGGCTGGGAAGCTGCCCGCAGTCTCTGCAGTGCCGGTTCGATCCCTGGCTGCCGGCGAGGTTCCCACACGGCGCGCAGAGCTCTCCTGCCGCGCCCGCTGCTCCCCTCAGCAGTGTATTTCATCAGTCTGCCTGTTCTGTTCCCTGCTCTGGCTCTGGAGAATTCTCACACCCTCCCGCGCTTCCGACTGTACCCAGTGCTTGTATAAATAAATAAAAAAATCTTTGAATAAAAAAAGAATAGGCGCAAGTAAGTGAGGTGTCTAGCTAGATCTCCAGTGAGATATTAAAAGGAGCAACAAATTTATAACAGCTGAGGAATAAGAAGTTAGTCTACACTGCTTCCCCTTTCATTTGATGTGGTGAGAATATCACATATAAATCATAACGTAAACTATCTGCTTGACATTTGTACCATTTAAGTAATTTGGGGTAAGGGAAGCAGGAGCAGAAGGTAAGGTGCTAGTGATAAAACGCTAGGAAGCAATAGTGTCTACTAGCAATAATGAGAAAATTTTAGGACTCTAGTCACGCTCCTTCCTGTCAGCCACAAGAGATTTCGCTTTGCACTGGTTACAGCTGTTCTCAGGAACAGAGGGCAAGACCGGGCAGCAGGTACATTTTAGGAATGCCAGAGCTGCTTCTCTGCTCACCGTAGTACTTGAGCTTGATGGAATTCGTCATTTATTCTGCAAGAAAGGATTTGTCGAACAAGACTCATGTCTGCCTTTAGCCAAACACCTGGCCACCTCGTACCCTACCTGTTGCATGCTTCCCGTCCCGTTCCAGCCAGTACTTCAACAGTGCGTGGCTCTGGTCTTGCAGGGAGTTAGGGTTCTCGATGCGGATCTGATGAATCTGCTCCTCGGTGAAATCGAGCTCCCGTGCCAGTTCTACAAGAGAAAGCAGCACTCTGTAAGCGCATTAACTTCAGGGCTTGAGTCTCTGTCCCTGGTCTGGGGGGTTTGTAAATGATGTGTTCTTGTTATTGCTGTATAATGGGGTCCCCCTTTTTTTTTTCTACATCGAAGAAGTGAATCTCATAGGTCGTGTTATTCTACAACTAACTGCAGAATTTTTCCTCAAAACCAAGTATAGAATCGATCACTGTCATCATGGAAACAGTACATTTGAGGCAATGGTGATAGAATATGTATAATTCAGGCCCATTTAATTGCAAAATATAGCAGAGATCATTAACATGCACACTGTTAACTAAGATAATGGAAAGTAAATGACTGCAAACAGGAGAAACAGAGCACTTCTCACTTTTAATCATCATTTGGTGACATTTAAAGTCATATAAATCTTATTTCTGGTTACTTGGATAAATCCTAGCTGTGGGTCTATTTTGGTAGTCAAATAAACTTCTTTCTTTGATTTGGTGACATGGAAATAAAAGGTCTGGGAAGCGTTTACTGATCCAGAGAAGAAATCACAAAGTTGTTTTTTTTTTTTTTTTGAGTCCATTAATATTCTATATGGGTGTTTAAATGTATATGGGGGGGTGAATGAGGGGCAATTTGGATATCTTTGAAAAGTTATAATATACATATAATAATATAGATATCCTTTACTAGGTAATGCCACTAAATTACTGAACATACCCTAAAGACATGCCTACAAAAATACACTAATATACAATGACACTTATTGCCATTAAGAGGAAACAAGTTAAGAAAAATACCAGATGGTCTCACTCATAGCAGGAATTCAGAAAACCTAAATAAGAGACTAGGAAAAAGACTAATCAATACAAAGTAAAAATCAAAATCAACAAGTAACTATAAACCAGAGACACACTATGGGGGTTTGGGGGGCAGGGAGAGGAAGGATTAGGGTCAAAATAAGGGGGGTGCAATTGTATGGGGAATATAACCAAAATGAAAATGCATACATTGTGCAATGATGAAAAAAGATGTAAGAATTATATAAAATAAAATATTTAAATAAATTTTAAAAAGAGGAAACAGTTAAATATTTATCCAGTGCAATTAAAAAGCTATTTAATTCCAGCATGGAGGTATCTGTGTGGATGGAATATGAGAAATATTAAGTACAAATCTGCTTATTTTTTAAAATTAGGCATGAATTTTTTTTTTTTTCTGAACATTTGAGAAGGTGTTAGCAGTTACTTTCAAAGCATAGGGCTAGGAGATGCAAGGATCAGACTTTTCATTCTGAATGGTTTTAGGGTTTGAATTTTCACACTTTCTCCTAATACACATGGTACTTTCATATGTATAAGTAAATATACTTACAGACATATGTAAGAAATAAAATTAATAGTTGTGAATGTTTTCTATTTAGTAAGTCAATCAGGGGTCTTTTGATGTGCTCTCCCCCCTAAATTCATCAATTCAATAAATCTGACCAGTACTTTAACTTGCTTTAAAATGTTCAAAAGTGAGAAAATGGCTATTTTTCTTGCTTCCAATCATTTCTTCCACATTATCAATCAGACTTATTAAGATGATATTGAATTTCTTGTCATCACCAAATCTTTAAAAATCTGCAAGGAAAAGAATATTAACTTTATACTGTTTGTCTGAATAAAATAATCAAAGTAGTCACAAGTGACATAAAAGGAAGTCATCAGATGGACAATCTTGCATTAATACAATGCCACAGGTAAGATGAAAGGGTAAACAGAAAACCTACAAATTATGACTTGTGAGTAAACCATGCTAATTTCAGAATTCAATAACCCTCTATAAATTATTTAACATACATTATCATTTCCATACCTAAAGAAAATCAGCGCCCCGTCTCAATCCATACATAGATCAACATTCATCCCAAGCCAATTTTTGTACAGTTCATGATGAGATAGCCAATGGCAGGAATCTCAGAAGAGGAGCCTGGTTAAATCTCAAATTGCATTTTATGACAATCGCATCTAACATTAGTACTGAAACACAGTGGTCTCACCAAGGTTTAGACTGCCACAACTGCCAGAGGAGGGTGGCAAGGGCTGAGATAGTCTCAAAACCTCCCAATCTGAGGTTCCATTATTCTAAATTCCAGAAATGACCAAAGGCCTGGCCTTGTAGGCACAGTGAGTTAATGCAGAACCTGGATTCTCAAAGAAAAGGGGGAAAAAAAGATCTTTTTGCCTGTTAATGACAGGAGGCACATGACGTCATTTAAACCAAAGAGGTTTTGTTGAAAAAACTGGGTCATGCTCATGTTACCTGTCCAGCTGAAGCCCAGGTGATCAGCAATATAAGCCAGCCTTTCCTCGATCCGTTCCTGCTCATCCTGTTGATCTACAGAAGGTCAAAAACAGAATGGCCAAAGGTTGTCTATGACGGGAGAGGAACCACAGGGCTGATCATTCAAAGCAAGGAAGTCACTTGTCCAAATAGTCCATAATAACACAGAGTAGCTGTTACATTTTAAGTCATATGAAATTGTTTGTTTGTATGATGTCTGGAATGGAATGGGGAATAAATCGAGTACAATCATGAAAACCATCTGCTTCCATATCTCTTGAATCAAGACTAGTCACTGGATGTAATTACATAAAGTTGCTGATTTGTAGTCATCTTAGGACTTTCCTTTCAAACTATCTGAGAGGATATGACCCACCAGAAGACAATCATCTTTCTTGTTCAACACCAGAGGAATCATCAAGGATGAAGAAATGGACAGGTTGTAAGGCCTTCCTAGTGTTGCCTGTGGCATGATCATTCCAGGTCAAGTCTGAAGGAAATCACATCTGAGATTGACAACAGCCCTAGATCGTGGTTTCATCAGACCATCCTGGACTTTTTGAGTGTGGCCAGAAACAACATTTGCCTGGGTCTTAGTGACCTTGGAAGGAGGAGGGATAAAAGTGTGTGTATCTGTATGTCTTTCCTATATTGGTGTACACACATATGTGCATGTCTTTTGGCCACAGTTTCTGACTGCTTAGTGCTTGGTAGGCCCATCTATTGCTCCCACAATCTATAATCTTCCTATTCATTTTAACCTCCATTAATTCAAGGGCAGCATTGTTGATCGTAGTATCCTGATTTTTTTTATAGCCCAAATTTAAGAATAATAGTCTTTATTGTAGAGATATTGGAAGACCAGAGGCCAATTCTCAAAGTCGTCCATGGCTTCCTTTTTCATAGTTCAAAGAGCCATTCTCCCCTCATAGTCAACTTAAATCATGCAAAGTTTGAGTTTTTGTTGTTTGCTGCCTCTAATCGGAGCACACTCTGCACTCATCTGCCACATAAACGAAAAGTGTATTTTTTACCTTCATTTTGTTTGCTTAAAGTGTTTACCAATGGGATCTGAAATCCAACCTTTCGGAATCACAACAATTGGAATGTCGTGATATGTGACATCTTCTTGAGCAAATGGCTTCCTAATGATCACAAAATCGTTAAGTACAAATTATTTTAAAGTACACGAAGGTGACAAGGAAGAGTAACGAATCCTCATACTATGAAACAAAACCCAATCAATTCATGGGCAAAAGCAAAGGAGCTTTTTGGAGGCTCAGGCCGGGACTTCAGAACAACAAAACTCAAAGCTTGCATGGCCTTCCGTGCAGCGGCTGCGAGAGGCAATCTCACCATTGCCTGCTTGTCATGTTGATGTTTCCATAAGCATTCTCATTACTCAATCTTGAGATTGTTTTTGTAGACAAGAGTATATGGAGAAAGCACAGAACACAAAGGGCTTACACAAACACAGTAATCACTACAGAAAGCTTAAAGAAAATGAGACACAAATCACCAAATAAAACAGACACACGCACACCAAAGAAACTATATCAAATTCATGACATGCTTAGCACAGGGAATCCCAGTGGCTGGCAAATACCTTCAGCAGAGTCATGGCCATTTTCATCAGGGATGCGTTCAATCAGAGTCTCAATGGACTCATCCCAAATGGGCCTTGTGTCAAAGATGTCCTCGGGAATTGAGTGCTCGGTCTCAACGGGTGGCAGATTTTCGATTACTGACACATCGAGGGCACTACTGCTTTCATCGTCTGAAACTAATTCCTGCTCCCTTTCTGACTGTGTGAGTCTATCCACTAACTTGGAAGCCTCGTCACTGATCTCCTCAAAGAATTCTATGGAGTTCCTGTAAATGTCAAAGAAATGCTCCTTACTTTCTTTGGTGGGGCTCATAGCCCCTCTGGAGGATGAGTTGGTGCTTCTGCTCTTAACTGGCAGGCGGGATGCAAACATCTTTGGTCTTACGGCCCCTTCTTCTGACTCTAACTCAAGCCCCTCTTCCCGCTCTCCACTGTGTGTGTCTGTCTCAGTGTAACTTCTAGTTTTCACTGGACATTTGCTCTTGGAGTCCAAAGGACTGGCATCCGATTCAGATTTGCTCCTACTGTCCGACACTCTGCCGGTCATGTCCTGTCCCTGAGGAGCCCCCGTCTGCTGGAGAGATGAGTCTGGATGCGAAAGCTGCTGTTCGACTCTTTGGATGGATGCTCTGATGGGAACTTTAGACTTTGGTTTTGTTTCATCTTTGCTTTCCTCATCCAGGCTGGACACAAAGTCTTCCGAAAGGGAACGCTTGCCCTCTGTACATGGAGGTGCTGGGGTTGAGATGGCTAGAGACCTAACAGGAATTTTGGATTTGCTTTCAGTGGAAGGCACGTTCTCCATGGGTGCAGTAGGGATTTCAATGACTGATTTCTGTTCCTCTGGGGAAGAATCGGGTGATTCATCATCCCGCCCTGAATGCACAGACCGAGTGACTGTAGAAAAATCTAACTGAACTTGGACAACCTGTTCAGGGGATTCAGAGCAAGATGTCTGCTTCACACTGGACAGAGGGGGTGTATCGCCCGTGTGTGTGGTGAGGACATCCTCCGTCCCTGAAGAAGTAGCCTCTTTGGTTGATGTTTCAGTGGAGGCTGAGATCCCCATTGAGGAGTCAAGCTGAGCATCTGAAGCAGAAGTTTCCTCTATTTCCTCACTCAGGTCATGGGGAAGTAAGTCTGCTTCATCCACTGTTTCCTTTGACTCTGAAAGTGCTAGGGACCCAGGCGATGTCTCCGGTTGTGGGGACTCAGACCCAGCAGCCCCTTCCTTCAGGTCTTCAGAGAGTGTCTCGTCCCTAGATTCTTGCCCAATTTGGAAAAAGTGAAAACTTTCATCCGCATAGGACCTTTTGGTCATGTCAATGGCACCACTTCGGGTCATCTCAAACAATTTTCCTTCCTGAAAGAGAAACGGATTTTGCTCACTGGTTGGGGTCCCCTCTTCAGTTGGGGTCCTGGCAGGAGTGGTGTCAGGAGTGGTACCTTGTGATTGTCTGTCTACCATCAGACCAAATATCTTTTGTTCCTCCTCCTTCACTCGAGCCTCAAAGGCTTCATCATCCTCACGGATTTCACTCCACGAATCAGAATCCACGTCAGTTTTTGTGATGATGACTTTGCTTATTTGCTCACCAACAACTATTGATGTATTTGTTGTAGTGGACTCTGATGATGAGGGGGCTCTGTCTGATTGCATTTCCCACAAGGCACTCTCTTGTTCGGATGTTATTTCTGAGTTCTCGCTCTGCAAATTAGATTCTCTACTCAAAAGAGTCCTACTGGAGGAGCTCGTCACTACGTCTTCACCAGAGGACGTGATGGTAACGGAATACATTTCAGAAGAGTGAAAAGTTGTGTGTCCTGTCTCTGTTTGGGTTTTGTTTTCTTCACTAGAGAAAAAGGATTGGGAAGGGACATTTTCATAAGGACTTATGATTTCAGGGTCATAAATGTCATCAGTTTCAGCCAGGCCAGAGGCCAGAACATCTGCAGACAATCTGTCTATCTGAGCCGTAACCGATGAGCCTTGAGTAGAATGGTCTTTTGCGAGGTCCTCCAAAGTTTCCTCAGTGTTTGTGAGCTCCATTTTTGTAGTAGAAGATGCAGAGGCTATGTCTACACCTAATTCTTTTCCAGTGGATGCCGGACAATGAGGCAAAGAGGCCAAAGATGATGAACTTGCACTGGGGCAATCTACTTGGGGGGATTCTGCTTTAGAAATATCGATCTCCTCTCTATTTGTGTCTTTTTCATCAATGTCTTGGAGAACTGATTCCTTCTGGACACCTTGCTGGTCAGTGACATCACCACCAGGGGAACTCTGGAGAGCCGAAGCAACGGGTGTGGCCAAGCAGCTGGGACTCCCAGCCTCACACCCATGGCCCTCGCAGATTTTTGGTTGATTAGCATCTTTATTTAGATCATTGTAAGACATATCTGGCCCATTGGTGCAAACACTATGACTGTCTCCAGGGCTACGAGATTCACAGTCTGTTCCTTCTGGTTGACCTGCGTCTCCCTGAAGATCTTCACTCATCTTGAAAGTATATTGTTTGGAAACTATAGGCTGGAATTGTACTTCCTCGGGACTGGAATTGGAGTCCATGCTGGATGGAAGCGGGGACGGAGGCTGTACTCGAATCACAGGTTCTGGTAAGAGGCCAGAGTCAGCACCTTTCTTCAGCTGTGTCAACTCAGGTTCACTTTCCGAGGAGGAAGAAGTCTTCCTGCTCTCCAACGTTACCACCACGGGGACATCACCTTCTCCCCGAGCACGCTCCAAGGGGGTGGCCTCATCGGCGCCTGCTGAACAGTCAGCGTCTGGGTCAGAGGCTGACGAAGACTCCTCTTGCTTGGCTTCTTTTTTGCAGTCCCTTTTCTGCTTTGCTTCTTGCTCAAGTTCATCGAACATTTTGATCTTAGTTACCATTTTAAACATTTCCTCTTCGGGTGTGAATCTCTTTTTCTCCCCGTTCTCTGACTCATCCTCCTCTGCACACTCATGAATCACGGCTGGTTTGGGGGTGCTTGCCTCTGTGGCTTTGGGGGTCACCTCATAGCTGACTTCTTCCGAGCTGGGGGTGTCGGGAGACAGCGGGCTCTTCCCTGAGCTCTCCATGAGTGACGTCTGCTCCAGACTGTCATCTTCAGCACTGCCGTCAGGGTCTCGGAGCAGCCTGGACCGCACAGAGGCCACCTCCGCCAAGAGTTCTGCCTTCGCCATGGCTGCAGGAAGAGGAAAGTGACTGGGGAGCACGCCAGCCTTCATCTTTGGTTCCACCGGGCTGCTTTCAAGAGAGTCTCGGCAAGGGGATTCTTTGAGAGGGCTGGGCTCCAGGGAGTCAGGGGTTTTGTGCGAGGAGTTATCCTCCAGCACCGGGCTGGCCTCCAGCGAGTCTTTGTGGCTCACTGCAAAGGATTCATCAGCCCCGGGACTGAGGACCTCACTGTCCCGGGAAGGGAGGGCAAGTTCTAATCCTTGGGGACTCCTTACAGCTCCTTGGGGCTTGGCCTCAGACCCCGTTGCTGCCTCTGACATTACAGATGCATCGGGCAGTGGCGATGAGGCCTTGGTCTCCTCTGAGAGCTCTGGGGTCGTGGATTCCCGAGGGCCAGTCTCAGTTTGTGTCTTGTGGGCTGAGCTAATGTGCGTAAGTTGTCCCTCATCACAGGACTCATCCCCCGTCAGTCCTTGGGGGTTTCTTTTGCTAACGACAGGCTACAGCTGCCAGGACAATGGCGCTCTTGCTCGGGGTGCGCGTCCTCGGCGGGGTCTGGTGTGGCTTCTGTGAGCACGCTCTCTGCAGCAGGCTCTGGGCCCGCAGGCACCGCATCTGGCTCAGAAGCCGCGGAAACGTCTTTGTCTAAGGGGTGTTCTTTTTCAGAGTGGGCCTCTGCTGGCGCTTCTAACTCGGTAGTTCCGTTTGGTTGCCCGGTTTGCTCCTCATCTTTCTTCGGTGAGAAAGAAAGGCTCTCTGGGCTGGTCTGAGGGGTCTCGGCTAGGCCCTCGTGCTTATAGCTTTCCTCTGAACTGACCTGGGGGGTCCCTTCCATCAGGCTGCCGCAGGGAGAAGCGGCCACCCCTTCCTGCTTGAGGCTTTCGGAACTGCCGTCGAGAGCCCCGCTCTGCGCAGAGAGAGCCGGGGGGAACTCGTCCTTCAAGTAATCCAGGGGGAATGTCGTGTTGAAAGGACTGGTGAGCACTTGGTCTAAGTGAATCTGGGCCTTTTCGGGCTCCTGGCTCAGGCGGAACTGCTGGTATTTGTCATTGTCTTCCAGCTCCTGCTTGATGACCGCGGAAAAGTCCGTGGAGGTTTTCCTGTCTGGGCTGATCTGGAGATCCAGGTCCCCCTGGTCCTCAGCCAGCTTGTCTTTGGGGACTTCGCTCTCTTTATGGCTTTCCTCTTCTGGGGCTGACGGAACAGGCTCAGGCAGCTTGTGGCTGAGAGTTTTCTCCTTTTCTCCGGCGGCCTCCTCTCTCTTTAACCCTAAGGAGGAGACACGGAGCCCCCTTTTGGACTCCGAAGCGCCTGTCACCAGGAACTTCTGGCCTCGCCTGATTGTCTGACTCTCCGATTTCTGGGTTTCTCTGTGTGTCGGCGTCGGCCCCTTTTCCTTCTCCAGCCGACCTTTGCCTTTCTCTGGGGGCTGCTTCTGCTTGGCCGACTTGTGCTCAAAGAGTCCCGTCTTATGTTTCGACGGGTCCTGCCCCGACTGGAAAGCTTTCATCAGCTCCCGGACAGACATGGTCTCCTCAATCCTCTCCGTCTTGGAGGTGGGGGAGACAGGGGGCTGCTTGTCCGTTTTCCCGGCAGGGGACACGGAAAGGTGCTTCTCGGTTCTCCCCGGGGTGGTGCCCGGAGGATGCCTCTCCGCTCTGCCAGAGGGCGACACGGGCAAGCGTTTCTCTGTCCTCCCAGGCGACACCGGTGGGTGTTTGTCCGCCCGCCCGGAGGGTGATACAGGGGGACGTTTGTCTGTTTTACCTGAAGGCGAAACAGGCAGGTGTCTCTCTGCTTTTGTGGAAGACGACACGGGGGAGTGTCTTTCGTTTTTGGTTGAGGGGGACACGGGGGAGTGCTTGTCCGTCTTCCCGGAGGATGACATGGGTGAGTGCCTTTCGGTTTTTGCAGAAGGGGACACGGGTGAGTGTTTCTCGGTTTTGTTTGACGGGGACGGAGGATGCCTGTCGGCTTTGGCAGAGGAGGAGAGGGGAGAAGGTCTTTCTGTTTTCGGGGAGGGGGACACGGGCCCGTGCCTCAGAGAGGGCGACGCAGAGGCCGGCGTCCTGGGGACTGGCTTTTTGGGGGCATCCTCTTTGCCTTTGACCCTGACGGGCAACTTGCTTCGACCCTTCTGTTCATCTTCCACTCGTTTCTGAAGCGCCTTCACTTTGTCCTTTATGGAGCCAATGGGAGTTTCTTCGATCAGAGGTGACGTGGCCTTGGTGGTGGGAAGAGGCTCAGGGGCGAGGCCGGGGTCCTCGTCCAGTGACTCTTCCGAACTCCCTTTTTTAAACTCGGTTTTCTCGGCGCCAGTTTGCAAACGATCCTCTTTGGGTTTCTGCTTCTCTTTCAATTTCCTCCGCACCGGTTTCTTTATGCCTGGGCTGGGTTTGAGCTGTTTCTGTGTGCTTGCTGTCTCGTCCGGGGGAGCGCCCTTCCCTCGGTGCTCAGACATGGCCTCACGCCTGTCCCCGGCCATGTCGCCAACGCTATCCGTTCGCCCTTTGTGAGGCGGCGCAAAGGAATTTAGGTCCTCAGTCAGGTAGTTCACGAGCCCAGTTGGGTCCTTGTCTACCTTCACTTTGGTCTCTTTCTCTAGCCTGACTTCTACGCACGGGTACTCCGTGATTTCTACAGCTGCCTTTTGCTTTGCCTCCTCTATTTCCTCGTCACTGACAATAACCCATTCCTCGTCCACTAATTCTCTCTCCAGCTGGGAACTGGACACACTGCCTTCGTCTCGGCTGCAGGTCCCACTTCTCAGAATCTCATTCACTTTCTCTAAGTCCTCTTTGACGCGTTCGACGATTTCAAAAGGCTCTCCTGGCTCCTCCTCGGCTGCCTTCGCCAGCTCCTTCACTTTCATGGACCCTGCCCTGCCAGGCCCATCTGTGGTCAAGATGGCCGTCATCTTGATCAAGTCTTGCTTCATCTCAGAAACTTCAGAGAGCAAGTCCGGGCTTGCCAGAACAGGAACTTCATTAACCAGGTGACTTTTCAGGACAGATGTTTCTGTAGACTCTGTCTCATCATCTTTGATGTGAATGAAAAACATCGAAAGTAAAATGGAAATCAAAAAAGATATTGGCAAATGTAATCAGGACTGAAATGACACAGTGTCTTTTTTCCTGTCGTGGTGGGAGGGAGAACAAAATGGGCTGGGAATGGTGGATCCACAAGTTCTCAGGATACGAAAGCAAAGCAAGGCTAACGGAAAAAAATCCATAAATAAATAAAACTGAAAAGGAAAAATGAGCAGGAAATAACTTGCTTAATTTTCTCACGTGTAGCACATCCACGCATCCATGACAAAGCTCTAACAGATAACCGACACACACACACAAATATCACAAATCAAAACAAGAACAGACGCAGTGAAATTACACAGAGGATCTCAAGATTGTTCAGATGTTACGATCAATGTTGAAAAAAAAAAAAAAGGAACATGGGGAAAAAAAGGAAAAAAGCATTAGAAATCGCAGAAAGTCGATTTCCTCTAGGAGAAAGCCAGTCGTAGCCAACTCAGACGACCTTTGAAGGACACAGATATCACTTTTTACTCATATAAAAAAAAAAATCTGGGCTCCCACGTGTTTAGTTCTGCCAAGACACGATGACTATCGAAAATACATCTGAATCAGCTCCAAACTGGCGTTTCATCTAAGGGAAATTCACACCTAACAGTAAAACAGACGGTCTGGTGCTAAGAGGCATGGCCCTTTCCACGAGCAACCTCCTTGTTGAGACACAGAATGGACAGACCAAGGAGGGAAAGGAAAGAAAGGGAAAGAAAAACAACCAGAACAACAATTGTGATGAGATTTATGTGTGAGTCCAAAGTTAAAATGTGATGCATGGCAACCAAAATCAGACAGTCACACGACACGCACACAGTTTATGTAAGCCAAGTTATTTCCATGCAAAGCAAAGGTGGAGGGAAACCGGTGAGAGAGGCAGCTTTGCTGAGCGCATGGGCGGAAGGATGGTTAGGAATTAGAATGGATATGAGAAACATTACTGTGGTGAAGCACATTCATTTCCCTGCACATTTGAACGAGGTACCTAGGGTGCTGAACGCAGTGGATATGGGCATCCGTAGAGGGGGCACTCCTTCATGGCAAGGAGGAAAACTCAGTCAAACTCTTAGGATTAACTCATGGGACTTAATCAACAGAGATCATTTTATGCCTAGAGGGAGATTATTCAGTGATTGCCTTTAACCTAAAATAAGGCCAAACAGGAGTCTATTATTTGAATTTTTTAAAACTTCCACAAACGCCTGGGAGTCACTTGGTGGAATCTGTGGCATTACTGCACAGTGCATTTTTTTTTTTCTTTTTTAAATGATAGAGCCAGGTAGATGGATTCATTTTTAACTCCTACTAATTTGTCTCCAATAATAAAGGAGAGGGCCATTTAAGATAAGCACAGTTGTCCCAAAGAAGAAATCACTATCTATTGAGAGAATCACTATCTACTGAGGAGCTATACTCTGTGAATAGGCACATATAAAAACATATTAAAATAATTTATGTAAAGAACAATTACTTTAATTACATAGTTCAGGGAAAACATCCAGAATTTCCAATATTCTAGTCATGGATAATGATTTAAAATCAGGGTAAGGAGACTCTCAATTAGAAGCATTCCAATAACTGAGCAGTAAATTTCACTGTGCTAGAATTAAAAAAGAAAAAGAAAAAAAATAATCCCTCTAGTCCTCTAGTCTTTTACGGGGCTAGACGACCACAGTAAACATGGTTCTAAGTTTTCTCCTTTTAGAAATACCACACTCAAATACAGTAAATTAAATCTTAAGTTGAATTAACATTATTATTTTTTTTTAATTTGAAAAGCATTTGGGGCTTAAAGGCAATAAAGAAACCTACAAAATTCCACTTCTTCACATAAGTAGCCAGAGAGAGTCCCAAAAACAGGCCAACTAGCTAATGAATTAAACGAATGCTGCAAACCTGGATTAACTTCTAAGAGCACTCTCTGCAGGTCTAGAAACCCCAGTTTTCTCCGCACTAGATAACATCCAGGCTCTGCATTATTTACAATTAGCCGTATCAATTACACACAGCCACGATCAGTGATTTCATTTGGAGGCTTCTACTTCTGCATTCTTGGCACTTATTTTTTTAATTTTTTTTTTTTAGAGAGTTTTCACCAAAATCCATTAGGTCTTAAGCCTGAATAAGCCAGTTACACTTCACCACAGTAAGGGATGCAAGGGGCGGGCAGGGCAGGGGGAGTAAGCTATAGTTCTCAGCTACTGGACAGTATCACTTTTGTGGGTGGAGCCTACAAATAGAACCATCTCTGCGGAAGTCAGTGCCACTTGGAATAAAAAGTGATACTGTCAGGTCAGTGCTTAAAAAAAATGAGATGACAATGTTATGCTAACAAATGGACAAAAACGGTAGCTAAGGTGGGTTTCTAAACAAGCATAACAGCAATAGCAGGGTTAACAGGGATATCAAAAGAAAGTGAATGCTTAGATGAATAATCATCGCATTTACTGCTAATCAGCTCACGAATTAGATATCCTTGTAATTTAACTGGCCAAGCTGCTTTTCTCAATATATATTAATGATTAATAAGAATATAAAAATATCATTATTATAGTGGTTAGTAATGGCAACTAGCTTGCATCTTAATTCATGCTTCTCTTTACGATAGCCAGCTTTCAAACAAACTCAATTTTATTTAAAGTCTTACTTTTTTCTGATGTCATATCGATCTGAAAGAAAACATACATAAATTGAATGGTTACAAATCGCGTCTTGTCTCACAGCCCCCGATGTGTACAATACGCTCCTACTCATAACTATATACACACAGGGGGACACACCGCATGGTAGGGGAGGTGCACAGTAATTGACTACAGTTCTTCCTGAGAGTCTCTCTGATTATTAACTTTGAAAAAACGAATCTCCTTTCTGGACACTGCTGGTAGAAAGTCCTTTCTCACATGTTACTTCTGGGAAGACGGGATTGAGGGTATGTTCGATGTTAGAGATACACATTAGGGGCAAAGCCAAGAAAATGAGGTGGGTATTAAACAGTGTCAATTTAGTTGAGAAAAGGAAAGAAAGAACAAGTAGCATGCCAGGGACAGAAGTATCTCCAGTATCACTCATTACAAGCCAGAATGCCAGATCCCGACATGAATACAAACTGGATCTACTGCCTTGAATAGTTGCCCCCAAATATTCAAAAGCATACACACTTATGGAGGTGTGAAGCTGTACTTCCCAAATAACACAGGTTGACAAATGAATGGTAAATCAAGAAAATTTCATTAAAAAAATTTCAACTGAAAAATCATAAACCCTAATGGGGAAAAAAGTCTTATTTGAATATAGTTGATTTCATAAACATATTGTTCCTTCAAGAGGGCGTGTAACTATTAATCAGAATAGCTTTGGTGATGGAGTCGCCAAGGACAGGAAGGAAACTGAACAGGTGAAACAAAGAACGGCTACAGGTAAGGGAAAGAATGACTCTGTCTTGTCGTGGGTTATTATGTGTATGCTCATACACAGCAGGACTAGGAATCTATATATGACCGCTTCTCTTGTCCCGCTCTATGGCCAGGTTATCTGAAAAAAAAGTGACTTCAGGGGGATTTTTTCAACTAGTAAGACCTGCCATTTTAAGCTGGTGGGTGCAAGGGTATTTATTATTTTTTCTTGATATTCTTGTATTTCCAACCCATCACCATGACATTTAAAAAAATTTAAAGTATATTTGAAAACATGTATTTGCAACTAATAATAATTGCATTTGTCTATCTTAGGAGGAGGAAATGACTGACATATTGATAGGTAAATATAAGGACCTTTTCAATGACTGCTTTCATTTCTATGGCGATGTCTGGGCATTTTCTGATCTTTTTAAGGAAACAACGCATACGTGCTTTAAAATACTGTAGCAGGTGTAATGCAAATGGCTGTTCACTAATATTTAAGGTCACCTCTTTAAGCCTTGATTTCTTCACCTAGGACATAGCATCTCTGATAAGACAACACACAGATCACAGGGTGAGAGAGAAATCAGTGTTGGTGATTTATGGGGAGCACTTGGAAAAGGACCCATCTTACAAGAAGGTTCTCCATTAAGACGTTATTATAGTCTAAAGGATGAATTATATGCCCTTCAAGTTTTTTGGCCTTAGTGGTTCTCAAACTTTTTCACTTTTAGGTTTAGGATTCCTTTACATTCTCAAAATTATTGAGGAGCCTGGAGAAGTTGTGGTATGTTTATAATATGTAATATATAAACATTGCAAATTAAAGTTGAGAAAATGCTAGAATCCATTCCATTAATAACCACAGTGGTTATATCATATGTAATATAGCATCTGAAACATCCCCCTGTAGTTAGTGACACGAGCTTGTATCTTAGAGCTATTTAAAGAAAAGTTCTGATTTTCAGTCATCTCTCAACCAATCTTTGAGACTCACTGAGATGTTTTAGTCTTCCCCACAGCTGGGAGAGAAAAACAAATCCACAGAGAGAGGAGATTTACAGGGAAACGTTCCTGTTTTCTGAAGTTAGTCCACAAGATGAGAATACAGGGACTCAGAGGGATTAGGTAAAATGGTGACCCTTTAGTGACTAAGGACAGTCGTTTATCCTTCTTAGAACACAGGGTAACCATGTGCTCTTATCAGAGGTTATAACAAAGACACAGTCATTACCAAGTGACACTGTCACAAAATTACCTCTTCCTCCTGTTCTTGATCTGACTCTGATTCCTTGCGCCCCAAGATGCCATGCAAGACGGAAAAAAAAGAAAGCAGGAAGAGTAGAGAGTATTTAGAAGAAAAGCAAAGATTAAATACCCTGCCAACAAACAGCCACAGGTAAGCATACAATCAGCCTTGTCTTATTTTTCCCTATTAACGGTTTTTAAAAATAGGCACAAAATTAGGAGGATTGGTCTAAATGTGAAAGTCTGTAGACTTAAAGACAAAAGAATAAAAATTATAGACTAATTTATTAGATAAAGGAATTAAAATGATGAGTATACCAATTCCTGAAGCTAGATTTCCAGCTGCCTCAAAGTATGACATTTAATGGACTTGATGAGATATGTCTATCAAAATAAGAGATGATATCCCATTACCTATAGTACCGGCCAAAAATGTTAAAAGCCACAAATAAGCATATGGTGAAAATAATTTCAACACCCAAGCAATATTCAAGAGTTCTGTTATAATAAAGAACTAGTAAACTGTAAAGTAGATCTGAAGTATGCAATGTCTGGCATTTTCTTCTTCTCACTAAATGGAAAGATGTCCTGAGGATCATAGCATTAATAACAGTCTGATACTTCCTGACTTAGAAATATAATGTAATAACTTAAATGCTTTCTTTGATATCGAAAGCTCATTGGCCTCCGAGACAAAGCTCATTCATCTTTGTATTTCACTAAGGTGTTGTGCCCACAGTGGAACCTGATTTTGTGTGGTTCTTATTTGGCCTCTGATTTGGTGACTGACAAAAGATCAACATTACAAGAGCCAAAGTAAACTCTGCAGTAACCAAGTGCAATCAGACAACGTGAGTGTGAGTCAATGCACCTGTTGCTATATTCCGATTCTTGGGAGACTTACCTGGGAAATATCGCATTTTCTTTTTACCATTTAATAAGAATTTACAATGTTAAGCATGGTACTGTTATTCCCTAGGGGACTGATATCTTTACAAGAATAATAATTTCAGAAAAATATACTGTGGTGGATAAAAATTAGTATAGGAAATGCTTTGTTTCATGGAGTTCAGATAGAGGCTTTGAATTAGATTTTGTTTGCTAGATCTTCCTGTCACTGTCCACACACGTGAACAACCAGCTACAGTTTCCATTAAAAAGAATACCGATCAGAAGTTTCTTCAATGATAAAAAGACATTATCTCCAGCATTTATTGAATTCATTCTGTTGTCTGATTTGATCAGAATAATAAAGGATTCGGTAACGGGGACAGGTTTGAATAGGAGCAGGACCTGCATGTCGAATTTGGAACTATTGCATTTTTCCTTTCGACAATGTTTCAGATCTGCTCCTTCTATCACAGCAGTACTGTGCATTCCAGTTATGTTAAAACAGTTGAAATATTAATTGGATATCCCTAAATTACTACAGGCGATACCATGACTAGGTCATCGTTTTAGCAATAAGATAACAATAGAGTGCTCTGAAGTCAGCAATCTATGATCCAGCCAGGCGTTGGTAGTAGAGGCTAATGGACTCAGAATATTTTTCTAGGGCCCAATGCAGTAGAGTGGTTCTAAAAAAAGCACAAAAAAAACGATAAACAAAGCCAATACTATTTTGAAAAATTAGCCCACACTGTTAAATATTAAATTCTAATGTTCTTCCTTATCCAGTATGTGTGCATTGAAATTTTTCCACCAATATGAATTTCGTGCAAAGTCACGTAGAGCTGCTTTTTCCTTACGTAGAGGGAAAACTACATCCGACAGGGTATCAGAAGCGACTGTTACCATCCTTGCGTTTGGTCTCTTTGCTTTTGTTTATTTTAAAGGATATGAAAGTCAAATTCTATACTGTCTGAATGGCAATGGCACTACAGCAGCCTTCACAATACCTTTGTATAGACTGGCAGCGTGATGTTTAAGTTGCAGATAGCTTGATGGACCAGGCCTCTCGTGGATTTTGGCTCTTTCATGAATGATAGTCGTCCGCAAGGTTCCTGAGTTGTGTCACGTACCTTGAACAAGAAAGACACGTGCTTCACCCCTATTTGACATCTGTTTAATGTAATTAGATGACCGTCAAAAGAACCAATGAAAAATAAAATTCATTTAAGTAAGAATTTAGATATGTTCCTTTTTTCCTTTTCCTATTTCCATTTAGAATGACTTTTAAAGAATTCTTTTGCTTTTAATAGGTTGTAGTAAAATATTCATAACATTTACCATTTAACTATTTTAAGGGCATAATTCAGTGGCATTAATCCTATTATTAAAGTTGTGCTGTCCTTGATACTGCTGCAAACTTTTCATCATGCCATATAGGAACTCTGTGTCCATTAAACAAATTTTCCACTGCCTGGAGGCCCCAACATCTAAAAACCTCTATTCTGGGCCTCCCTGGTGGTGCAGCGGGTTGAGCGCAGTGCTATGAAGCTGCCCACCGCCACTGCAGCGTGGGTTCGATTCCCGGCCAGCCAGGGAGATTTCCACATGGCGCCGCAGACCTCTACTGTCTCTCCCGCTGCTCCCCTCAGCAGTGTTTTCGGTCCATCTGCCTGTTCTGCTCCCCGCTCTGCCTCTGGTGAATCCTCTCGCCCCAGTGCCTCTGGCCTATGCCCCAGTTCTTGTATAAATAAAATAAACCTTTTAAAAAAAATAAAAACCTCTATACTGCTTTATGTTTCTATGGATTTGCCTATTCTAGGTACATCCTATGAGTAGAGTTTTATAGTATTTGGGTTATTTCACTGAGCATAATATTTTCAAGGATTGCTCATGTTGTAATTTCTTTTTCTTTAATTGTGACTAAACAGACAAGGGAAAAATTTATCATTTCAACAACTGTTATGTGGACAGTTCAGTGATATTAAAGTATATTCACATTGTTGAACAAGCATCAACACCACCTTCAGCACTTTTTATCTTCTCCTACTAAAACTCTGTCTATTAAGCAGTAACTTCACAATTCCTCCTTCCCCTACCCTTGGCAACCATAATTCTATTTTATGACTCTATTTATATGACTATTTTATAGAAATGGAACCTTTCAATATTTGTCATTTGGTAGCTCACTAGTTTTATTTAACGTTTACCCATGTTGTATCATGTGTCAGTATTTCTTTCCTTTTATAGGCTGAGTAATATTTCATAGTCTATTGTATGCATGCACTACATTTTATTTATCCATTCATCCACTGAAGGACATGTGGTTTGTTTCTCTTTGTGTTACTGTGACTAAATCTGCTATGGACATTGGTGTGCAAGCGCTTTCAATTCGTTTGGGTCTGTACCTTGAAGTGCAATTGTTGGATCACATACTAATTTTATATTAAACTTTTTACGGAATCAACATACTGCTCTTCACAGAGTTTACACCATTTTACACTCCCACCAGTAATGCATCAAGATTCCAATTTGTCCACATCCTCACCAACATTTGTTATTTTCCGTTTTGTTTATTTGCTTTGGATCATAACCATCCTAATGGGTATGAAGGGCTGTCTCAGCGGGGTTCTCTGATTTGCATTTCCCTAAGATAAGAAACACTTATCGGGCCTCCCTAGTGGCACAGCAATGAAACTGTCCACAGCCTCTGCCGGTTCGATTCCCCAGCGGCCAGGGAGAAACCCACATGGCGCAGCAGACCTCTCCTGCTTCAACTGCTGCTCCCCCGAGCAGTGTCTTTGCTCCATCTGCCTGTTCTGCTTCCCGCTCTGGCTCTGGTGAATTCTCTCACCCTCCCGCGCTTCTGACCTGTACCCCAGTTCTTGTATAAAATAAATAAATAAATCTTTAGAAAAAAAAGAAACACTTATCCTTTTCCCATTTTAGTATTGGGTTGTTTATAAGATGACTTTTGCATATAATGTTATCAAATATTAGCTTAATTATACAGCTGTTTGTGTTAAGTAGATCCATAACCTCTCAGCAATTACTGCTAAATGTAAGAATCTATCATAAAACAATCAAACCAAAAATGGGACAGTAGTGATCCTGGGAAAACTTAATAAAAGAGGCTTGCATACATGTCCTTGGAAAAATCATGAGATATTAAAATAATAAAAGACGTTATTGCCGATGTAAAGTTTGTGAATTAATGGTCACAAGAAATAAACTGCTAGGCCAGCTTCTATCTGTTGAGGATGGAGCATTACAACTTGTAGATTAGTGAAATATATTGTGAAAAACAGCGGGGGGGGGGAAGGGTGGCTGGAAAAATGGAGCAGAACAGAATTATTACTTTCTTTTGATTTTATGAAAATCTCTCCTCTATTCCCACAGGTTTTTCCCTGTTTAGAATTAGAATCAAGAATGAAACTGTATATATCATTGTCAAATCCCTAGTATGGATTCATATTTCCAAACAGAGACAACAAATTCATGTATTGAAGTGTCTCTATAAATGTTTGCTCAGTATTTATTCAAGTGTCTGAGTCTACAACTCTGCCTGGGATAATCTCATTAGCATGAGATCCCTGTTCTTTTGAGAGCTTTTACTTTAACAAGTTGTCACTTAGAACTCATGTGGTCTCCGCATTTGTAAATAATACACATTTGAAAAAATTAACCACAAACATTTTAAAAGAAAGAAGAGTATACAAGTAGTCTTTCCTTCAAATTTAGAAAAGAACAGCCAGCAATTCTAACTAAGGAATTAACTACTTGTCATTTGTTGTCCTAAACGTAGTTTGTAATTAAAACTTAAGGTTGAGTTTGAATTTCAAAAGTGAAACGGTTAGTTTCTTCTTAAAGTTTTACAGATCTAAAACAATATATATACACACACATATATATATACACAGATATATACAGATATAATGGTTAAAAAGTCATTGGAAAGGACTGAAAAGCTAATATTCTCCCCAACTAAAGGAAGTCAAGTCTTTACTTAGTCTTCAATAAAATGTACCAGAAATATGCATGTATATATTACCTTTACAAAGAGAGGAAGTCTGTTTTCTTTGAAGGCAAAAAAACTGAATATATGATGTTGGCCACTCTTGGTTAATGGCACCAGGTTGCCAAAACAATCAACATAAATGGGTTTCCCTTCTAATACCTGGTGAAAAGAGAAATAACACAAAATAGAACAACTGCAATTATTACTTGCTATCAACACAAGGAAGTGATGGTACTACCTAGAATTTCAGAATTTTTTAAAAATGCATACACCAGTCCTAACTATGGACTTTTGTCTTAACTGTGGCCATTGTCCTTAGTGCCAAAGTCAGATCAAAAAATCAATATATACTTAAGTCCTAAATGTAACTGTCCCACAATTTTTGACATCACAATAAAAGTCACCCAATTTCAATATCCAAATGATTCCACTGATGGAAGATTGTGAAATAAGAAAAAGCAAGAGAGAAAAGCCCTAGATAATATAATTTCCCATCTACACAAGGATATACTTGCTAGACTGTCTTCTTTACTCTGTTAAAAATAAGACCAATAAGGAAAGATTAAAAACATCCAAACTGTTACAGTCACTTATATATTTTAAATTTATCAATAACTCCTAGTTTTTTTCCAGGACAATCTTATTTTTTTTTTTTGTGGGACCCTCACCGGCGGCCGGGGAAGGAACCGGCGCTGCAGAGGCTGCGGGCAGCCTCGCAGTCCAGCGCTCAACCGCTGCGCCTCCAGGGGAGGCCCTCCAGGACAATCTTTAAGAGAGTTCTTACCTACACTGAAGCTATACCTGTAGGAAAAATCCAGACTGGCTAAAAATGACTAATTTTGGATCCTGACCTTCTGACTGATTGAGATGTCAACTGACCAATCACGGTTTTATTTATTGATATTTTTTTAATTATATATTAGAAAAGATATAAACAACACAGCACCATACACTTGTTTTCAATATCATACCTCCACATCCCTGCTTCTGGCCACCTCAGCAAAGTTTTCTTGTTGTTCAAGGGTCTTATCTACTTTATCATCAGTCATGCAGAAACATCTCAATCTGGCTTCAATGGGGTCGTGTGATTTGGCAAACACTACGAATTTGGCCATATATGGTACACAGATGATTTCTCTATATACTTGGGATGCAAAGGGAACGGATTCCTGGATTTGCCGACAATCTATCAGCCAGAACCTGCAACATGAAATAAGATCAGTTATCTGAAGTTTAAAGTACAACATGTGAAAAAAAGATTTTTTTTCACTATGACCAGAGCAGTCTCATTCAATGCTTCCTGGTGGAAGAAGGAAGTGAGACAGGGAACAGGAAAGGAAAGGGGAAGAGAAGGGAGGAGAGGGGAGAGTATGGAGAAGGGCAGCGCGCAGAGCTCAGGTTGGAAGCCAACTATTAGATCCTGCATCTTCAGTTTCCTCCTGGATTCAGTCGTCTGAAATTCATCTTTGGTGTTTTATAATCCTTTAGTGGTGCAGGCTCAGTTTCAGGTATTACGACACATACATCTGTATATGAGTTTGTTTTGAAGATTTCCCCTCCTGCTCTTCATTTTATTTCCTGAAACTCTTTTCAACAAAATCTGCTTAGCTGGGGCCTCCCCGTGGCTCAGCGGTTGGTTGAGCGCTGGGTTGCGAAGCTGCCCGCAGCCTCTGCAGTGCTGGTTCCATCCCCGGCCACCGGGTGAGGGTCCCACATGGCGCGCAGACCTCTCCTGCCACCCGCTGCTCCCCTCAGCAGTGTACTTCAGTCTGTCTGCTCTGCTCCCCGCTCTGGCTCTGGTGAATTCTCTCACCCTCCCGCACTTCTGACTGTACCCAGTGCTTGTATAAATAAAAATAAAAAATAAATCTTTAAAAAAAAAATCTGCTTAGCCTTTTCTCATCTCATCACTGTTTTCCAAAGAACTCTCCCATTAGCAAGGTAGAATCGGTTCCAGGCAGTTTTGCTGCATAATTAATGGGCCATAAGGCTATTTTGCCATAAAAGAGGAAAGAATGAAGAAAAGGACACTCAAAGGGACATCAGGAAACACGAAAAATTGGTAACAAAATACAAAATATTTGAACATGTTTACAAATGCGTGTCCATTCACAGCAACACTGTGGAAAAAAATGATTTTCTTTTGTGGACTGTTCTTGAACACTTGACTTTCAAGTCTTTCATTCATTCATAGTTGCAAATAAATTGGGGGGTATTTTTTGGTGATCAAAATTACTGGCTGTGTGAACTCAGAAAATATGAATCCAGATCACACACTAATATACTAGAAAATGATGACATAGCAGGTTGCCAGGACTTGATTTCTTATTCAGCCAGTGGAGAAATGAAACCAAACTCTTAACAAGTTAGTTCTTTTCCGTTTTACAGCAAAACTGCCTCCCTGCCATTTTGCCAATACAAGGCAAAAAAAGTTTGCATGGAAATGTTTACAGTCAAACTACTGAACAGAGGTTAAATCAACCCAAATGTTTTATCAATTTGGCTTCTGTTCCTGAACTCCTAAGTATTGTGGAATATAATTCAGAGAAGGTATGACTGATTTTGTGACATTGACTAATGTGTGATTTCTAGTGTCAGCTAAGTCTGTGACAGCTTTGTCCTTAGGTATCATTTTATTCACTATGGTAACATCTCCACACCTTCCTCACACTCCCTGAGTTTCTGCCCTCAACATAAAGCCCAAAAATGACATTGTCTCTGCGGAAGTGGAGCCCCCCCAGGATGGCCATTTCCTTATTTCCTGTGCACTCACTTGCAAAGGTTTATTCCATATCTTCTAGCTTTGAGATCACTGATCCATCTTCCCCTGACTCATTTCCCATAATCTTTAAAACATTCATGAGGTTTCCTTATCCTCTTAACCTTTTCCTCCTTCAAGTTCCTAAGTGATCTCTTTTTTGTGATTAAAATATACATAACATAAAATTTACCACTTCAGCAGTTTTAAGAATACAATTCAGTGGCATTAAGAACACACATGGGGGGCCTCCCTGGTGGCGCAAGGAGTTAAGCATAGCACTATGAAGCAATCGCAGCCTCTGCAGCACGAGTTCAATACCCGGTCGGCCAGGGAGCAACTCACATGGCACAGCAGACCTCTCCTGTGTCACCTGCTGCTCCCCTCAGCAGTGCCTTCAGTCCTTCTGCCTTTTCTGTTGCCCACTCTGTCTCTGGTGAATCCTCTCACCCCCCACATATCTGGCCTGCACCCCAGCTCTTGTATGCATAACTAAATCTTTAAAAAAAAAAAGAACACTCATGATGTTATATAACTTGTTACCCTATCTTTCCAGAACTTTTCATCATCCCCAACAGAAACAGTATATCCATTGAGTGATAACAGCTACTTGTCCAGCCCAGCCTCTGGTAACATCTCTTCTACCTCTAGTCTTTATGACTCTGCCTAGTTTAGATACATCATCTAAGCAGAATTGCACGACGCTTGTCTTTTTGTGTCCGGCTTCTTTCCATTAACATAATGTTTTCAAGGTTCAGTATCGCCCCTGGCTCCCATCAGGCTCTCACAATTAACTTCCTTGTACTGATTCAACTACATTTTATTGACTGTTCCATCAACTTCCTGGGAATCAAATTGCGAATACAATAACACAATTACTCCTGACTTCTTGATCTAGCCTAGAAGACTTTCTATAAGGCAGTGTTGCCCACCAACATCCCAGCATTATTTCTGAATCACAAATGACCTGGATCATAGCTGCTAACTCCCTGGGCCCTTCTGCATTCTAACTTTGCACCTTTGCTGGGCTAGCTGCCTTTACCCACCTTTACCTACTAGGTTCCTACATATTTCATGAGTCACCATAGACATCCTCTCCTCTGAATTCCCTGACTGCCTCTGGTGTACATCTCATTCATTTTCTGGCATGGAGGGTCGAGATACGAGGGTCAGGGCACAGCCACCCACAACCAGACACTCCACAGTGAACCCTTTGGGTGGTGGAACCCAAGCTGGCCCCACACTCAGTTACTGCTGAGCACAGGTACTATTCCTGCATTTCCACCTGATTTAAGTTTTAATCACCCTCAACCTCAGTTTTCTCATGTGTAAAATGGACATAATGCCTCTTGCATGAATTAAGTCACAAAGTGGTTGTAGCAACCCAATATTACGAATGGGAGGATACATACCAATCCATTAAGGGCCATACAAAGGGGCGGTAACATTAATATATTAATTGAATCAGTATATACATATGAAATAAAATGACAACTTCAGCTTTTCAAAGATGTGCAAATGGGTCATTTTTAAATATGTTAGGATGCGTAAGAATCACTGTAACCACTAAGGTATTAAAGCAAGTCACAGTGGGTTATGTTTTCATTATCATTCTTCTGCTGGGAAAAGTTGAGGCTTTTGGGCCTCCCTGGTGGCCTAGGGGTTAAGTCTTAGTGCTACCACCATGATGGCCTGAGTTCGATCCGCGGCCAGGGAGCTGACCCACATATGGCACAGCAGACCTCTGTTGTCTCGCCCGCTGCCTCCCTCAGCAGTATATTTCAGTAGATCTGCCTATTCTTTTCCCCACTCTGTCTCGGTGAATCCTCTCACTGCCCCCCTCCCCAGTCCTCTGGCCTGCACCCCAATTCTTCTATGCAAAAATAAATAAATCTTTTTTTTTTTAAATAGTTCAGGCTATTTTGTTGACAGCAGGAAATGCATCATTCCTAAGATCTTTGGGGCTGGAAAAATCAGTGGTGTCTGCTAAAAGCAGAGTCCTACAGTCAAAGCCCATAATCATTTATTTTCCTTAGATTTTAATCTGTCTGGTTGTACTTTGTTATGGCCTTACCGACATACAATCGCTTGCAAATGCCCATTATATTTTAAACCTTACTAAAAAAAAAAAATCACTTTTCAAGAATAGAAGGACCAAAACCAAGGACGTATTTTTGATGAAAGGCAAACAAGTTTGAGCTTTTGTGTGCTATGACACCGTACCTGGCAGACACATTGGTGGTAAAGGAAACACATTCATTGACAAATGTTAATGGCGTAGTTCCTGTAATATCTTCCCACTGAGCAGGGGTGGTTCCACCTGAAATAATATGACAGTGGAAAAAATTAGGCAAAACTCCAGGTTCTGGACTGTAAAATAAAGTCTTTATAGTTCTGGCCGTAATCCCACCCACTCCCTCAGAAATGACACACTAGAAATGAAATGACTAAAAGATGACATGCTGGAGGGCCTCCCTGGTGGCGTAGGCGGTTGAGCGTTGCACTGTGAAGCTGTCCACAGCCTCTGCAGTGCCGGTTCATTCCCGGCCGGCTGGCCAGAGAGATACCCACATGGCGTGGCAGACCTCTCCTATCTCACCTGCTGCTCCCTGCAGCAGTGTATTTCACTCAGTCTGCCTGTTCTGTTCCCCGCTCTGTCTCTGGTGAGTCCTCTCACCCTCCTGTGCATCTGGTCTGTACCCCGGATCTTGCATAAAATAAATAAATAAATCTTTAAAAAAAATGACATGCTGGAAACAGCAGACATCACCTCCCCATGAATGGGCCACCCAAGGGCTACTTAAATAACTTTTTTGAATTACAAGGTGTCCTAGTCTCTGCCTGGCTCTCTGAAGCTCTTATTGTAATTGTTAGGCTCTGAAAATAATTTTGAAATGTATGTATACAGTTGACTATTTTAAAAGATTCTTTGTCCAGCTACATACTGAATAACTTGCAAAAATGAGTGGGGGGGAATCAAATATGGTTTTGCTGTTTAACTTTATATTTCATCATTTATTTTCAAGAAACAAAATTTCATCTCTGCTCACCATTGAACACTGGGGAAAATATACTTGGAAAACATTAATATTCCAGGTCAATGAATGAATGAATGATTGAACGCTATGGGATGACCTCGACATGGGAAAAACACCATGGAGGAGCCTGATGCTGACTTTCAGTTATTTGAGAAAATAAGTGGGCAGAGATAAAGATCAGATAATCTCAAAGCATTGCAGGAGGGGTATTTGTTTGAGATGAAGAAAAATCTTGAGTGGGAGTTTCTTAAAGAAGAGATGAGTTGGGCCTCCCCTGGTGGTGCAGGCAGTTGAGCGCCACGCTGTGAAGCTGTCCGCAGCCTCTGCAGCGCCAGTTCAATCCCAGCTGGCTGGCGAGGGTCTCACATGGTGGGGCAGATCTCTCCTGTCTCGCCCACTGCTCCCCTCAGCAGTGTATTTCGTCAGTCTGTTCCCCACTCTGTCTCTGGTGAATCTTGTCACCCTCCCGCACATCTGGCCTATGCCCCAGTTCTTGTATAAATAAATAAATTAATTTTTTAAAAAAAGAAGAGATGAGTTTCCAAAGAAAGGGAATTCAGTCTAGTGGGGCCTTTGTAATATAAATTCTTAGCAGAATTATGTAACACAGTGAATTTTTAAAAATTCATAGATAAACTTAAGAAGTTGTTGTCCACAGCCCATCTGATGACAAAAGGATGGAATAACTACATTAGACAGTGCCTAGGTTCACAAAGTGTTTTGACTGATCATCGCCAAGGGCAGGATGGCCATAGACATCTTTCCATCTTACTTGTTTCTCTTCCCTGCCATATGGAGCACTAGATGAATCATATGTGGAACAAAAAAGTATGTCAGAGAAACCCAGAAATGCTAGTGATAACCAGAAAAAAGCGATCATTACCGAAACCTGAGACTCCCCCACATTCATTTAGATCAAGTATCTTTACTTTGTCATATTAAATTTACAAGGTAAGGCCTCAATAATTTACTATCATAAGTTTAGAAAAAAAATGTTAATAATAAGGGAAGATCAGAAAGAGAACAAAATACGAGTGAACATTTCTTCCAATATGAAGGTAAAATGAAAAAAAAAAATATATATATATATATATTCTAATGATACCCAAACAACCAGGGATGATTATTTCTACTGACAAGAGTAGAAATATTTACCGAGTGCCAATATTATTTAACAATAGTTATTGTTAAATGAAAGAAATAATCAGTCAAATCAATAGCTGTAACACGGGTTGTTTGCATGGATTTTTTACCTCTCCCCATTTGTGATGACATTATTGGGCAGAGAAAACCAATGCCCTAGCAATATCTTTCTGGAGTTAGGTAATTATTTGAAAGCTGTTACAATTTCCAATGGAAAAGACCAAAATTTCAGTTAATGCTGAAATACCTTTACTTTGTTTTTCCAAAGTCAGCTCAATAGACACAACCAATTCATAGACAGCAAATATGGGCTAGAGCAAAAAATTGAGCAATTATTCTCGATGCACTTTATTTCCCATCAGCTATAAGATGTCTTCAGTGAAAGCTTAAAAAAAATCTCAGCTTTGGGGTTTATGGGATTGGGTTGAATCCCAACTCTGCCAAATACCTGTGGTACCATCCTGTGCAATTCATAGAACTTCTTTAAATACTGATCTCCCTTTTCAGTAAAATGGTGTTCAAATTTACTCACAGTGCTACTATAAAGATGAATATGAAAATGTGTAGGAAATATCTATCGTCTGGGAGATGGGTTTAATTTAGCCCATGCTGCTCCCTTCCTGTCCCGGGTCACTTCCTAGTAGCCGTTTGCCTGAATGAATGCATGGAACCCTGCAGGTGTCTTATAGGAAAGGTAACATTCCATCCTTACAGTGCTTAGTTTCTTTCTGAACACCCCACTAACATGGTCGCGTGACTCACCAGTGATGCTGCATAGTAATCGTAAGGTGGGCGCCTCTCCCCCAAAACCATTCAACATGACGTCACTGGAAGCTTTGGGGACAGGGATGGTCATGGTGATTGGCTTGTGGAATTTCCTTCTTCTGGGTTCCAAAGTAACTATAGGGCTGAAGGTAGCTTTGTTGCCTAGAATCTTCTTCACCAGCTCACTGTGCATAGGCTGAGCCTTTTCAAAGAAGAGAAAACATTAAAATAAACAGTATAGTGTGGGATTTCACACCCAATGTCCTACGTCAGCACTTTGCTTATATTTTCATAAATCAATGTGGTGCCTTAAGTTGTACTAGCAGTTTTTGATGGCAGCTTTTGCTCACCCAAGAATCATCTGATTCTTGAATCATTTATTTCCCCTTTCATACCTGTCAATCACTGGAATAAAATTGGACTGGGATAACCCCAATGGTGGGCATACCTGCAGGCCCACTCGGATCCGCTTGGTGAGTGCCCCCTCCGGGAAGACAGCCTGCACCTGGGGCACCACCGTGCTGCTCAGCACCCCGCCCTCGGGACCGATCAGGTTGCTGTCCTGTTTGATGCGAGACACCACCGCAAAGTACTGGGGGAAGTCCCGGGTGATGATGCGGCAAATTCGCTTCTTCTCCAGGTCCTCGGGGCTATCCAGGACTGAGACAAGAAACAAGCCATCTTCACACAGGAAGGAGCTCCTTCTGAGAGCATTCTAGCAAACTCACAGGCAAGGTAACAGTGAACACACATAACAGCAAGACACACTTCTTTAAAAAAAGCAGGAACATTGGACCCCTCCTGGTGGCACAGGCGGTTGAGCGCCACGCTGTGAAGCTGTCCACAGCCTCTGCAGTGCAGGTTCGATCCCGGCCGGCCAGCAAGGGTCCCACATGGTGTGGCAGACCTCTCCTGTCTCGCCCCCTGCGCCCCCCAGCAGTGTATTTTGTCAGTCTGCCTGTTCTGTTCCCCGCTCTGTCTCGGGTGAGTCCTCTCACCCTCCCACACATCTGGCCTGTACCCCGGTTCTTGTATAAATAAATAAATAAATCTTTAAAAAAAAAATCAGAAAGACTTAAATAGCGAGACTATTCTGACAACCTCAGAAAAAAAAAAAATTGTAATCTTTCTACACCTGCCAGCATTCAGTTTGCAAATGGTCTTTCTTGGTGGAAGACAGATCCTCTCTGGGCATGGAGAAAGCATGGAGCTCCAGGTGGAGTATGGCAGGGCCCCTCTGAATGGGAGTGTGTGAGGGGACAGCTCTGGACATCACCTGTTCTATCCTTGGTTCCTGGGATGGAGAGGAAATCGCTTACAGCCTCCTTTTCTTTGCAAATATCAGTTACCGCAAAAAGCAGTTACTGAGGTTTTAAATAGTAACCTGGCCCTGTCCATGCTGAAATAAAATCTGTCTTGGGAGGGGAAGGTCTGTGTGTGCGTGGCCAGCCAGTGGGATGGCTATGAGTCAGTCACATGCAGAGGAAAGACAATCAGTAATTAGGAAAGCAGGGCTTCCACACTGCCCTGAGACCAGGCTCTCACCAAACATATCATCTAGCAGCAGGAGGCAGGGTTTGAACAGGTGCCTTGTAAACTACAGCACATAGAAAGGTAGGGCCCGATAGCCAGACTGGGTTAAAATGTAGAAAGTGTAGATTAACGGGCTCACCAAATGTCTTTAGGGGATTATGGAAAGTTGTTCATTTTGAGGAATCATTTCCAATTCACCATGAAAACGGGAGCAATAACTATACATCCTTGACTATGAGTAGGAGATAGCAGAAGCCTGAGCCCAAGGGCCTGCTCATATGTGATGGAAGATGGCTCCCCTGGCCAGCGTGAGCACACGTTTATGAAGAAGGCGTCTGCAAACACAACATGGACTCACACCAATCTGATCTGAAAACCAGCTTTTTATATATGTGGAAGGTTGTAGGAGCAGGTCCCCATCTAAGATCTCCGAGGTCACTGTGCCAATGTACATGGCAGCATCAAGGACACGTAAGCAGCTCAGTGGGACTGTCTTGAACCTGAACATGTATATGGCCCACCAGGTAGATGCGGCTAAATACTGCGCCAAAGCCAATTCTGATCTTTCTATCCTGCTTAGAAAATACTGATATCTAGCAGATCCTACATCTAGATAGATTCATTTCCTCTCCCCTACTTCTTGAACAGGGTAAGCCTTGCCAGATTCTCTGAAGACTGAGAAACTAGATTAGCAGGGATACAATACCGTGAATGTTCACCAACTCTGTACAGAATTTGGCAAGCTCCTGGCATTGAGACAAAGGACTTGGCCTAGTGGGGTAGTTACCTCATGTGGTAACGCGGGAATTAAGACTCAGCTCTTGTCTCTGTAATGTAAGGAGGATCTAAAATGAGCCACTTCCCTCTAGTCAGACAGTTTAACCTGTGCCCAAATGGCCCAAGCCAGATTTGGAATTGACAGAGGTTAAAACACTAATGAAGAATTAAGTTCCTTAACTTTATGTGTGTGTTTATACATGAAACTCAACCCTGGATAACTCTGTTTCCATTCTGTGTAGAAGCGAGAGCAAATATAATTTTTCTACCTAATTAATAATTGAATGTTTAAAAATTATATTAGCCTACAACGCAGGAGATAGGGGATATGTAAATTTTCCGACAGAAAAAGCTTAACACTTGAAAACTTAAAACTTAATTTTCAAGTTAAATCACTTTCTAATTGGTGTCTTCAATACCTAATTTTGAAGTTTAGCTCTTTTCAAAATCATGGGATACTAGATAATGCACCCATGATTTTGAAAAGAGCTAAACTTCAAAATTAGGTATTGAAGACACCAATTAGAAAGTGATTTAACTTGAAAATTAAGTTTTAAGTTTTCATTCAGTTTTTTTTCATTCAGTTTTCATTCGGTTCATTTTGTTATGCTATGATACTGTCCATTCTATCTCCTGTTTTAGGTTTGAAAAGTTTACAGTAAAAATGGAAATGTGTCTCCTTATTTAAATGAGATTGAGATTTGCTATTTAAAGGATCTTATTTTCCTAAATGGAACAGAAGTCAGAAGAGGCAAATACACAATGCACTGCAACTCCTCACGGCTGAAACAGCAGAATCCTTGCTGCGGTAATAACCCAGGAACACACACACACACACACACACACACCACACACACACACACCCCTACTTCCTAACACAAAGGCATCACTTCCACGCTTCAAGTTTAGAGCTCTTTAAGCCGCCCGAACAGGAGGTACCTTCGTCCATGCCGTTGAGGATTTCGTTCAGCTCCTCCTCGGTGTATTCACAGTAGTGCTCTTTCCAGCTGTCCCCATTCTCACTGCGCAGGACCACCAGCTCCCTCTCCTTTCCTCGAAGGGCGGCAAAGTGTGGGATCTCCACAATCACAGGCCTGACATGGTAACGCAGGGCATTTAGTGTGCGTGGGAGCTCACCACCAGCAAGACAAGCACCGTGACTCTGTCTGTTGCAAAGTGACCTGGAATGCGTCTCTTCCTGGGGATGGGGACATAGTGGGGTGTTCTCTAGAGCCCGGGGGCTAGCAGGTGGTCGCTGGGTAGCCCTCCACCTCACCAGGGGGACCAGTCCTCGGGACATGCTGCTACTATAAGCCAAATGACCTTGCCCTGTGAGTGCATGTGGCATTCTGGAACTTCTCCTTTGATCAGTGTTAAGTCTGACACATTTAACCAAAAGAAATGGGCATGCATGTCTATGATCTGTGCTGATTCTACAAGGTGCAAGATGATGATGTGAGTTAGAAGGGAAATGGTTCATAGGTGGCGGAATTTGATGTGTTGTCAATGAGGAGATGTCAGAAAAGTCAACTACTTGTCAACGAGAGTCATGCACTCGTGTTCTGGCTTGGATTTTCTTCATTCAAGGAAACAATAGGCATGTGAGCACAGTGTGCCCCTCCGATGGAGCCCCTTGGCTGGCAGCCCCACTGTGCCCAATGCCTATTAAACTCAGGATCTGGAACATGCACTGCCCTACTATTTTTGGGTCGCATTCCTTCTCAAAATGAACAGAGGCTTTTGATTTTTGAGTCCAGGTTGCTTTGATACAGACTCCAAATCTATCGTAACAACATCATCACTAGCACGGAGTACAACTAGGCAGATCTCATGCGTCAACGAAAATGAAGGTCACAGCACTTGAAGGGGAAAGATATAAAACATCACTCGAAAATAAAAGTCACATAACCACAGGGGTCAGAAATGGTCCACTAGAGATAGGTCATACAGAGTTTAAATCATACAGAGGGACATGTCACGGGGACAATGACAAAAAGAGAAATCATATTGCAGAAGGAGAATGGGGGCCAGCAGCCATCAATTTGTTTTAAGTCACTCCTACCCAAGGAATTTGGTTCCAGGAGGCCCCAGCTGAAGGATGCGGCTGACCAAACTTTCTCCCTCATTAAGTGGGGGAGGAGCCGTTGGCAGGTGAAGTTTACTGAGTACATCCAAAGCAGCAGTGAAAGAAAGAACATAAGTAAGCTTCAGGAATGGTTTCCACAGAACCCCAGCGTCACCAGCTGCTCAACAGTGTCACGTCTGCTTTCACACTGCGTTGGGTTCTGCCCCTCCATTGGTCACAAAGAGCAAGGACGCCAGACCCAGAGTGTACAATGGAGGCGCGTGGAAGGAAGGCCCGGAGGCGACAGATCTGTTCCCTACTGAGGTTCACCGCCAGGGCATGAGCCGAAAAAGGAAAAAAAAAAATGTCCCACTGGAGACACAAAGCCGTGGGGAATATTATGAAAACGCTGACTCTGGAGGGGCCGGGTGTTTTCATGCATATTCCCCGGCAGATCGGAATACTAGTGGAACGCCTGAGGCTACCTGAGCTTGGGGGAGGCAAGCTACGGCTGTGAACGGCGTCAGGTGGGTACGGGGCATGGAAGGCATTGGAGGGGCGTCACTCAACCAGAATAGCATTTTCTGATGCAACCCAGAACTTCATGGGCTCCTTTTGAATTTCTTGTTTGATAGGAGGACACGGGAGGGCATTTCTATCATCGAGAAATACAGACAAGGCCCCCTTTTCAGGGGTGAACATAATTTGGAGCAAACGACCAGCAGATTGCTCCAAATTACAGGGCTTTAGAATGTTTCTTGAGTTCTAAAGCGAGGCATTCTCTCCCAGAGAGAACACGGGCAAGCCAAACAGTTCACGAGTGAAAGGCGTTTCTCCAAGTTTTTGAGTGCAAAGACTTGCTACGACAAGACTTAAATACAATTGATTTGTTTCAAAATATTTTGAAACTTGTCCCCCCTCCAAAACTTCATCCTTTTGTCAGTTTTCAGCGGTAGCTATTCGTTTCTCGATATATTTACCACTTAATGTAATAGCAGCCGTACAAACAAACAGAAGAAAGAAGAAAGGCTCATTTCTGCTCAAAATTGCTACAATGAGCACCAGGGAGGTGAGTCTTGATTTTGTTATTTCAATGAAAACTCTGACTAGACCGACACCAGACTGCTTGTGCCATTTGAAGACTCAAAGTAGCAATTTTGACAACAGAAAAAAACACATAGACTAAATTTTTGGATCGTCTAGAAAGGCAATACTGCTTTCCAAAGTGGAGATAATGACTCTGTTTCACAACCACATGAGAATTTAAAATGGTGTCGGGAACCAAGTAGTAGTATTTCTTTATGTATGACTTGACCACTTCAGTAATCAGATGAGAAATAAAAAATACCTACCATCGGCTTAAACATGATTATTCGCACTGAAAGTCTAGCAGCTCTTATCACAGCCAAAGGAAACAATAATAACGACCCCGACTGTTTCTCATTAATGCCTTCGAGTAAGAGGCATGTGAGTCGAGTCAGGCATTGAGGTTTGACCTCCGATTTCTAGAAAAATCTCAGGGGCAAATCTTCTTCCCAAATCTGTGTTGACGTACCTTTTTCCATTCCGTCCTAGTAATGCAGAGGACACACGCGCATCAGTGACTAACTGGGAGGTTTATCAGAAACCCTTACCCAAGGAACTGAGCCCCAGAAGGTCCGACTTCGATCAGGCGACTGGCCAGGCCCTCTCCTTCCACCATCGGAGGCATAGTCGCCAGCCTATGGCGTTTGACCAGCCGGCAGGTGACTCGAGTCGGGGCTGTACATTTCCGAGGGGGGATAATGATACGGAGCCCGTTGTGCCTGCATCCTCGCATCGCGCCCCCTCGGGCATCCACCATAAAACTAACCAGGAAACTACAAATCAAAATAGAAGATTAGCCATGTTTAGCAATATCAGAGACAGACAAGCTTCACCCAGTTAATTTCTCCCCATCATGCTTTATTCTCCAGGTATCTTTCATTTGTACATGTGGTGGCAAAAAATTAGTCTCCCAAAGTTATTTTACTTTATACCAATGTTGTTATACCATTTGTGTTATTGCTTTAATTGTTGTGTTATTTTGAATCCAACTATAGAACAATTCTAATATTTTTTTTTTCAATTCTGCTAATTTTTACTGACAAGGGTGACACTGAGTAAAAACTGAAGCTGTGTTCAACTGACTTAGAAAGTGAAATAAAACTATCTAAAGAAAATTGATGAATCTGCTTGTGTTATAGATGCAATGACTTCTGCTTCCTTCTATGCGTGTCCTAAAAAAATCCACATATTAAAATAGTATGAGGATAGAGCAGAGAGGAAAAAGGAAAATTTTTCAAAATTACAACTTGTGCTGCTCATTTTAATATAATTCTATGATTAAAAAAGAAAAGAAAAGAAGAAGAAAAAGATCCATAGGCTTTCTCCCAAGGAAAAACCATGGGTAGGCATCCTGCTGCAAAATCATCTTAGCCAGGATATAGACTTTCAACTGACTGTATTCTAAAGGAAAACAAAATAATGAAATTCTTTGGATAGAACCAATTTACTGGTGGGAAATGCAATTTTTCACTTTTGTAAAAATCTCTCTGCTCTACCACTGCAATAGAAACAAAGGTGGGTGGACAGGAAACAAGATTACAGAGAAGTCCCCTACACTCTGTGTTTTGAATCCTGGGTTCGTGTTCATAAAGAGTGCCTGTCCACTGTGATTCCCTCCACATTAAAGTAAACTGAATGCAGAAAGTCATAATTCCTGATTTTTTTTTTTTTTTTTTTTTAGTTAGAAATGAAGCTTTAGTGTAGGTGAGCATACACACTCAAGAATGAGTGCAGGCGGATTCGGATTCGGAGGAGAGTCTCCATAGCTAACAATTTAGAAATGTAAAAGCATCTCTATTGTTCTTGCTTTTTTCTTGCCAAGCTAGTTATTCATGAAAAAAGGGGAACTTTACAATCCCAGAAAACTTCCTTTCGGTGTGCCAAGACAAAAGATGTGTCTTCACTTGGAAGCTGTTCCCTGTGGGATGGTCTCCACAGATTCTGATGCAGCTTAATTTGAATTTGTTTGTTCCCTTAATCATTCTATTAGCTGTAACATTCATTAAAATCTCTGAGGCTGTCACCTTGTCAAGGAGCAAAAATTACAACAAGCAATCCGACTGTCATTCACACATACTCAAGGACACAAACAGCGTGTGCACCCTTACACAAATCATATCACCCTCTTCCCGATTTTCATTACATTTGCAAGATCTGTGCACAAAAACAGAAACAGGTAGGTGGATGATGGGTCTACTTGTACCTTAACCAGCACAGAACTAGACCAGATTCACCACACCTAGATATTGCCTCCACAACAACATTGAAACATTAGAAAGGAATTCCATCGAGGTAAGTTATGGGAGAGAAACACAACACATTTATGTTATTTTTAGACAAGTGAAAAAGAAAGTAGCTTAGCATCTTCGTCATAGCAGGACACAGAACGTCATTAAGCTTGCAGTTACACAGAAATCTTGTTGCTGGTAATAAAAATGGATGCAGAGGAGCCCAGGAGGCCTGTCTGAAGCAAGTCATGCAGGAGAAGATCACCAAGAGAGGCTCATGGTCCTCTCCACATGCAGGAGCCAGCGTTGACCTACTACTCACACCCAGCTCTCTAAGTGCTCAGTCTAGGGCCCCAACTGGGGAGCATAACCAACAGTTAGTACAGCAGTGTGGATGTTTCTGCTCTTTATCAAAAACACAATAAAAAACAATGGTTGCTTTTCTTCTTACTAGTCTTTAAGTATGAATTCTTTAAACCTTTCTCTTCAAAATGGGCTACATGAAAGAATGAAAGAATGAAGGAACTGGTGCCACTTCTACATAAATATAAAGGCTTATATTCCTTTCCATTTATTATTACATGTGATGTGTTATTTATATTGATTTTTATAAAAACCAGGAAAAAAATCTATTTAAATGTCAACTAGTATTGCTTCCAAACTCATTGTAACATTTCTGACTTACTGGTGATTACTACGTTCTCTGATTTTAACTTTTTATCTTTTGATTGTGATCACCTTTGGTGACAGGACAGGACAGGGACTCAAACTTGTACAGAATTACCATAATCTATCTTCCTGGTATTTTCAGTCCTCAATACCGCTGGTCCCCGATGAAGGCATTTCAGAAGTTTCCATAATCTTGTTACATGCTATTTTATTTCCACTACATTTGGTCCAGTGAGGGGTGATGTATAACATCTCCCTCTGGGAAACCAGGTACCTCCTCCTGGAGCATTTGCTAAAGAGTGAACTGAAGTAGCTACATTCCAAGCTATGATCATGTTTAAGTAACTACATGTTTGATGGCTTTCTCTGATATTGTGTCAGTGACTATTCTTTTGGTATTCTTGTTGCTCTCATTTACTTCATAATTCCCATGTCCATGTTCCTTTTCCTGCAGAGTTTATTACTCTCCTACTAAGAGTCAGAGGCCCTGCTGGGATGTGGGATGCCAGGATACTGGAGATATAACACCCCAGGAAAAACCCAGTGGCTGTTGCTAAGAAGCTCAGAGTCTAAACTCAGATGTCCATGATGGTTTTGCTGTCATGGGGCTGCTTAATTCCCTGGCCACTGAGACATGAATTACACCCACATACAGGAGCCTGTAGGTACCATTAACAATTGGCCTTGAGCCACGTGCTTCTTCCTGAGACCCCCAGGGTCCAACATAATGTGCACAGAGGACATGGTAGGCAGCTGATAAATAATTGCTGAGTAAGTGAATGAATGGAAGCGTGAGAAAGGCAAGTGTAAGAAGCTGCATATATTTGTGTCTAATAATGAGGGGAAAAGGCCACAATAGGAAGCAATTTAAGTCTTTGGTCTCTGGACAACTGGTGGCCCAAATCGATACACTCGGATGTTTCAGCTCATAAAATAGCAAAGTAATTGGGAAGGATTCGGCTTAATGTTAAATATTCTTCTACAGTCACTTTCCTGCTCCAAAATAAGACACCCAATACGATTATTTCCCTAGGAAATGGGTGTAAGCAAAAACGAAGAGTTTAAATTTATCAAAATAAGCAATTTTGGAGTGAGTGAAAATTATATAAGAAAAGAAGACTGGGAAGTCAGAATAAAAGAATGTAAAGACTGAAACTACAAGGGACAAATTTAATTATCAGTGTCTTTGGGCCTTTATAGATTTGCACAATAATACTTCAGTCCTGCATTAAAATACAAAGCACACTGGAAAAATTAAGGTGCCAATATGCATAATCCAGAGAAAATTAAAATTAAATTTCCAAAGAAAACAAGCCTCTAAGTCTTTATCAAGTAGTTAAAAGAAGTGGGACAGACTCACAAAAAGTAACAAGCTCTAGTGAAGGAATTTCCCTTAGCAAGAAAGGAGAGAGAACAGAAAGATGTCGAGATAGAAACTAAAGAATTGGAAGGCATGAAAGAGATAGTGTTAATAGTCAAAACAGATACAAATGCTTATAAATCTAGAAAGAAAATACTCAAAGTAAATAGGACTCAGTGTAACAGAATAAATAAAAAAGCTGAATTTATAGAATTGTGTACTATAAGAAGTCTTTTCTTCAAATGAGATGGAATGGGAGAAACAATGATGGAGGCTTATTACCTAGGGGCTGATAAAAAGTCTTTTAAATGAAAGTCAACATGCTAGTTAATCCCAATTACTTTAGAACATAAAATTGGGTAAATGTTTGTGTATTTTCATTAAAAATACAAGACTATCCAAAGTGTCATTTTTTGGACAGATAGTAGAATTACTGGATAGTTTTCTGTGATGGATATAACAATTTTGAAACAACAAATCAGTGGTGAGAGAGAATTTTTTATACCCTAAGGAGGACAGAGGACAGAGGACAGAGGGCACAGAAGGAGGTGTGAAAGTGAAAGGTTGAATGTTTTGGATTATGAGCTGAATCAGTTCACACACCAGAGCTGATTAAATAAACATGGTTTTCTCATAGTTTCAGGAGATTAAAAATTAAATCTCTGAATCATAAGCAGTATTGTAAACTAATTTTACAGTTTTGGTACCTCAATAAAAATGTTCAAAAAATTTTAAAAGGGACAAGATTATGCTTTAAACATTTGGAGATAAAAGAAACTGAGTTAGAAATATCATTAAATATGGATAGAGGGGGTGGTACAAGAATGGAAACGCCCTTTGGGGAGGCCTTCAAACTGAGCCTCATCTGTCAAGGAGGGGAGATCCCATCACCACGTAAAGGAATAGTGAGGATTACCACGTGTGGGGAAAGCATAAGGAATTTAATCAATGAAAAGGTTCATTTTTATTGTTCCCACATTTCCCTTTCCTTATACCCTTATGAGATTATATATTTTGAATGTCTTCAAACTTATAGAACAATATAACTTACAAGAAGATATTTATAGGTGAAATATAGAGAAACAACATAAAGGATCAGGAAAAAACCAAACCAATAACAAACCTTAGAAATCTGACTATGGAACTGAGGCTATAAGAGGGGGGGTCTTTAAGTAAGGAGGGGCCGAATAGACTGTGCTGGAGGGCTGTGAGGGCCTTGGTGATGGATGTGGAGACATATACCTGAAGAGGTGTGACCCTTTACCCCTGAATCATATACAGTGTTTTAAACCAATGTAACCACAATATTTTTTTAATAATAAAAAAAAGGGATGGGGGCTGAAAATTACTAAGTGTTGACAATGAACCCAGAACTTTGCTAAGGCAGTTTAATATGATGATGGGATTTTCATTAGTTTACCAATTTTACTATTCAAATAAGATAAAAATATCATTATCAAAGAGCAGGAAGACGCAGCAACTACCCTGTTCTTTCCCAGACCTATGTCTGGTCTGTATCTAGATCTGTCTCTGTCTGGCAAGGCACTTTCTGTCTTCAGGTTTCAGTTTTCTCATCCATAAAGTGAGAGATTTCAAAGAAATAAAGTCTAAGGTGCCTTTCAGTGTCAAAGCCTGTCTACTGTTTACTGTTAGCCAGGTTAGGAAATCTCTTTCAATGTTTCTCTCAGCTGCTCTGGAAGAAATCCTAATTGGAAAACTACTTCTATGCCAAGAAGTAAATATTATTCTTGCTGAATGGTTACAACGGTCAATGAGCAGTTCTGCAGACAATGTATACACACACTGCACTAAACACGGCCTTACGACTTCACAGACAAAAAATATCACATGACATGTTGGGCTTTAATTGCATATTTTACTCTCCCAGTGAAATTTAGCAATCATGCAAATTTCTTATTGAGGTTTTCTAAATTGTGAGATACAACGTTATCACAATTTAAAAAGAATAAAAGCAGAAGCAACCCATCCTTGTTATGCGGATGACTTGCCTAAAAGACGCCATTTGATTAGCTAGACAGGAGCATGCTTTGCTTCAGAGGAGATAGCAGAGACAACGGCTCTGGGCTGCTGGGGGCTACATCCTGCACCCCAGAAGTTACTAACCCTGAGGTTCACTTCTAATTCATCCAGGACCGTAGGGCGAGGGTGGACAGGAGCTCGCGGCATTCAGAGTTAGTTATTGCGTGAAAGATTATGGAAACACAGGTCAGGGTGCTTCAGTGATTGACACATACTTAGCAAAGAGGGCCTCAATGAAGTCTGACTTAGGTCCTGTGAGAAGCAGCGCACCATGAGTTCCTTCTCGCCTGTCATCCTCTCCCTAATCTCCCAGCTCCTTCAATGGAATAACTGAAGGAAAATGATTTTGAAAAGGGGGTGCTCCAATTTTTCCAAAGGAATATTTATCAGTTGCAATGTTCATGTATAGAAGCATGATATTTAGTGGGTATTCAGAAAAAGGATGGATATGAAAGTTTTCAAAAGTGGAAATTATACTGGTCTTATTTGCAGACTGATCAGTGTGGGGGTCATGACAGAGGACGTAACAATTCATGACCAGTTGTCTGAAGGACTCTTTGAAAAACAACTCTATCTAAACAACACAGAATGATGGATATTTTTAGAGCACTGAGTAGAATTACTCTACAGCACACTTTCCAAAATAGCAAAAGGTTGGTAATACCAGTGAGGAAATGCATTAGTAATGAAGTTTTGGTCTTTGTTTCACCTAGAAGGAGGCTAAAAAAACCCTCCTAAATGACGCTTAAAATGGTTGGGAATAGCATTTGCCAGCTAGTCCTATTTTCCTCACAAAAGAAGCTGAGATTTGGAGACCCACGATAGAAGGAGATTTTCACAGTAAATCAACATTAATTTTGGCACAGCCCCACCCACCTAATTTCCTACAAAATGAAAAACACCCACTTTCCCTTCATCATAAAGGGGAATTCAGCGATGGCCATGACCGGTAGGGCATCTGTCTAGCTGTTTGGCTAGGTATCTTCACACTAAAGCATCCTGAGGCAGGGAATATGCAGGGGGAATGGAGGAGGGACAGGGGTAGGCACATGTTCAGAGAAGGAATTACACAGTCGTTCACCTGCTGTTGTCACGGTCAAGACATGGAGAGGTGCGGCTGCAACAGAATAGATACTTTAGCACAGAGGACTGGATCAAGTGAAATACAAAGAAGGAAATCAGAAGTGGCGTCAAGTGAAATATCTTATTTCTATACCAATACAGCACTCATTGAAAAAAAAGATGGAAATACAAATGAGATAAAGCTCTATGCAAAGGCTGAGAGAAGAGCACAGTTTGGAGGATTGAGGGCTGGTTCCCACTTTAGGGAAGTGGAGATGTTATCAAATCGCTGGTAGGGAATTTTGTAACCTTACCTGAACATTTGTGGGGACACTAAAGCAAGTCTAAGTGTCCAAAAGCTACAAAACCTAAGTGGTGTTATAATGAAAGTTACTGTGTCTTCGATTTGATGGACCTAGTCTGAACTCAGAAGCTTTCCATTCATATTTTTAATACTTGCAAAGTATCAACACTGACCGTGTGGGCTACTACAGAAGAAATGCAAAGAGAGAAGGCACAATTTGAAGAATAGCTTCAATGACAAATAGTAGCATAAACTACAAAGTGGAGTAGGTAACATTCATTACCTACCAGTATGGAATAAAAAACTACGCAAAACAAGTCTTAGTGCTCTTTTTTAAGGACTTTCATCTCCTGCCTGGGGGATTGCTACCCTTCTCATTAGTCAGATTGTCTAATTTCACTTTGTAGCACTGCCCTTTACTTCTCTTCTCTCGGAGTCTGCTTATCATCGGGTTCATCTGTGTGCTCCATACGCAATGCTATAAAAAATGGACATATCATTAATGGACTAGAAGTCCAACGTGTTTTGCTCCTTATAACAAAACCCAATTATGTTCATCCAAAAGAATTTACCTTCATGGACCTCAAAAAAATTAAAACTAGGGTATTTAAAATAAATGAACAACCAGATTTACTGCCATTGACATTTAGATAAACATGAATGTTGCCAAATAAGATACAGTCTTGAATTATTTGCATTTCAACTATTTGAGCTACTATCCTCAAGATATTTTGTTGGGGAGGATAGGCTTTATTTTTAGAGCAGTTTTAGATTCACACCAAAATTGCCTTTACCATGTTTTTATTAAAATGAAGTTCTCTAGAAGATCACCTTCCTATGTGCTTCTAGTTATGATAATGTCTTGTAGTACATCATAACTTGATGTTTAACTGTTGGCACTTGGGTGTTACCAAAAACATATAAAGACCTTTGGAATAACAATATTTAAAATGAGTCACAAGACTAGCTAGTGAGAGGAACTGTACCTTACATCTGCTAGTCTATTACGCACTTATGAAATGGAAGAATTGTGAAATTCAAATTCTTGCCCACGCTTATGCTGATGAGGATGACTGAGATTCTAGAAATGACTAGTGGGTAGATTCATAGTGAATCCGTGATGAAAGCCCTTAAAAGACAACAACAAAATGATTACTGTCAGCCTTTTCTTTTGCCAGGTATTGGCTACATGTACGGGGCACAACCGATCATTTGAATCACCAATACCTTTTCTCCTGTAGTTATGGAAATTAGTCATTGGAAACACAGAGATCAAATACAAGCACTAATACTGCTTATTGGTATTAGCTGCGTCTTCTGTTAGTCTAAAATTCCTTTCTCAAAGCTAACAGAACATTATACACAAAATGAGTGGCATGTGCCTGTGAAAGCTAACTTGATTATCTTCTCTATCAAAAAATTTTTTTTTCTTTTAAGGAGATTTTGAAGTAACTTACCAATTCACCCAATTGGTTAAGGAAAACCTCAGTTTCTTGAAAAATATATAAAACTACTACATAGCAACCTGGTGTGTAATCATTATCCCATGATATGACATGATAAATGTTATTCATGTACATTAGTATCATGGTGACTTTTAAATGCTGAATGCTGTGACATTCAGAATCGCTGCATCACCAACAGTATCACCTATACTAGAGTCATCAAAGTTTGTGTGTTCAAATACTATACCACACTATAGTGGAGACACTTAGATGATACATCACCTTGTTATAAAAATAACAAGTTAAACATTACCATTATGAACTGCAACCACATTGGTACTATCATTTAGAGAATTTGGAATATATTTTGCTTAGCTTATTTGTAATTAATTGTGAAAGAATTGGAAGCTGTGTAGAGGATTGTCTAAATATTGATGGCTATATTCTACTGAGTACTATTCATTCTAGCAAAATACTAATTATTTGAGAAGCACTTGGTCTTTACAGTTCCCCTGTAGGATCCATAATGTAACCATTACCTCACAGATAAGTAAACTGAAACAAATGTTTTATGAAACACGTGTACTGTCAACATATTGGTGTGAGGGTGAAGATCTGAATTCTGATAAGTGTGACTCCAAAACACATGCTTAACCATTGTGTTATCTCTCTACCACCAATCGTCTTCCAACTTCAATTAAGAACATAGAGGTGAGTTTCCTAAAGGGAGGGGCTAAACTTAATCTCTTTTCCTTACTGACACAGGTTTGGTGTTTTGTAGCAATGGACAATCTCAGAAGAATGAATACCTAAGTGAATGGAAAAAACTCAAAACATTTGCGAGAACTAGAAGGATGTCAATTATCTTGGTCTCCCTAATATGCAAAGCTATATTTTATGCAAGGTTATTCCTTTCTAACAGTGAATATAAAATATATATTTGAACAACCTGCAAAAATACCCAGGCCTAGGACCTAACAACAGAGATCCCTATGTTACTGGTCTGGGTTGAGGTCTGGGATGAAATATATATTAAAGCTCCCAAATAATTCTAATGTGCAATCAGAGTAGAAAATTATTTAGAACTAGCAATCATGTTTGAAGACGACAGAAAACTGAGTTATTGGAGACCAAGATTTTAAAGATACCTATCTTAATAAGTGATTAATATTTAATCGTTGGAAGCTTTTGGTTCATCATAAGTAATCAACTATAATTTGTCACATGTATATCTAGTTATATACAATTGGCATGTCTATCGATGTATTTTAGCTGAGTATTATAATTCCTTTCAGTAATTAAAAGCCTTCTTTGAGGCATACATTTTTTAAAGTAAATGAGTTTGAAAGCTGAAGTATTACCAGAGCTCTTTGTTATTTTTGGCAAACTCAGCTACTAATAGTTAGCCATGTTTTACCTAAAATAGTTTTCTCAGTCAGATAGGGACTTTAAATACTTTATTATGCTTTCTGGATTCTGACCTGTCTTCTATCAACACTTTAAAGTGAGGTCTCTTTTCCTTTTTACTCATCACTGTTTAGAAGTTTAGTAGCAGGATGTGGTGGTACACTTTTTGAATAATTCAGAGTGGTCAGGTTTAATGATCTCATTATACACTTAAAATATGTAAATAAATTTGCATGAGGGTTCAACTGGATCTTATTTCCCTGAATAATTCTTGTACCTGGTGTATGGGTTTTACTTATCTAACAAGGAAAAGAATACTATGATATTTACAATATCTATTTAACATTTCATTCTACAAGCTTTCAGAAATTAAACTGAGATCCAATTTTTTTTAACTATCCTGAAAGAAGAATATTTTAGAAAAATAAAAATATGAGAGAATCTATTAAAATAATTCTGGGAATCATGTATAAGGAATTTGGGATAATAATTCAAATCAAAGTATTCCATTTAGTTAGATAAAATATGGATGGGCTTTTAAAAAGTGATTAAATTGAAAATATTTATATATACTATATATAGCTTATATATAATTATGAAATTACTTTATGATTTGAAACTACTAAAATGTCAGAGCAAAACCACTTGTACAACATTACAAGTTAAAACTCTTAAGGAACTGTATATTCTATATCATTGAGATCACACCTTCAAAGCTATTTTAAATTTTTAAAAATATTTTTAAAACTATTACACCTAAAACTATAGAGTCACACTCTTTAAAATTATTAAGTCACACTCCTGATTTTTCATCAATCAATATAAACAGGCAGTATTCTTTAACTAGTGCCATATATATATATATATATATATATATATATATATATATATATATATATATATATTCTAAGGGTGACTTTTAGAAGGTAACTGAGACCCTGACCTAGTGAGTTCAAATTTCCCTTCTCAGAATGCCCCTACTTCAAACAGCCTTCTCTACCTATTTGCATGATTCCAACTTCTGTAAACAATATTTTAAGCACGTTAATACGTGAGGAAAGACATTTACTAAACCCACCACTTAAGTTTTGTAAATAGAACATTCTAGAAAGCAAATGCCCCCCTTTTTAAGATGGCTTGAAGACAAAGGGGAACAATAGATGACACCTGTGTATTCTGGTTAGTAGCAAGATGTTTGACGCAATTCCACTAGTTTTCTTAAAACAATGGCCTATGTTCTGTGCTGAATTCGAGCCTTTGGGTTGGCTTGCTTGTGTGGATAGAGGCCATGTTGGATAAAGCCATGTTATTTACAAGTTTAAACAAAGGTCATTTCCTCTGTTAGCTAGTCATCAGCTACAGCTACTGGACAAAGCTGTTATTTTCACTCTCATCTCCTTTTACCTCTTGATCTGGATGCATAATATTGATTTACTCACCCTGAGTGAATTGGGCTGGAAGAAAGAGCCACGTTGTCTAAATTCTCAGTGCCCCAGCTCAGGCGATAAGAATTCCTTTCTGCCTCCTTGGCTAGAGTTGACACCTAAATACAAAGAACACTAGATTAAAAAAAAAAAAATACTCCCTTTCAACTAAAATAAAATGTAATGAAATGAAAAAAATAACACAATTAAAAGAAATAAAATAAAGTGGGGCAGTCAGCACACTGGCTTTATGTTACTGGGAAACTGAGTCTCGGGCTAACGTTTGAAGTTTCCTAAGTGAATCCTAATAAATTATTTGAATCATTAAAAAAAAATAAAGTCTAATGTGATGATATCCAAAAAGTGCTATCACAAAAAGGTAGTTTACCTAGAAAAAGTTTGCATTTAAAATTAGTGGACGGGGCTTCCCTGGTGGCACAAGGGGTTAAGCACTGCACTATGAAGCAATGTGAAGCCTCTGCAGCACAAGTTCGGCCCCCAGCCGGCCAGGGAGCTACCCACATGGCACAGCAGACCTCTCCTGCCTTGCCCGCTGCTCCCCTCAGCAGTGTATTTCAGTCAGTCTGCCTGTTCTGTTCCCCAGTCTGTCTCTGGTGAATCCTCTCACTCCCCGCCCCGTATCTCTGGCCTGTACCCCAGCCTTTGTATGCATAAATAAATAAATCTTTAAAAAATAATAAATAAAATAAAATAAAATTAGTGGACAGAGGCATTTAAAATGTATCTCTAATAATGTACTCACATTTAAATGACATTATTGATATAAGATCACATTTGAGGAGAGGCATCCATCTATATCCCTATATACAATCAGCCCAAACTGATAAAATCGACCTAAAGTTAAAATATTCCAGAATAGATGCCACAACTTTTCTAAAAGATAACAATTTTTAATATTTCCAATAAGCTAGTATTTTATCATTGGCAGATGTAATTTACCCTCTACTGTTCATCTTACACCTGAAACATACCTTAGCTTGCTTTTTCTCTTTAATAGAGATATAAAGGAACCGACTTTTTCTGTATAGCCTCCACAAAACTACTCAGGATAGCTAAGAAATAAGCAGTGAATTATTTCAGAAACACTCTGCTCAACAAAAAATGAGGGAACATTTTTCATGTTTTAGAAAAATCCTCATATCCTTGCCTGACAGCTGAATTAGATGGCTTTCTTCTTCTTCTTCTTTTTTTTTTTTTTTTGGTTTGTTTGTTTGCTTGACTAAGAGTAAAGCACTTCTGGACATTTCCAGTATCAGGTAATGCTAAAAAAACAAAAAAAAAAAAAAAAAAAAAAAAAACCCCAAAACTCTCCCGAAAGCAGAGCCTCAAAGGCAAAAGGCAACATACCTGGTGACTGGGAATCACAAGCGCGTCCTCCATCATGGCGCTGTCTCTGAGGTAGGACGCATGGCTCAGGGTGTGAGACCTGTCGGAACTGAAGGATCGGAGGCTGGTAGGTTGGCAGGTCATGTCACATACCAACGGCGGTAGGAGGGTTGGGAGGATGAAATGATGAGCCGAGCAGGAGAGTGAAAAAAGCGTGCTATTAGCCACCAGTGCAGCTTGCAGGGGGGCATACATCGCAACCGTGGGAGAAGGAAACATGGGTGGGTCTCTGTGTCACCTCCCTGTCCAACGGCTAACCTGACACAACTTTTGACTGGCTCCTACCACTCAATGGCCCGGACACAAGGGAATCCAGAAGTGAAAATCTGATACTCTTAATCTGATTCATTTTCTTCCCAGAAATGTTTGAAACCAGCAACTGTATTTTGTTTACTGCCAGGACAGGAGATTCGCAGAGGAAATTCATTGCAGGCTAGAGGACTGAAATCTGTGTTCGCTGTCATTCTGCTTGCCACTAAGAAAAATACTGGGGGGAGAGGGAGAGGCAGAGAGCACAAAAGGAAAGCACAGGTTTCATTTTCGTTCGGTCATTCTCTCCACGCCTCTCACCCCTGCTCTCCAGGCGGTGGATGACCTGGCGTGGGTGCGTTCCCCTGGAAGGTGGACAGCGAAATGATCTGTGGCCAGATGCATGCTTCCTGGGGAAGTGGAGTTCCTCTTGTTTGTCTCTGGTGTCTCTAACAATGCTGTTTCAAAGGACAGCACTGTTCCCTTTGCATGTCCTGTGTGTGTGAGTGAAGCATGAAAGAGCTGGTTGCTGTGGCGATGAGCTGCGAGAGCGAAAGGAACCGTTCCTAAGCGCCAAGGCGGAACACAGACACATGTGCCAGCACAAAAACAAACTGCCAGTGGACACCGACCAAAAATGAGGTTTGGCTTCAAAATGGGATTTAGGCCTTGAGAAGCAATGCTTTGCATTTCTGATCCATCTGAATTTCAAGGTTCTGATTTATTTACTCAAGTGCAATGGGTAAAACTTGACGTTCACATAAATGGACATTTATTCTTTCATAATCAATCTGCACAATCAATTGACAGACTGATGTCTTCAAGAAGGTATACTTCAAATATATTTATCCAAAAATTAATGATTTATTTAAAAAAAAAAAAATTAGCCCAAAGCCCATATCGGGGGAAGGGGGAAGAGATAAGCAAGCTTTCACAATATTTATAGAAGCAAATTTTCACTTGCTTTCAGCTAGTAGGTATTCAAATGGCCAGTGAAACACTGTAGAATTATGGACTAAATGTCTAAGCAAATTTATTAGAAACCATTCTCGTTTTGCAAATAGACCTGATTTTGTAAGTCACATACTGTTATCTTCATGAAGTGTCAATATAGCCAACTCCAATTATCTTTGAGAAAATCATCACTTGGCAGGGAATGCATAGCAATTTAATGTCTTCTCCCTCCTATTCCACTGTAGGTTTTATGGCCCCAAAATGGAACCCAAATTTCAGAGGGTAAGTGACATGCTTGTGTTTCTATGTATACAAATCTGTGTATTTATCATATAACGAGATCTAAATAAAGCTTGGGGATTATTTTTTGAAACTCACACTCCTGGAGAAGACAGAGGATTCTGAAAAGGTGGAGGCAGGGCACCCTGATGTCCTACGAAACCCTGCAAGGGGTGTAAGGCCTGGCTGGTTGAGGCAGCTTACATTACAGCTGGTCCTACAGCTTTGCTGCAGGCTTGTGATAGCACACTTGATAAACAGGCTGCAGATTGCTGTGACTAACCTTGGCCTGACCTTGACATTGAGTAAAGGTATTAAATCATTGTGGGGAAGGGTCTGTAATCACAGCAAAAACTTGTCTCATTGAACTGACCAATTCCCTCTCCTCTCTCCCCGCCAATAAACCACAGAGACAGCAAAGATTGCTTGTTGGTGTTTTATCATAGGCAGCACTACATCAACAGTACTTAAATACTGTTCTTTATTTTGCTTGAATTGGGTCAATGAGAGAAAATCAGTAGCAGGGTCAACCTGCTGAAGGAGTTGGCTTGTCTATGGGTTCAACCATTTTCCCTGCCAAGTTCTACGGGGCACTGTTTTGTTAATGACATAATCTCTATCTACGGCTTTGGAGTTCAGAGATCTAGGTTGTGACTTTACACACTGAATGGTGCTAGATTTATAGGAATGAACATTACAAAAAGTGCATGAAGTACTGAGATACAGGACAGGCTTGGTCTCCAGGTAGAACTGATGCAGGATTGTAAACTATCAACCACAAGGTGGAGCTGTCATGGTTAAAACAAAATTATACCTGGGTCATCACCTCTTCTAGATCAAATGGTTCTTCAATTTTATGCATGAAAATCCTAATTTGAGAATAAATCCATAATTCTAGAATATCACCACACACACATATGGGGCAATGAGCAGAGAAATGTGGATGTATCCAGGAAGGCATGATTTCATGCTATCTAATACCTACCTGGGCATGGTACTATTGAAAGCATACCAAATAAAGAGATCATGAAAAGGAACATGGTTACTGAAAAAAGGTAACACTGAGTTGTCTAAGCAAAATTAAAAAAATAATAATAAACAAGAAAACCATGGAAATGGGAAACCATGAAAATGCTGCCTGTCTTTCCGTCCTGGAAATGATGAAATGCAGGTGAAGAAGGCGTGTCTTTCTGGTCCCTGTCCTGACATGCTGGTAAGTATTCAGTTTAGGTAGAATCCACAAACAACTGACTCCTGTTTTAGAGGCAGTATTGTTCTAAATCTTACCCAACCTCAGTGCATTGAAAAAAGGGGAAAATGATGATTTTTGGACACTTATTCACCATCAAAGACACCATGGGGAAAGAAACACTTTTTGGAGAAAGTCATATGATTATTCATAGAGTATCACAAATCTGTGCAAAGCTATAAACGTTTTGTGTTACTGAAATGTGAAGTCTTTTAATAATTCAAATCTATCTTAGAATCCAGGTCTCTCAGTATGGAAAATTCAATAGCTTGAATTTCTCCTCATCACCAGTTTCCCCTACTTGACCCTGAGACCTTCCTCTTTTACACTCTCACCCCAAGGACCACCTTCTACTAAATCATCAAAGCCAAGGAATCCATCGAATCTCCTTTCTTTTTCACCCCTCCATGAAATCCATCACCAAATCTGCTTAGTTTTTCCTTGTAAATGTATCAAATTTTTCACTTCCCAAATTCTCCTCAGGAGTGCTACTAACAAGGTTAGAATTCAAATCCTTTCTCAACAACGTCAACTAATATTATTATAAGTTTATCAGAAAGTCCCAAATGTTGTGTTCAACAATTTCTCAACTCTCTTCCAAAATTCATCCTCCGTCTCAATGTCAGAGGGCTCCATCCAAAATGCAAATAGGACTTCCCCTCCATTCACACATACACACAATACCACCCTGCTCTGCTTCTCACACCCACATGGAGCCTTTGCTCGTGATCTTATTAATGCCACAAATGCCTTCCCCTTCTTCTTCTGCCATCATTACTCATCACTCAGTCTCACTTGTGATTCCCTCCTCCGGGGACCTTGAGCCACAGCAGCACTCTGTGGCATCACTAGCTGAGTCTCTCCCCACCCCGGTAGACTATGAATTTAGCACTCTGCCTCAAGTCGTGTGTGAACCTCCAGCACAAACCACAAAGTCAGCCCCAAAGGCACTCATTCCATGCACAATGAGTTATTACAACAAAAACAGGGTAGGGGATGGGACATGGGTCTCAAGAAAAAGGACCCAAGAAAATCCTGGATTTGGCGAATTCACCATTAAAATGGATTGGTTGCTACGGTATTTCTTTTGAAGGCTCTCAATATATTGCATGCAGCTGAGAAAAGAGCAAATATTAAAACTCTAAACCTGAGATTATCTATCAGCAAAAGACATTACACGATATGGACAACCACATGTTTAACCTGAATTAGTCTGAATTGATTGATTGATTGATTTTTTGGATGAAGTTTCTTATAGGAATCTGTTCTGATTCATTTTTATGAAAAAGTCAGTGCCAAGCATAGTTTCCTTCTGAATTGTTTCTTTTCAATTCCTTTCGCAACACACCTCTATGCACAGAACATATGGCACTAACAAAAAAAAAAAAAGCCCAGGGGACTGGAATGATCTGTAGTTGTCACTTAGTAAAAACAAGCACAGGCAAAACTGACCTTTTTATGTCCTTTTATGTAGTTAGAGAAAAAATGATGGAGGATCAAAAATATCATATTTAAAGAGGAGAGCTCTTTATTTATCAAGGCTCTGATTCTAATCGTTGTTTGACTTTGCTAAGCTATTTAATCTCTCAGACCTCAGTCAGCTGTTCTTTCAAATGGGCACTTTTTAAAAGTTACTCACAAACTCAAGATCACGCTAACTGCTGAGAGGATAGGTACCACAGGATGCTTGATGACCATGTCTACCTTTTATCAGTCATTATCATAAAAATGTGCTGCACCATTTCTGCTTGAAGTCGCAGGTAAGGTTTGTGTGAATACCTGTCCGAGCGTCCTCCCTCCAAGCTGTATCGCAGGTAATTCATGCCATCCAGGAACTGACTGCTGGGCAGAGAGTCATCACCGAGTTCCTTCAGGTCCTCAGGTCTCAGGTACTCTCCCCCATCACCTGTCATTGTGTCATCACCTGGAAACAACCAGAGGAAGGTGGGGAAAGAATTTTTTAGCTGCAAGTAGTAACTATAAAATGCTGCCATGATGGAAAAAAGTCAGCATAATGGCACTGACATCACTGGAGCACTGCACACTCAAAGAAACACATACCAATGTGGTGCTAGCCCTTAGAGAAACTATAGTTTACATGCTTCCCTGTGAATTACCAAGAAGAAATAATTACCAGGATTACCCTTCTTTTATTGTCAGTCCATTTTCTTTACTCGCTCTTTATCGCGATAGGTGATTTATAGCTTATATTAGTTATCAGAACTAGCACAATACGTAGATATATGTATTCTAGACAGTTTTAATAACTTTGTGCATAATGTTCAGCATTACAAGTCTCTCCATGTATTTGGCAATATGCTAAGGAAAGTCTACTGCTCCAAAACACAAGAAGATATATTAAACGAGGTAATAATACAATTTATAACCATAACAAAACATGCACACCAGGGAAAGAATGTGAAAACGAAGCGAGCAGATTGTGACATTTTTACAAGCAACCTGGAATTTAATTTTAAAAGCACAGTATGAAAAAGATTTGTTTTTGTTTTGGAAACTAGATGCTTCCCAAAGGCAAGGTACAAGGGGAGAATCAAATTAGGAGGTGACTAAATCTCAGAGCTCACATTTGGAACCCCGAATGGTTAAGGGTGCATTCTCTGCTCATGAGCTTGAATAGAATGTTTACAAAACCAGAGATTTCACACTCAGTAAATGATACCACCTTTCTGTATATATAACAGAACTGCTACATGTACATTAATCATTAATGCGCTGGGAAGGCGGGATAACAGAGCTGAGTGAATCTGTTTTTGGATGACTCTTTAAAGGCACCAATCACACACTTTAATAAAGCTAACTTGCATATGAAAAAACTGGAAGGAATGTACTTCACAATGGTAATTAAGTTAAAGATGAATAATTTTAACCCCATTTAAAATAATAGCTCTAATCAGCAGTACATTTTAAATGAAGATACAGTATTAAAAGATTATAAAAGATTAAATGTCTTCCCCACTTCATTATATTTCTCTTTAGGATCCCACGAGCACAGGCCTGTATCAAAACCTTGTTAGTTCTCTTAATTACTTAAAGCCAAAGAAAGTTTTTAAAAAACAAAAACTTTCCGTAAATAGAAACATGATTTATTCGCCATTAGATTTTTGCCTTATAATCAATTCATTTAATATTTGATAGTTCCCAGTTTCAACACTGAAATTTCTTTTGTTGTTCCTTTAGTGACCCAATTCAAGTGAGTTAGGCAACAGAGAATATTTATTACAAGTTTTACCTTAAATTTGGAGAGACCTGGTTCAAATTTAATTCTACTTTTTAGTGGTCAGTTAATCTTCCAGCCCCTCAGTTTCCAAATCTAGAAAATGGGGGTGATACTAATAACCTACTTCATATGGCAGTTAAATGAACTGAATAAGGAAACACTTAAGAATATGAACAGGGGAATCTTGCAATTGCTAGTTATTGTTCTTTAATAAGAAATGGTCTAAGTGTTAACATGCCAAAAAAAAATTGAGCAAAATTTCATTCATGCAAAGACACTCCTTGAAAAAAAATGCATGTAGTATAAAGAAAAGCAATTGTATTCCCCTTAAATATTTCATCAATCTGATAGTGCAAATGAAAAGGGGCTACATTTTTAAAAATTTAGTTTGTTGAAGTAGTCTGCCTCCACCCTTGGGTATATTGTCTTCTTCAAAGTGTTCCATATACAGCAAGACGCGATGAATACCTGCAAGCCAAGGATCAATAACTATATAATCTAACACAATATGCACATATCAGGCCATTTTCATAACCAAAAAGGTCAGAGGAGACAGATATCCCTTTAGGCTGGTGGTCTGGGTTGAGCAGTGTCACCCAAAATTCCATGCCCACCTGGAGCCTCAGGATATGGCCTTAATTGGCTATCGTCTTTGTAAAGGTAGTCAGTAAAGATTCAGATGAGATCATGCTGGATAAATCCAATGAGAATGTTCTCAGAGGAGCCAGAAAAGGGCACACAGAGACACAGAGGACATGGTCACAGGAAGGTGTGGGTTGGAGTGACGTGTCCACAAGCCAAGGACCATCAAGCATTGCTGACAAGAGGAAAGGAATTCTTCCCTGGAGCCTCCGGGGTTGCCATGACCAATGGACTTCTAGCCTCCAGAAGTGGAAGAGAATAAATCTGAATCACCAAGTTTGTGGCGATGTGTTTGGGCAGGAAAATCCTAGAGGACCCCAGAAGGAAAGCTTGAAGGAGTTGGAGCTGGTCACAGGGTTGGGTGGCATGCAGACAGAATGGCACTTCAGTTGAGAGGCTAGTGTGCATAAGGGGTGGTGGAGGGCAACAAAAGCAGCATGAGTGAGAGAGCTTCTCTAAGCATTCCTTCCTTAGAGAAGATGAAGTGCAGTGACTGGGCAGCAGTAAGTGTCCATGTCGTTGAGCAAGGACAGAAAGTCCAGGAAGAAGGCTGGGTGTCTGGATGGAGTGACAAGATCAGGATGCTTAGGAATTTTATTACGGCCTTTTCAGATTATTTTTTATATTTGCTCCACTATTTCCTGCCTCCTGCAGAATCGGGTAAGGCTTTATGGAGGAGTACCTTTATGAGTCAAAGAAGTTGGAGTCCCTTTGCTTATTTCTGGGAGAAAAAAATTAAGCTCAATTCTAAGAATTGGTTTACCAAAATAAAGGTGGTGTCTGGTTTAGATAAAAGCCTAACTTTTGGAGAGAAGCCTAATTTTCAGGAAAAAACTTTGAATTCTGTTAAGATTTTGGAAGACTAAGTCTACTCTTGTTTACAGAACAGCAAAGGGAATGGCTGAATGTAGGATTTTTCATGCAATACAAATTGCATTTGATGGATGCCCTTGAGCAAGAGCCCACAAAGATGATTAAAATCCAAAATCCAATGACTGCTTGAATATTCTCTCTCCCACACCACTCCACTACCCCATTAAGAATCCCACATTATTGAGCTGTGCTTTGGGGCACCACATTCCTAATTCCACCCAGATTAGGGCACCCTGCCCATCCTCAGAGTCAATTTGTTTCTGCATTTCATCTAGCTTCTCCTCAGCGCCTGCTCTGACTGCGGTTACAGGGGAGAAATACAAACCAAAATGTTCAGTTTCTTCATTCTTAAAATTACTCGATACTCATTAATAAAGTACATTACAGGTTTCTGTCCTATTCCCCCTGTGTCCCCCTCTCGTCACCTGTTGGTAGACAGAAAAGGGTTTATTAGAGTGAAGGAAAGAAGAAAGGAGAAAAAAAAGAAGGATGTTTAGCTGGAGAAGCTCCAAGTCTGAAGACCAGTGTTGCAGTTTTAGCTCATAGAACATGCAAGTCAATAACTGATCCACAAGTGGGAAATTCTACAGATAACTCAGAGCTTGAAGTATTTTCAATGTGTCCAAAAAACAAGATAGTCAGACCTCGCTTCCTGTCTTGAAAGGTGAGGTGCTTATGGCCTCCTGTAGAATCCATCCTTGCTTTCATTCCTCACCTCCTCCCATGTGCCTAGACAGCGTGTCTCCTACGCCCTTCAGACTTTTCCCTTCTACAGTGAAACTTCCATGGTCTTGCTGTCTTTGAAATACAGTAACTTCTTCCCCCAATCTTAGATCTGCTTCAATTCACACTCTAACTCCTCTTCCTTTCACAGTCAAATCTATTCAACTTATTCTCACAATTTTACAAAGTAATCGGTGCACAAAGTTGGCTGTTCTTTGGAAAACTGCCCTCCTGAATTTCTCTGACACAAATCTCTCCTCATCTTCCTCCCCTTTGTGAGTCTCTCCTCCCTCCATGCTCACAAAAGGTAGATAATTCTCCACTGATCTTCCCTGTTTATTTTTTTAATTTTTTTTTTATTTTTATACAAGAACCTGGGTACAGGCCAGAGACGCAGGAGGGTGAGAGGATTCACCAGAGACAGAGCGGGGAACAGAACAGGCAGACTGATGAAATACACTGCTGAGGGGAGCAGCAGGCGAGACAGGAGAGGTCTGCCACGCCATTTGGGTATCTCCCTGGCTGGCTGGGAGTCGAAGCCGCACTGCAGAGGCTGCAGACAGCTTCACAGCGCTGTGCTCAACCCGTTGTGCCCAAGGGGAAGTCCTCTTCCCTCTTATTTTGTTGTCTATACACAAAATATCCCAAATGTACACAATCCCATATCGTGACCTCTCTCACTAACTCCACAGTCACACTTCAATTGCCTCCTGGACTTTGCCACCTGAATTTCTTGTAAGCAGCTCAGATTTAGCACATACAAGACAGAACTAATCTTCTTCCCCACCCCGCCCTCTGCCCATCTGCTTCTCTCAGTAAATTCCCTACATGAGCAGAGAGTACAAATACATCCCTGCTCAAGCCAAGTGGGGGACGAGGGATGAAGGTGTGCTTTAAAATAAGAGCTTGGACTTATACTGTTACATCTTATTTGTTTAAGTAGAATTCTAATAGATTGGGAAGGAAATTTGCATCTCAGAGAGCCTGTGAAAGAATGGTGAGACTCTGTCATACTTCCTTGTATCACCTTATTAATTTGGTGTGAAACTGAAGAACAGAAAGCAAACTCTATGCTCTTCCGTCATAACAAAATTAAAATGAATTTCCTTATTGTTTCCTATACCCAGGATAATTACCTCCCATCACTTCCTGTTAACTCACGTCATAGAATTCTGATGCCCAGGTTCTAGGGCTTGTCATTTTTTTGTGGTGTTCTCCAAGTACCCCAAACAATATCGTGCAGACTCTGTCCTACTGCCTTGTGTTGGTGTTTAAGGTAAAGTTCACCCTTTGATATCTGGAAACTCTCAGATTCCTTCTGGACACTGGCAGACTTCATCATAGGTGGGTTTATGGGATTGCACCTCAAGAGTAGGATAAATGAAGATGAACAGGGTGGTCACAGGACATCATGTGCAATACTGTCAAGAAGGAGCTTCTCTGAATGGTCACTGAGTCCTTTATTTTTCAAGCAAGTGGTTCTCGCACTGAGTAGCGAGGAAGGGCTGAGACCTGAGGTGAGGTGCCCAAGAGGAGTGCATGCTCACTACAGAGAGAGCTGTGTCCAAGGAGAAGCCAGCTGTGCCTCTGAATTCCACCCCATACTCGCCGCACTGGGGTTCCCTGGTCATTCCTACAGACGCTCCAGAGATAAGGGCTACAGTGTCACATTTCCACAGGCAGTTTGGGTTTTCTGGGACTGAGAACCCGACTTCTAACTTCAAGACTTACGGCTGGGGGCTGGGTCAAAATGAGAGGGATCAGCTCAGGAAGATGGAGAAGACTATTAATTCGGTCACAGCTTTGCTTAGTCTGTTCAGAACAATTCTCTATGACACTGCTCTTGTCGTTCCCTTCCAGTTCTCCACGTTGCTTCATCAGGACTTACTTATATCACGACTGAGCTATTTCCACAGCAACAGCCTTCCTACCTCACACCCACCACTCACTCTGTGGGTGCCACTGAATGTAATGGGTATAAAGCCCTCAGGATCTTTGCCTGCAGATAAGTCTTTCCTCACCTGGGGGAATCCCAAACCTATCTCACTGAATGCCATGGAGAAAATACAGTTAAATCTTACTCAAGTTAATACTTTTCTTGCCCTGAGATAGCTGCTTCCTTCTCATTTCTGCCTACAACACTCCTTCAGTGCACTCACCACTGCTGGTTGAACTGTGGTAAAAGTAGACTGAGCTGTTTCAATCATGCATTGATCTTATTTTCTTTTGATCTTTACATATCTTAACTTCCCAGACTTTAGCTAAGATCTCCGGAGGCTTGTGGGGTCACCCACTCGCTCCCTTTCTCCTGCACTCGCCCACTCAGGCCCCCCTCACTGCACTTCTCTCCCCAAATTCTTGAGACCCTCCTACCAGTCTCTTAGCCTTCATCAAGTCATGAAGATGCGCTCAGGCACCCTCTGTCTCCCTTGACCTTCCTAGGCAGATATGGAAAGCAGAGGGCTGAGCGCCTTCAGTTATATTACAGGTAAGTAACCCATCATTTCTCCAGAGGTGCTTCTTAAAGGTATGTCTCAGGTTCATTTTTGATCACCCCGGACTTTACAATGACATGACCTCCACTATCTGATAATCAGATAATCATGTTTGGATAGTGCTGATTGCGGCACTAAAACCACAGTTAGGTCTTCACAGTTAGTAGCACTGAAACTGTGAGGGGATGTTTGCTTTACCACAGCAAGTTAGCTTGAAAGGACAGCGTATGTGGCTTGAGTGCTCTTGTGGACTGCTTCATGCACTGCCATTAAGAGAGCAGAGCTGTGAAGGCAGCAGGGAACAGCTAACAGCTTCCAAACACGTGGCTAGTTCTGTCCATGGGAATGATGGCGGCTTCCATAAAGATATTTTGACCACACACAACATTAAAGGTTGGTAATGTGAAATAGACAAATCTCTTTACACCAACTCGTTGCACTAAAATGTTACTTCACAATACTCCAACATACCCTATACGTAGAAATTATACACTTGGAATTTCTTTCTGGGAAAAAATACTATTAGTAGGTTGTTGGCTATATATAAAAAGGGAAAGCTTTTCTCACCAAAAAAGAAATTCTTGATCATTAGCCAATATTCCTGTCCAATCAAGAGTTCTTAGGGGCCTCCTTGGTGGCACAAGGGGTTAAGACACAACCTTTGAAGCTATCCACAGCCACTGCAGCACGAGTTCGATCCCCAGCCAGGGAGAAAGCCACATGGCGCAGCAGACCTCTCCTGACTCGCCCGCTGCTCCCCTCAGCAGTGTATTTCAGTCAGTCTGCCTGTTCTGTTCCCCACTGTCTCTGGTGGATCCTCCCACCCCCCACACCTCTGGCCTGTACCCCAGTTCTTGTATGCATAAATAAAGCTTAAAAATAGTTCTTAGCACTAATAACTTTTATACTGCACAGTTTTAATAAGTGTAGAAAAGGCTACAGCTAGACCTTAAACAATAAGTCCAAAAGGCTCTTTGATAGAAATGGGATTTCTGTGAACCCAATAGATACTCTGAATGCATTAGCTATTGGAATTATCCAACAAACATTTTGGAAAGCAGAACTTAAGTTAAATAACAATCGCTAGCTAATTTATAAATTTAAACTTTCATGTAGAGTAGCTTGGCTTAAAGAAGGACCACATATACTTTGGAAACCTGGCTAGATAGATTATTTCAAAGTATATATTTTAACCTATTTTCAAAATTTTACCCTAAGTAATTTTTTATATCCTTTATCACTATTCCTAGCTACTAACAAACTTCACACTGTAACTATCAATTTATTTTTCCACAACCACAATATAATCTGCTTCCAAGAAGAATTATAGTAACTACATTCATTTTGAGCAGTCTGACTTTAGTTCATTCGATAATATAATGATGTTGATAGGTTTTAATAATAGTTGCAAAATCATTAATAGTATAAACAACACTTGGCTTTAAGATTCCAAGTTAATAAAAATCCACACACTTAAATGCACACACACACACAATTCCATCCATATTAAACATGCTATTTCAAAAGAAGCAGATTAGCCAGTTTAAAAAAAAAATAAATAAAAGCAAAGAAGAGCTTTCACCCCAACGATTTTCTCCAAAGTTACCTGAATCACTAAGTGCTTCCCCATCAACAAACAGGTCACCAAACTGTTTAAGAGCTGTTCAACATACAAGTAAAGGTAAGAAAGATGAGCCCACAAAACAAAACATGGAATGTATACAGAATGCTGAAGAATAGAATGGAAATATTAGAATGAAAGATAACACTATTCTTCTAATAAATACTTGGAACTTCTGGGTTTAGCCATAACTTTTCCTTCACATACAATCATTCATTAAGCCAACATTTGTCCACTCTTCTTCTAAGTTCTTCTAAAAACAAGACAACTCAATGTCTTATATTGATAGGTGAGTTAAGAAATTGGTTCAAAATAAGGACATCAACATAAAGCTGCCCTTTATGATTTAATTTTGAAGAATCTAAAGAAATACCTTTAGTATGCCTCCATAAAGTAAATAATATCGGGCCCAGGATGATCCCTTATGGCAATAATGTTCCAATAAATGCACTTGTGAGGTACATGCACATTGTTTAAAAATGGTGCACTTGGCCAGTAGCTATAATAATGAAACATTTAATGTGTTGCTTCTTGAGTTTTTAGTACATTTTTTTTCTATTCAAGAAAAATCAACTACTCCAGTGGAAGCAGAGCTAGGCTGCTGTCCAAGACCCTTATACATGATACCATCCCCACGGGGGGTCCCTACTGCTCCCTAAAAGGAACTGGGAGATCCATTGTCTTAGCTAATTTTTATCATCTCAAAAACCAGAGGGCACATTTTCCAACTTGAACAATCCGATTCTTATTTTGAATTTGCACGACTTACTACTAACTATGTGTACATTTCCACCCTCTCTAAGTCTATTTTCCTCTGGATTTAAATATATTCTGTACATTTGAACCAATCAGAATGGAGAGCTCTCTCAGAACACCAGCAAAGGCATCAACTTTAATGTCTTTTAAGGCCTTTAAATAATAAATGTGTTTTGACATGAGGGAAACATCTGTTAACAATCATTATTGAAAAGTATGGCTTTTAAGATTTATAATTTTTATATTTTCAGAAACCCTGAGGTTATAAAAATATTATCCTGTATTTCAAAAATAATAATTGTTAATTCAGTAGATATTTTAACAGCAATTTTCAGTTTCTTTTCTTTTTCCCAGTCCTGTTGTTTAATAAGAAATTAAATCTAATACCAGGAGAAAATAATCAGAATCCTCTTTCCCCTAACAGTAAAAGTAAATATATTGAAAAAAAAGGTGGAGAAGTCACTTTAAATGTTAAGAAGCTCTCATCCACAGCCAGTTTGGTCCCCGAAAAAAGGACTTGTCTGGGTGGGTCCACTGCATGTGTCAAGGAAGATTGTGTGAAAGTCTTACCCTCTTCATCTGAAACATCAAGAACCTCAGTCATTGTCTCAGGAACATTTAGCTTGTGTTTTTCGGTGATAGTCTGAAAAGACAAAAATCAGGGATACTAAAGTGAGAAACAAAAACCAAACAAAAGCTCATCAGAATCGAGGAGGTCCCACTCAAAAGTATAGGGGAGCAGCCAGGCCACTAGGAAGCACCCCTTTCCACAGGAGTATCCCAGAAGCTTATTCTCTTACTCTCTTTCATGAAACTCACTTGTTCCATCTGAAAACAAATGGGCATTTACTCCTGTGAGGTTGCACAAAAGAAAGTCAGTTATTTTGAGTTCCCATTTGAAAAACATACGCTGTAGCCATGGCTAATAATTAGTCAATAATTTAGTCATAGTAAGAAACTGGATTAACTTTTTCAAGGCTTCCATAAAATGTCTCCATAATGTCTCCTTAAGAGTTCTAAAAAGAAGCAACGAATATACACAACTTATAAACACACAACTCATACACACACAACTTACTAAAAACAAAGCCTTGGAAGAGAAGTGTAAGCAATTCGAAAGACATTAACTCTTGGGGCAGAAAATAATGTATCTCTTTTGGGATCTGATGATCCACTGTAGACCCTCAGTCATCCTGATAGCATTTCACTGGACTGCAATGCTGGTTTGTTGCTTCTCTGCCTTCCCCAAGAGTTCCCCAGGTGTCGGAGGTCACCTTCCGCTCCTGAAGCTTGGGTGAGCCTGAGAGCCCAGCCCGGGAGCCTGACTACCAGCCTGGGGTTGGGTTCTCTATCACTTACTAGTTGTGAAGGCTTAGCAAATTCCCTATTTCTCTGGGCCTCAGTTTACTCATAAGTAATAGAGGTTCTGAAACTACTTCATAAAATTATGATGATTAAATGAAATAAAACAGATAAAAACTCTAAGAACAGGGCTTGGCTCCTGTCAGTACTCAATAAATATCGCCAGGCCTAACACTATCATCACCATCATCATCACTGAATATTTAATCTTAAAAATGAAGGGCCTGTGACTTTGGAATGATGTAGGTACCCAGGCACAGTGTGCATGCCTCGTAAGTGCCAGGCACTGTTTTATATACCAGGACACCACAGTGGGAAAAAAAAAAAAAAAAAGCGACAAATATTCAACTCTCATGACTTTAAATACCACCAAAGGACAGCTGAGTCTCCAAGCCATCTCTTCAGTTTCTGCACGGAAAAGTGTAGTAAGTGCCTTACTTAGTATTTCTATGGGAACTCAAAAAAATGAATCAACATAAGAGTGAAATGTTCAACTTAAGCCACTGAGACACAACAAATAGGTGGTCTAGGTGCTTAGGTTTTGCTGCGTAGATGATCCAGGCTTGTCTGAAGAGCGACAACCCCATCACACATCATTTTTACAGAAACATTCTCAAATATTTGTCCTTATATGTAACATTTCCACAATAGCTATGTCTTCATTTGAAAACTGACAGCCATATTCTTTAAATGATGCTTTTTTATTGCTTGACATTCTCAGTTTCTTTGTTCAGATGCTAAAAATGGGTCTGTACTTTCATTGCACTCATACAAAAGGAAATAATTGTGCTTCAATTTGGTCACTGAATACGATCAAAGTTACTATCAACAACTGTGTGCAGCCCCACAAGAAGTAACACAGTGATCAGGTAGGTATCTCTGTTTTTCTGGATGGATGTTAAAAATGTCCTCACTATGCACTGTTGTAAAATAGTACCCATTGCACATGACCCAGCACTCGACCTTTAGAAGATCGTCAGTAAATATTTGTTAAATGGATAATAAATAAGACTTCCTACTCATGAGTAATGTTGTAAGAATTGAAAACATGTTGTCCCTTTAAGTGGAATGTCCTTTGAAAACTTGGTTGTTGAAACATATATATGCTTATGCTACTGTATCTCCATAGAACAGAGAAAACAAGGTTATAATTAGATGATCGGGGCCGTCCCTGGCTATAGAATGCAAGATTCTAAGGTCAAGATTAGAACTGACTTTAAAAGTAAAAATGAGTAGTGTACTGTGGGCAAGTTAAATAGGATGTAATTAAATCAGATCATCTGGCAAAGCAAATAGGATATGACAGACGTAACTGAATAATGAGTAATGCGTTTTTAATATTTAGGGGGATGTGAAAGAGAAAAGAAAATGGGTCTTGAACTTGCTATTTTATAAATAGTAATATCTTGTTTGTACAATGCAAAGGAAAAAGGGTGCTTCACCACCTTCTCACGGCCTCTGCCCCCGCTCTTGCCTTTGTAGGGCAAGTTCTCTACGCCACTAACACAGCGGCAGATCTTGGCCAGGATGCCACCTCCTGAGCCCACGCACAGCAGCAGCGACCCACAGAGTCACAGCTAAACTTGCTCTATTTACACCCAAATGCTCTTAATACAATTTTTTGGATAAAGGAAATATTACATAAATATGCTTTTTTATAAAAATTAAGGTAAATAGTTTGGAAACAGAGATGAGTGTACAGAGTCAACCCAGATGAGTCACTAAAAGTAACTGCTATCCAGTTAGTTAGGTGTGGTTGGAACAAGAACAGCAGATGGAAAACATCCATCAAAAATTTCAAAAGGGGGCCTCGCTGGTGGCTTCAGAGTTAAGTCTCAGCACTATCACCGCAATGGCATCCCCGGCCAGGGAGCTACCCACATGGCACAGCAGACCACTCCTGACTCCCCGCTGCTCCCCTCAGCACTGTATTTTAGTCAATCTGCCTGTTCTGCTTTCCACTCTGTCTGTGGTAAATCCTCTCACCCCCTGCATCTCTGGCCTGCACCCCCGTTCTTCTACACAAAAAAATAAAAATAAAAAATGCAAAAGTTTCTATACTTGGTATAATGTCTCTAGGATAATACACAGGATGAAAAAAATGCTATATAGAGAGAGGTGCATAGGATTCCCACACACTACACCAGGTAGAAGTGACATTCTTTGTTTAAGAACAATGTAACCTTTTGGTGAATGGGTCTTTTGTCAAAGAAAAGCTACTGACTTCCCTTCAAAAGGTATCAAAGGACTTGCTGATTGATGATTCACATTTTAACTCACCGATGACATCAGGTAAGATTTAGGGCTTGAATGTTCACATTTTTTTAACTGCTGTCAAAGAACAGCCCAATGTTTAGAGGATAGTATGAATCTATTATTTTTACTTTAGTACCCTGTTCAGCTATTTATGCTCCTACATGCCGATGACGATAGGCAAAACCCAACACCGTCACTCCTTAATGGTGCAAATAATACAAGTAATTGATGACGGGTGCTCCTCAGCAGGAGGCTGAGACATCTCAGTGTCTTCAGAACTGCAGTAGGAGATGGAGCCTGTTGGTTTCTGCTGCTAAAAATGTGTCCCTGTCACTCTGGCAAACACATCAGGATAGAATCCCAGGAGAATGCTCAACTGCCTCAGTCCCTCCTGGGTCTTACAAAATAAAGTGAGTAAAGCCAGGGCTCAGGAAACAAACCGCGATTCCAAAATGTCCCAGAAATTTCTGCCGTGGTGGCTTTTCCTTTACAAACGTCTGATTTCCTCTTCTCTCTACACACTGATTCTATTCATATTATCAGAACACTGTAAGGAGGATGAGCAAAGGAAACAGTCTCTTGATGGAAGAGTCTTATGGCTGTTCACATGGTACCAACTATGGAGCCAAAGATGGGAAAGCGGTTTGTATGTCACTACCTTTCCACGGCACTAACATGAATCTTATTCATTTCACATAATATTTAAATCACCTCTTGTGCTATTTGTCTACCTTCAGTGAGTAACTGCAAATTATCTCTAGTGAATCTGTAGGCCAGAAAATGATATAACTGCAATATAAGGCTTCCCTGAAAAACCAATAAAAGGTACTGTTTTACTGGGCGTTTTAAATGAAAAATCAGCAGGAAACATTTCTTTCATGAAATTTCTGTTAAAGTACTTCCAAGCACAGCCATGATCAGTGGTGAAAAGCATGCACTTTGGAATCTGACAACCTAAATTTGAATCCCAGATTTGTCCACAGTGCCTGGCATATCATAATTAAAGATTACTAATACTGATTAGTTATTCCTTAAAATGTCATTAATAAAATCATCACGTGAGAAAAATGAATAAAAGTCCTTTCCCAAAGGGAGACAGTGTAAAGCCAGATGACTCACTGTGGATAGGAATAAACCCATATTTCCCATCCTTCACCCCAAATTCCATTTCACAAAACAATAAAACTCACAATTCTAAGAAAAAGTTCTAATTCTAAGAGACGCATAAAAAGTAAACCCAGGACAGCTTGAAAACATCTAACTAAGAAAACCACCCCTTAGAAAAAGAGGTTACTTATTTAACTAACAGAGGTGAAAATTTCTTAGTATCCCAAAGGAAAGCAGAAATGTGATTATGTTGTACATGTGTTTGCTGGATTCTCACCTAGAAACTTCATTTCTAGGTTCAGAGGCTTTTGCTAGACCACTGCTCAGCTAGAGAGCATAGAGAATAACCATCATCTGAAAAGAAAGGTGTTTACAGAGCATTTTAAGGGGGCTTTTTTATACCCCTAGAGCTAGAGGGGCCGGAGTCAAAATTTCTGACAAATTTGAGAACTTGTTTAAGAAAGCTAATTGCTCCTCTTTTTAAACATAGATCTGTATTGTAAAATCATTTACTCCTTGTATTATTTATGAGCCTGCGCTCTCTTTGAGATTGGACACATAAGTTCTAAAGTTTTGATGTTCTAGGACTGACTTTCTTACAAAACGTCTCACTCTCCATACCCACTGTCCGAAAATTGCCGGTGGAGAGTAGTAATCTTTTAACCACTGATCAACTTATCAGCGAATTGATCAGCGCTCTGCGCAGGTTCAATATGCATTTAACATGCAATAACTAGTGAAGGAATGAATTAGTTAATGAGATGAAAGTAAGAAAAACAGGTCAAGACAAAAAAAAAAAAAAGCCAGGGACTCGAGATCGCCACCTCGTGGTAACTTGATCAAAATGCTCACGCTGATTACCGAGGCTTGGAAAGGTAATGAATGCAGTTGATAGAAAACAGGATTTCTAAGAACAGAGAGATGTTCTTGGCCAATACTGCCACTGAGTGAGTCACTTTTCTGTGATATACACTGTTTCAAAGATGCCACAAGAAGACATATATGTACATGCCCTTGATGTGAGGATTTTCCTGGTAGAAGAAATCACTTAATAAGAAAAAAGTCACTAGGATCATCCAGATGAGTTCCTCAGGAGTATAGCTCTAGGCAGTAACTAGACTTGGTTTTTCTCCTGTGTAATTCATTAAAGCCACACTTGACAATCTTCAAAAATATTCTGAGGACTGGTCAATGGTTTTCAAATTCTGCTTGTTGAAACAGGCGGCTCTATTCTTTCCCATCGACACTCGGGCTGTGTCCTGCAGTTCATTAATAAATCATCCCCCATTCTATTTAAAACTTCACATCAAATCAACTGTATTCCATTTACCGCCAAGTATGTCAACAGGGACTTCCTGCCAGCCTCAAGAACAAAATTCCTTCCTTCTTCTCACATCTATCACAAGAACCCAGTGTTCTAAAACACTGTCTGCATCGTTCTTCACCGGGGGCATTTACTAGAAGCTCATTCAGAATTTATTTGTTGACTTATGATCTTTTTGTCTGTAAAGAACTTCTGCAGTTCTACTGTTGCTTTCCTTTTCTACTTCACAGAGAGAAATTAAAGAGCTGTTGTCTTAGAGTCCCTTCTATAGGGAAAATGTCAACAACTCAGAGTGTTGCTCTTGAGTTTTCACCTAAGACACTCCCTCTTTGGAGACCCCTTTAAATTTTGTCCTGACCAAATGGCCCAAGACTCACTATCACCATTCTTCACACCTGAGTTTTCTGGCAACAACCAATGAGGCTTTTTTGCCATGTACAAAGCAGCAAAAATAAAACATTTTAAATATAGAGTCCTTTTACCTACTAAGCACATTTCACTTTCTTTGTAAATAAAGAAACAGCAACAACAAGAATCAGAAATCAGAAGAAAGTGAGGATGGACTGTGCTCAGTAGAAATAACGGGGCCCAGGGTCAGTGCAGTGTGGGTCCCCTCCCAGGGCTGGCAGGACCCCCAGGCTATGGGAACCTGCACGTCCTGGCACTCAGTCAGCAGGAGGTGTCACACTCAACTCCAGCAAAAGGACAGAGGAGCCAGCAAACCACAAGCCCATGGCAGGAAAAGTCAGTGACTCCAGCACTGCACACACACGTTTGCACAGATCCATGTTGACCAAAGAAGCGAAACCCCCACGCGCCTGTGGGAAGGCACGTACATCTGCTGCAACTTGCACAGCTGTCCAGAAGTTCAGAAGGAAAAGCACAAAACATCTGGTAAGTGAAGAAGCGTGTGTCTCCACAGCCCAGAGGCAGAGAGGCTCCTGTACTCACCGTGGTGGTGGTCGTGACCTCCTCAGTCACCACCTTCAGGGTGTCGACCACGGAGATGTAGCCCAGACGCTTAGCGATTGCCAAGGCAGTGTTACCATTCTGAGGAGGGAGGGAAAGAGAAAAAGAGTGAGAACCGGGAGGGAGGGCGGCTGGGGGAGCCAATGAGCTCACCCGCAGCTCCGCATGAGCCAGCACTTCCTTCCAAAACAAGGCATGGCTTAGGAAAATCACTAGTTTTTACCATGACATCCGAGTCTGTCTTTGTAACTTCTTTAGACTATAGCCCCAGTCACCATGGCAACACAACAAGCTTGCCGCTGTCTGCTCTTTCTAATAAGAAGCCCTCGAAGCTTTCACCCCAAGGTTGTCAAATAGCTCTACAAGTACTTGCTTGTGCTTGGGGAAGTCCCTCTGCGTGGATGAGGATGCCTCCACCAGCTCTTTTGCGAGCAGCAAGTACCACTTAACCCTCCGCAGAGGTCAGCCCACCTGCTGCAGGTAAAACGTCTCCATGGGGAGGCCAGTAACACACTGCGCTGCAGCTGTGCAGAAGCTCGCCGTGCTGCAAACCACACCAGCCTGCCTGCGGGCGCCATCCAGCCCCGGTCACGCGGGGGGACCCCCGGAGGGCTTAATTGCACCGGGTAGTTTACATCTCAATGGCTCCACGGCTCAAAAAGCTCGGTCCCAGCCAGCAGCGTCGGAAACGAAGCGCCCTTAAGCAGGCCGGGAGGGTGGGGTGCCAGGCGCTCACAGCTGAGCGCCAGCTGGAAGCCCCGCGCGTCCCAGCCGCCAAATGCAGAGCCCCCACATCCCGTGTCGGGCCTCCGCCCCCCCCGCCCTTTCCTGGGCGAGCACCGCGGGCGGAGTCACCCTGGTTTCTGCAAAGGTTTTCCAGAAATCGCGGGCTTCCCAGACGCGCGGTGCAGGGGCGCGCTGGGTGGGGCTGGGCCGGGGCCGCGCGGGGCGCGCTTACCGCGGTGGTGGCGTTGGGCTTGGCCCCGTGCTGCAGCAGGACGTTGATGATGTGCGTGTGGCCCTGCTGGGCCGCCTGGTGCAGGGGCGTGTAGCCGTTCTGTGCGTGAGCGTGGCGGGGCGCCGGCAGCCAGAGCAGAGGGAGAAGGAAAACTAGGTTAGCCTTGACTTTGATCGTCTGGGTAGCAGGCTTGGTTTCTGGGGAGCGCGCTGTCACCGAGGCCCCAATCCTTGGCCGCACACTCCCTCACACCTTCTGCTTCGCTACACAAAGACAGGAGTCTTGCTTATGAAAGGGGGAGCTATCAGACCCCAGACTATAAGGATTAATAGTGTTTAATCAATTAGCATCAAAAAAGGGACAGGGGAGAGAAGGTTTCAGTGGGGAAGCATTATCACAGGAAGGGATTCCCGGCGGTGGAAAGCACAAGAGGGGTGTAAGCAGAGCTGCAGGGATCCCCCAAACCACTGCTGGGTCCTCAGGACTTGGCCAGCAATTAACCTTAGGGTTAGCTTGAGAGATGTTTGGTCAACTCCTTCTGGAGAGCAGACTTGGTCAAAAGAGAGAATTTCTTTGTCAAAAGGAGATTTCACTGGAACTGAGTGACCCAGTTTCAGTAAATAAGGTCTTTCAAAACAGGTTCTTTTTTCACGTTCTGGTCTGTACTTTCACTCAAATGAAAGCCCTGGGATCCTTGATTTGTGAGGAATTGCAGAGGAGGTGGGTGTGAGGCCAGCCTTGCTCAAGGAAGTCCACTTGGAGGGACACGGTGACATTAATTAAATGGCACAGGACCCGTGGAGGCAGGAACACGCCCATCATTAGTGAGCAATTGTGTGCCAGACCCTGCACCTTTTGTCTCTCAATTTTTTCTATCATTTTGAAAATAAGCGTCCTTGATATATAGTAGCTGCTTCAAAAAATAATGGGTGACCGGGTGACGGACCAAATGACTGAGTAAATGAATGCATTTTCCCCCATTTCAGAGATGATGAAACTGAAAATGACAAGTGTTATTTCTTTACAGTCATCCTAGGTTCCAAACCTGTGAAAACCAGCTGTCAGACTGCTTCTTTTATTATCTACCTGGAGGCGCAAGTGAGAATCTGTTGGTCTGGTACATCTGAAGGCATCTTTTTGGTCAAATCACATAAACTGGAAAAATTTTTATCTATGAGTTTGGTGGCTTTAGCATATGCAAATTTCACTTTTCTCACACACTACTAGACCAAAAAAGAAAAAAAAAAAGAGGAATAAAATGGAAAAGGGAAAAGGACGCTAACAGAAGGATCAAAGAAATAGGCTAAAATGGAGAAAACAGCTCGGTTTGCATCTCCTGTCCACATGGAGTGTCTGTGTCTACACGAGGGTGCCACGAGACTCACTCCTGGCTTTCATGGCGGCCTTTCCGTCCGTGGGGGTGTAGCATGCGTGAGAGTCCATCAGTCTGTCTGAGCATCCCTCAGTGTGGAATAGCATCACCTCTGCCCTGACCACTACGCATCCCAATGAGGAAATGACCCTGGAATCCCCACAATTACAGGGACTCTGAGAAAGTCAGACCTATTGCAGGGACTCTGCTCTCCATCAGGTAATGAAGGGACACTGAAGGAGCAGAGATTAAGGGATATTACTTTTCCTAGAAATTCCTCCTTTCCGTGGTGTTTACAAGTACCGACCACATTTATTGTAGTTCAGTTCTTTGGTATCAGCTAAGTTAAAACATTCAGTAAGCATTTACTAATAACGTTGTCTGTGCCAAAGAGGAGGTGCCATGCTTCCATTAATTAATAATGCCAAAGCAAGACTCTTGCCCTAATAACTCACATTACACTGAATCCTGAGTGGATACTGTGGCCAAAAAAGAATGCCCCACACTTAACTGAATCTGACATTTACCTGAAGCTTCTGGGGCATGCGGATATTTACCATAGAGGCTGGAGCAACCCCAAACTTTCACAAGAACACTAGGTTGAAGCTTAATCCACTGGCCAGAACTAGCTCTTCTACCAACTGCTAGCAAACCCCTAAGCCTCTATAGACTTTAGTTTTCTCATTTATAAAATGGAAATGTCCAAGATTTTAAGTGTGGTAAAGAACTATGTTCTCCAGAAATTCTTCTTAGTTTATCAAAACTTGCAGGAGGGCCTCCCTGGTGGCGCAGTGGTTGAGCACTGGGTTGTGAAGCTGCCCACAGCATCTGCAGCTCCAGTTCTATCCCCAGCCACCGGGTGAGGGTCCCACATGGCACGCAGACCTCTCCTGCCGCCCGCTGCTCCCCTCAGCAGTGTATTTCGTCAGTCTGCCTGTTCTGCTCCCCTCTCTGGCTCTGGTGAATTCTCTCACCCTCCTGTGCTTCTGACTGTACCCAGTGCTTGTATAAATCAATCAATCAATCAATCAATCAATCAATCAATCTTTAAAAAAAAAACTTGCAGGAAAAATGCTAGCAAACATTGTTTTGGTTCCTGCCTTCTAATCCCCATCAAAGAGCTCTTGGATCTTTGTACTATATTTTATTTTAAAATGTACTTTATTCACATTGAAGTTCTATACCTTCTTTGCAAATTAAACATATAATTAGCCAAACCTATTTTCCCTCAAGCTAATGTCAAAGTTTCATTCTAATTTTAAGCAACTAATAGTACCATGATGCAAAATCACTTTTCCAAATTTTTACACCAAGTCATGACTGATTGAGGAGGAAAGGCAATGCATTTTCATAGCAACAAAACAAGTTTTAAGTCACTATGGTTACACATGAGATGTGAGGAGGAAAACATAATTCCTTCTCCAAAAATGTCACTCTATGTGAAAGGATTCTGCAGTGTTTATGAAAAGAACATAATTGGAGGTATTGTATCTACCTACCCCCTAAAACACAGAGTTCCAAAAAGCAACCAAAACCTACGCAATTCATGTAGAAAACACCTGAACAGTTAAAATGACATTTTTGTCTCAACCCAATGTCCATTTGGATGCAGATCAAACACCAGAGAGGCACTGGAGTTATTTAGACCGCACATGTAGCTTCTAAATAGTAGACTCCTTTAAACTGTCAAACACAACAAAAAATATATGGTAAACATTTTCAAGTTCAGCTCAAGTCTCCTGCCATGTCTGCCACGTCTGCCTTTCCGCTTCTCGGGAGGATCCTGGCATCCCAAAGAGACCACCTTTCCTGCATATGGTGAGATGACTCAGCAAAAGTGCAGTTAGAGGTTAGTGCCTGATAATTCTAATTAGTACCATATTGAATTAATTCCCCTTTACTGATGTAATTAACTAATTCTTCTTTACTGAGGTAACATTGGCTTGCAACACTGCTATGAGTTAGAGGTACAGGATCACCCCCCTCTGGTGTATGTCAACAGAACACATCTACCACCAAGGCATCCATAGTCTTCCAAGTAGGCCAGATACCCCCCTTTATAATTATTAAATAACCTTATTTTTACTTCATTTATAAATATATAGAGACATGATTTATTTCTGCTTCTAAGAGGATATAAAAAAAACGGCTTCCAAAACTTCTTTTGTCTCTAATTAGTAGCATCTTGAACGAAGACCAAAAACTCCTGAATGAGTTCATATTAATTTATATCAGCCAAGTCATATAGCTATTTAACTGCAGTTAGAAATACCTGTATCATATATACACATATATATTAAATATATATGTGTGTGTATAGAGTTAGCTACATAGTTCTATAGCTCTAATTACAGGTTTCTGAAATATCTGTATCATATATGTGTATAGGTGTGTCTACATATGTATTTATATATATATGTTTATATATTGTTAGAAAACAGCAATATGCAGATACTGATTTCTTTAGATCAAGGAATCTGGAGCTTCAAGTTATATTACGCAGAGTTATGTTAGGCATTTCTCTTTCCCATGAAACAGCTGGAGTGCACACTTCCCCATGAACTATCTGATTTGCTTCACTCGATAGGACCCTCAGGGACCACTAGAAAAGAGATAGAATCCAGTTGTTTCTGCATTGTCCTTGAGAACTTGCGATCAGGCCTTACACAAGATAGTCTCTCTGAGCATGGCCCGGTGATATTCTGAATTTGAGAGAGTTTCCTAAGAATGAAAGGCATATTGTCTGGGAGCATGTCTGTACTTCCTCCCAAGAGGGACAGACATTGGGGAGGGGGCCAAGGAGCTGAAATAATGTAAAGGAAATTGGCCAGAACATCAAGCTGTTCTGCAAGGCATCTATGGTTCCCTATGGCAAATTGTTAAATCTGTGTTAGTTACTTTAACATTGTAATAGAAGTGATTCTGCAGCTGACTTACATGGGTGTCAAAGGTTATTGCCAAGAAAAGTCTTAAATGAGCTACTCATTCATGAAAAATCCGCACCAGCTGCTATGGTGAGCTAGTGACGTTCCATCTGGCTGACCCTTTTCGCTTATGGAAAATGAAAATGAGTACAAATAGTTTACCTTGGTTTTGGCGTTGACATTTGCTCCCTGCTTCAGAAGAAAGTTGACCATTTTCACATTTCCATAGTGACAGGCCACAATTAAAGGAGTGTAACCAAGCTATACGTAATTAAAAAAATAAAATGAACAAGTTAATTACTACTTTAGTGATTAATATTCCAGGGAGAAGTGTTAAGGAGAATTTCAGTTATGACAGGATGGGCAGAAATTCTATGTGATTGTATAAATATTATTTAGCAGCTTATAGATGTAGCCCATGGACACAAACACAACCCTGATCACAAGGCACTTAACCCCAGCTAGGAGATGAGACGTGTGATTTAATGTGACAAGAAGCTAGAAGAAAGGCACAAGTAATATGATTGGAAAACACCAAACAGAAACTGAGTCTGGAAGGAAGATCTAGAGGCATGAAAAATGTGGCTTAGATGGGCTTGAGGGCCTCCCTGGTGGTGCAGGTGGTTGAGCACAGCGCTGTGGAGCTGTCCACAGCCTCTGCAGTGCCAGTTCGATTCTGGGCCGGCCAGGGAGATACCCACATAGTGCGGCAGACCTCTCCTGTCTCGCCCGCTGCTCCCCTCAGCAGTGTATTTCAGTCAGTCTGCCTGTTCTGTTCCCCGCTCTGTCTCTGGTGGATCCTATCACCCTCCCGCATCTCTGGCCTGTACCCCAGTTCTTGTATAAATAAAAATAAATCTTTTTAAAAAAAAAGATGGGCTTGAAAAACGGAATGGTGTAGATAGGAAAATACTTTCTCAAGACCAAGGACATGGAGGTAAGCACTGGAAGAAACAGCAAGTCATCTTGATGAGCTAAAGCAATAACAGAGAAATGACTGAAATTTCCTGCAAAACTGGAATCTTTTTGCTGCTCACTTGGACTTGACCCCAGCAGAGATGGAGCCATTTTATATTTGTGAGAAGGAGTAGATCGTCATGAATTCAGAATGCACTCTGGAGGAGGAGGGCCTTGGGCAACCTGAATGGGGTCCAGGCCAGGGGCCATCATAGCACTGACAGCAACTTGCTTTACCTTCGTATGAGCATCCAGGCCAGCCTTGTGCTTGGTGAGAATACCGGCAACGTTCACCTTGTCTTCCTGGGCTGCCAGGTGGAGGGGTGTCAGCCCACTCTACAGAGAGAATTGTAACAAAGGGGGTGCATTTGAAGAAAACACACCACATCAGCTATACTATTGTAAAAAAAAAAAAAAAAAAAAAAAAAAAACATGGAAAATTCATGGCTCGCTTGCAGAGACTGCACCTTTTGGTATTTAAGACAAACTACAAATTCATCTGACTTTTCAGCGCAGACCTCTTCTCTCAGATAATCAACACATTCAGCAAATCACATTTTCTATATTGGAGACCTTAAAAAAACTCAGCTGAGAAGCTTCCAAACAACATTCATTCCAAACCCATCTGGGGTTCCTGTTGAATAACTATTTACCCAAGGGCAGGCTGACCACTGTATAACCACGACAGTCATCTATGTTGTCACAAATACCATCTCCTATCAAAGTAAAAAATGTAGAGTCACAGGAGTTGAGCCAGAGTCATTGTCTCCGAGACAGTTTACTGCATGGGGGCTTCCCCTACATGTTAAATAAAAAATAACCCCACCTTTTAGGTAGCACCACAAATTGCCCCATTTGATATAAAATGTATGGCACCCAGACATCAAGTAATTACTCTGCTTATCTGAACATACCATTAAAGTGCATTATGAATTAATAAAACATGAAAGAACAGAAAAAGGAGGAGGAACTGGTCGGTTCAGTTCCGGCCACAGTCTGGCAGCCTGAATATGTGTGCAAGCAGCCTCCAGGGAGTAAAATTGAAATACAAGTCATTGTTATGTCTGACAAGTGCCTTTTAGGCTCCTCCACTGCCTTTCTCTGGAATTTGGAATTAGGGCCAGCAGGTGCTAAGGCGATCCGGGCTGACTACTTGAACTACAGACATACTAACTCTTGGGAGTTACAAGGTAGCTTCCTTAGTTATGTGCATGGAGAAGGAGAAGCCGCACATCTCCACTTATCAGTGAATGAAACTAATGGCAGAGGAAAGCCAGGATGAGGATGCCAAAATGCAGCCATCCAGGCAGGGAGCCTGTGGGTCTGGCATCCTGGAGTTCCAATCCCTCATTAGCCTGGCTCCACTGCTGTCTGACACTTCCCTAAAATACACATTTCGTTAAATACATCCCCGTTGGTCTCTGCCTCACTCATCAAGAAGTCTCTAGACTAAATGAAAACAAGAAGCACAGAAAGAATACCTTTGTGGACATGTGGATGTTGGCTCCTTTATCCAGAAGCAGGGTGACCATGTCGGCGTGGCCCTCCTGTGAGGCCAGATGGAGTGGGGTCACCCCTTGCTTGGTCATGATGTTCGTCTCTGCTCCATAGTTCAGGAGTGTGGAAGCGATCTGCATTTGATTCTTCTTGGCAGCAATATGTAGAGGAGTATAACCATTCTGGAAATCAACAAATCAATTAATCTAAAAAGTCTGTGCCATCTAGACAAGCAGTATAGCTTTACCATATGCCTGTAGGTTTAGCAAAGACCCTAATACAAAACTGAAGGAAATAAGAGTTTCAAGTCAACAGAAAAGTCAGAAGTGACTTTACAGTGAGTCCAAACTCTCACCCATCACAAGTTTCCAACCAGCAGACCCCAAATCTTTGTGACCAATGTCACAAGGCACTCAGGGTATCATTAAAAGCCTCCAGACTTAAACTCTTGCTGATCCCTGGCTTTCAGAGGTCACATTCTGATGGAAAAGGCAGTGAACGACAAAACTGGTTTATGTTATGGTCATAGCGGTTCATAATCGGCACAGCCATAAAGCAAATGGTCAGTGCACAGCCTGGTAGCCCTTCATCTCTACAGCCTGTTTGGCTCCAAAGTAAGTATCTGAGGCTACAGTTTTCTGTGGGAGCTCGGAAGAGGACAAGAGAAACTCACTTTGCTTAAAAGAACAAAACCCAAACCCCATATTGAAAGAAAAATCAAATAGGCAAACAGAATTCTGGAACATGTCTAAGTCTGGAACCTATAGTGTTTTCTTTCCTTTCATCAAGTCTGGTAGAATTTTCCACGAAAAGATGTGAGAGAAATCAAAAACAGGAGCTTTGTTATTAATGGTGACATGCTGAAGGGAATGACAGCGTATTAATCAACAGGCTTTGTGAAGCCACAGTAAGAGGCAACTTTAGGTCATGTCATTTCCTTAAGTCTAACTACAAAGTGTATCAAATACTAAGAAGGAGTTTTAAGAATTTAAATGTCCTTATGTGTTGTCAAGAGACCCTGATCCTCAAAAGGCCCTACATTATCTCTCTACTCTATCCCCTTTCACTAAGCAAAAATAAGGACATCTCAGTTTAGATAAGTGATATTTCTCCTTCTGCTGAGAAATTCAGCCACTCTCCTTGGGAGCTTTGGTTAGGTCTGACATAGATCTCCGTGCTCCAGGTGCTCTAGGACACTGCACTTGGCCCCGTGGGCACTGATGATTAGAAGGCACATGGATTTCCATGGAGCTCATAAGTTTAGGCATTTCCTTTTGCTACCATGTGTTTTTCTTAGCCCAATTTCACCAATTCCTGCAGCATGGGCTCAATACCAAGATCAGTAAGTGTCAGGGTGGACATAATGGGCTTAGGAAAGTGTCAGCGTGAACCCGCAAATTTAGATAAAGTAAAAGACTTATGAGGAGAATGATAAGGAGGTTTTGCTAAGACACAGGATCATCAAAGAGGGTGACGATTTTGATAATAGGAGAGGTCTGTGAAGAGGGGAATCCTTATTCCATCAAGAGTGAAACTTTTTGGAACTACCCCCAGTGAAGTCTAAAAGAAGGTTCTGGACCCTGGCAGAAAGCAGCAAAGAGGTTCCAGTGTCCAAGGTATTATGTGTTTGACAGCTTGGGGATGGGCTGGGGGCAACTGCAGCGAATAGGAAGTGGAAAGTGGGGGTAGAGGTGGAAGCCCCTTGAAGTGGACACAAGCTGAGGGGCTTCTGCTCACTGACAGGCTGGGCAGTGAGTGGGACACCAGAGTCACCTACACATGGCCCTACTGTGGGCTGTGGAGCAGAGGACTGGGGTAGCTCATCTTCTGGACTCTGGCGTGCCTGAGAGGGAGGGGGGGCTGTGGAGCAGGAGGTCAAGGAAAACCATATACACAATTTCATAATTAAAGTCCTCCTAAGTAGGTGGGAGGTCTCTTTGGAGGAGACATGGGCTTTATAGTTTTACTACAGCCCAGTCCTATTTCACAGCAAAAGCTCAAATAAAGTGTTGTGTCAAGTACTAATAGACTCTCTCTATCCGTGTTGGGAATGGTCAACCTGGAAAGTTAATCAGGGAGTAATTTTTATTTCCTTGAAATACTTGCTCTGCATTTCTTCCTGCAAACTAAGTGAAAACCTACCTACTGAGGAGTCATCACAGGGACATGCAAGTGAATGACATGATTACTCTCTTCAAGTATCATAACCTCACAGAAGGAAAGACAGAAAATAAGTGCAGAATTGAGATTACAGAGAAAAGGGTAAAAGGAGTCCTAACAGTGTGTACAATGATACAAGTTGGCTCTTCTCTTTTGAAAGTTTAAAAATTTTGTGGCATTGGGTCTCCCCTGGTGGAGCAGCGGTTGAGCACTGAACTGCGAAGCTGCCCACAGCCTCTGCAGCGCCGGTTCGATCTCTGGCCTCCAGCAAGGGTCCCACATGGCGCGACAGACCTCTCCTGCCACGCCCACTGCTCCCCTCAGCAGTGTATTTCGTCCGTCTGCCTGTTCTGCTCCCGCTCTGGCTCTGGTGAATCCTCTCACCCTCCCATGCTTCTGATTGTACCCAGTGCTTATATAAATAAATAAATCTTTTTAAAAAATAAATAAATAAAATTTTTGTGGTAAGCTGGTTTATTTGTGTCAATAAAACCTGTGTATGTGTATAGATGTATAAGTAGGTATGTGTACAAAGTCATATATGTATTTTGTTAGTTCAGTGTGTTTATACACAAAATACTCAGAAGACACTTTTATGTAAAGCATACCCTCTCACTATATATATAATTTAAACAGACATGCGAGTGTGTAGATAGGTACATATTCATATAATACAAGTGGAACGCTCCCTCCCCACTGCCTTGGGACACAGTGGACTCCTGCTTAAGAGTACTAGTTCTGAAGTCAGATTTCCTGGGTCTGGGTCAAATCTGAGCGCAAGCATTGACTAGTCACGTGACTTTGGACAAATTATCATTTAAATCTCACTTCCGGGCCTCCCTGGTGTCGCAAGGGGTTAAGACACAACCTATGAATCCGTCCGCAGCAGTTGCAGCATGAGTTCGATGCCCCGCCAGGGAAGTGACCCACATGGCGCAGCAGACCTCTCCTGACTCACCCGCTGCTCCCCTCAGCAGTGTACTTTGGTTCTTCTGCCTGTTCTGCTCCCCGCTCTGTCTCTGGTGAATCCTCTCACCCCCACATCTCTGGCCTATACCCCGATTCTTGTATACACAAATCTTAAAAACAAAATCTCACTTCCTCATCTGTAAAACAGAAATTATGGCATACCCTTAGCATGCCCATTTCATGAAATTACTATGAGATGAAGTGAGACACACATGGAATGTGCTAGGTCAGCGGCCGCTACACAGAGAGCAGCTACTGTGTCAACGGACAGAGCGAGAAACGCATCCCACCGAAATACCTCTTTTTGAAATAAACACTGCCGTGCTCTCAGTGTTTCCAGAATAAATCAACAAAAGCAGGAGTGATGGCTGGATGCATGATTTGCCAACCACACATACTGTCAGGGTAACCAAGGGGCAAGTGAAATGGTGGAAATGCCCTGGCTAGGGAGTCCATGTTGGGGTGCTTGAGAAGTTGGGTCCATACACAGCCCAAATGCATTCCTAGCCTAGGAAACAAAAAGGGTGCATGTACGAGTCATACAAGTCAACACAGATGAAACACTGAAAAGACAGAGAACCTTGTCTAGCATGAGGAAACTTTTGAACTCAGAATGAACCAAAAAAAAAGGGGGGGTGGAGGAAGGAAAAACTTGCACCACGTTTATTATATTATTATTCATTATTATTTCTCAAATTCATAGTTCAGTGTCCAAGACACAGAGTGTCAGCAGGAAGCATGATCTCTCTGGGTTCAGAAGCACATACCCTTAATAATCGCTGGCTCTTAAAAATATGAAAAGGCCTTGTGGAAGCAAGTGGTAAAAATAAATTTTGAAAAAGTGTTGATACCAAAAGCTACTATTACTCAGACCTGTGAGCTCGGCTCACAGTTACCCCTTTTGTCGCGACTCCTTTCTGGGGTCCTCACCTTGGCAGTGGCGTGAGGGGAAGCACCCTTCTCCAGTAACAGCAGCGCCACCTTCTGGTTGTCATAATGAGCAGCAACATGGAGCGGGGTAAGGCCATTCTGTAAAGGGTGTGTTTAAGTGTCAGCATTAATAAATGAGAGTTAGCTGCCCTGAACCTACCAGGATGCCTGAAAACGGATATATCGATTAATTCCATGTTAATTAATTAATATAGTCAATGGTGGGGGGAAAGGATAAAAATGAACAAATACCTACCTATTTTCACATGAGAAACTTAACAAAAAACTGGAAATGATAGGTTAAGTGACCCGGCATTTTCATGCACCATAAACAAGAGTCGAAAAATGGTATATAAGATAGAGAGACAACCTAAATGCCCCAAAACAGACGACTGGATCAAGAGGATGTGGTATATATATATATACACAATGGAATACTACTCAGTGATCAAAAAAGACAAACTCATGCCATTTGTGGCAACATGGATGGAGCTGGAAGGGATTATGCTAAGCAAATGAGTCCTAAGAAAGAGAAAAATATCGGATGGTCTCACTTATAGAGGGAATATAGGAAAACGGAACAGAGTCAGGAAAAAGCCAAAATTTGCAAGCTGACTACAGATCTGAGGCTTACAGCAGAACAGGGGCCGGAAGAGCTCAAGAGACTGTGGTGAAAGATAATGGGTCCTATGGTGGTGGGAGAGCTACAGGACTACATCTGAGGGAAAACCAAATACTGTCCAAAAGTTAACCATTATGTAAGAAAATTAAAAAAAACTCAATAAATAATAAATGGGGGGGGACGGGGAGAGGAAGGATTAGGGTCAAAATAAGGGTGGGTGCAATTATATGGGGAATATAAACAAAATGAAAATGCATACATTGTGCAAAAATGAAAAATGATGTAAGAATAATATAAAATATTTAAAAATAAATAATAAATAAATAATAAAAACAAATAAAATAAATAAAAATACTACATAAGAAACATTACATTAACATCACGGGGATTCTTAAGAGAGAAGCTCTGGGTCCTGTTGTGAGAACACAAGGACCCCGGCTCCACCTGCCCGCTTAACTAGCGCCTATGGAAAATCATGGACGCCGCCATTTTGAAATCCAAGCCCAGAGCTTTCCCACGTGACTGGGTCATGTGACCTGCATCCCGGAACACCTTACCTTTCCCGCTGAATCTGCTGCTGCCCGACGCTGCAGGAGGAGCTTCGCCACGTCCAGGCTTCCGTACTTGGCCGCGACGTGCAGGGGAGTGAAGCCTTTCTAGAAACAGGAAGAACAGAAGTAGAATATAGTATTAGCTATAATACTATGTTTCCTGTTAATATATGAAACAAACTGTTGATTCTCCTCTTGGGAAAAATACTGACTGTTCAATCTGTTAGTCATAAACAGGGAGGAAGGAGGCAAAAGATGAAAATGTAATATAAAAATGTTGAGCTGCATCGAACGAATGTAGAAATTTTATATTAACGCCTTAGAGACTAAAATTTAACTTTACAGCGTTGGGCTTCTTAAAAACCACTGGTGTCGGTACAATGGCTCCAAGGTGCCAGTGGTGAAATAAAGGCTTGTATTTTTCTTGCCTCAAAATCAACAGGGCTGAGACAAGGACTGTCTTTGCTCCACTTCGTCTCTTTCTATCCTTTTCATAAAACCTGAAATCCAAAATTTCGTCACTTAAAATTTAGGCTATTTCAACAGCCATGGTGAAAATTTTACAAATCATTGTGATTCAGTATTTTTTTTGCAGAAATAGCAAGATAAAATGGTTGACGGAACAAAAAGGTAGTCACCATTCCAAAGCACCTCCCATCTGCTCTCCCCTTACCCAGCTGACCCCACCAATTCTGTCTGTAAAATACCCTCTACTTCGGGCAAGATGTTGTGCTGATTAACACCAGACTTTTAAACACATGGCAGCTTTAAGGCTTTTTTATTTTATTTTATTTTTTTTTTTAAAGACTTCTCTCCTGCACGTTTATACATTCAGAGTGTCCAGTGCCTAACCAATTCCACAGTCTCTATTAGTGGGGTGTTACAAAGACAGTCCAGTGCCTGGCCTCAGATCTCAAGCCTGGCCCAGTTCCTAGGCCATGATCTCAAACCCATCCTCCAGACCAGACAGCCTAGCCACATGCTTTCTGGCACTACCGCGGGAGTGGGGGACTCCTCACTCCTGCAGGCCTGTGAGACACACAGCAATTTTGCCTGTTAGGGGGTCTGTGCTGTGGCTTATCCTGGGGTCCATTCACAGCCTTGTCCTAATACAGAATCCCCCGAGAAGCACTCTGGCCTTTTCACGGGGTCACCACACAAATTATTGTTCATGGAGTTGTTTTTCCTTTTGTTTCTTTTTGAACATTTGGTACTAATAAGTCCTTGGAAGAGCTTGAGTCTTCTGCTTTTCCCAAGTGTGGGACAAATATAGGAAGTGTTTCCTGATTCCTGCATTAAGCTACTGAAGCCAACTCTCGTTAAAGCTCTCCACCCTCCAGTCAGTGCCCACGAAGAATGGGGTGACTCGGGTGGACAGAGTTCCTTGACACAAGCCAAGTAGTCGAGAAGGAACAATACACTTCTTACCCGTAAGGTTCTGCTGGAGTAGACCCAGCCCCCTTGTAAACTGGGAAGCTATTATTAGACAAACCGACAGAGAATCTTTACTGTAAAATCACAAAATAGGGGTTAGGAAGCTTCTCCTGAGTCATACAACTCCCTTCTCCACTATGTTAATCTCATCAGGATTTCATTACCCCTGATATTTATAAACACTTAAGTAACTTTAATGATGATGAGTCAACTTCTTGCAGAAGTCCAGTCTGCTCCACTGTGGAAGTGAACTGTTTAATGTCTTCTTCCACTTATCTGCCCTACTTTACTCTGGCTTTAGATATATTTCTTAAATCCTCAGAATCTTCGGGAGTAACTGGACTAGGTTTTATTCTCTCTTTCTGAAATGTTCTTATCTTAATTTCATTTATTTATCATCTGATGAGACAATCACCCAGTCTCTCTTGCGCTATGATTGCCAGTGCTCCTTTATTATTATAGTATTTGTTTGTTATTACAGCTATATATTTTTTGATTGTTATTGTTATTACTAATACATATTGTTATTACTACTACTGGTTGTTACTGTTACTACTAGATGTTTGTGCTTTAAATGCATCTTAAAATACTTGTGAGTCCTTAGATTTCAGCATTTGAATAAATTGCCAGCGTCTTGCATTAAAACAGCTTACAGCCACAGCCAGCAGGAAGGCAAGGAGGGCATCGCCCCAGGACGAGGGCAGTTCCTACCTGTGAGTGTCCTTTTCCCACAGATGTGGTATTTTTGCTTGAAAATGTCTTTTAAATCTTCTAAATGACTTCATATTTCTGGGAATTATTTTGCTCCACAATCAACTGACTCATCTTAGCCCTTCACTTGTTTGATTTTCCTATTCTTGTGCCTGTTAGATTTCTTTTGCTCCAGTTAGTGTGTGCATGCTTTCTCCTAAGACACATCCAAATGCTGGATTTCACCTTGAATGTATCAAGTTAAGAAAAAAAGATTCTGCCATCACATGCAACTTTGAACTGGCGTAAAATTCAGGCTGGTGTATATTCTTTCTTAGATGATAAAAGTGTGTTTCTCCAACTCAGTTTTATTTTGACACTGTTCTTCCCCAGACAAGAGTAGCTGGTAAAGATGAGAGAACAGGCTTGCTGATACAGGGTTCTAGAGAGGACTAAAGCGCTTAATAAATCTAGTATCCAGCCTAGTGCAAGTTTGTGTTTTCCTCCTGAGTAAGATAAGCTCAACATATTTGCAAATCTTATTCTTCATCCTCTTGGGAAGACATTGTCATTTCATAACAGAAAGGGAAGCAAAAGGAACCCTTACTCCACAGATATCATCTTAAACAAGACCTGCACGAGAAACAACACTGATGTTAGCCAGAGGGGAGGAAGCCAGCGTTCTTTACTGAAGATACTGCGTGGATGTGGACAATCCCTCCTGGTCTCTTAGAAAAGGAATCTAGAATAGTCCAAAAGAAAGCAGTCAGGCAGAGGCCTGACTTAGAACCACCTTTCCCGACTCTGGGTAGCTGAGCAGAACCACCACCTGCGGGACGTCTCAACCACGCCACCAGGCAACCACCCGCCTTACCTTGGTGGCTAAGGAGTGGGCTGCACCTGCTTCCAAGAGCACCGACGCCACGTCCACCTGGCCCTCCCTGGCGGAGATGTGCAGTGGCGTGTAGCCGTTGGTCGTGGCTGCGTCGGGATGGGCCATGTGCTGCAGGAGCAGCTGCACGATCTCGGTCTTACCCAGGCGAGAGGCGATGTGCAAAGGCGTCTGTTCCTCCTACAACTCAAGTCAAGTGGAAAGTCAGTGCCGGGCCAGACCCAGCTTTACTGCCAACTGATTTCACTCACATGTTTTCTGAGGCCTTCATGGACTCTCTAAGAGCCCCTACCCAAAGTGAAATGATTACTATTCCAACCACGACTTATTTTATCTTTCACTGTGGAGCTGACCTGCTTGACCACAAAACCTTCCTTAGATTTTTAAAATATAGGTACTTCCAGGAAACTGGATGTTGTTTTCTGGGCACATCAGAATGTTTCTCCACTCATGAAGGCTTCAGCCCTCACTGAGGTTTATGCATAAACCAACTCATGATTCTGAATAAGAAAGAAATCTAGCTCAGGAGTCCTGAGATGTGGAGTCCCATCCAAAAGCTTTCAGTAAGAGACAGTATTTACTCTGGGAACTGCACCAAGAGAAAAAGAACCAGGCTGCTGGAAAACTTTGTTCTTTCCTTCACTCAGCAAGCCAAGGACACAAATGCTGACTCTTTTCTTCAAGGAGACACTGTGGATAAAGAAGATATTGTGATGTGATTTAAAAAGTTGTTCCTGGAAGTGTTGCAGATGAGTTTGGGATTTGCCTGCGGGGTGTCAAAGATGAAATGCAACTCTCTGGCAAGAACCAAATGCGGCTGTTGCCAAGTGCTTTTCATTTGAAAGCAGAGCGACGGTATAGCTGGTATAAGGGGCAGGAAACCACCTGACTGAGTGTGCAGAGAAATTTTTTCAGCGTTAAGAGAACCAGGTCAAATCATTTTCTTGTTAAAAGAAAAGCGTGTGTAACCTTAGTGATGAAAAGAGGTATATCTTACAATCCGCCCAAGGACATGTCATAGCAAAAGTGAGGAAGGAAAGCTGGGCCAGCTTTCCAGGGCTAAGAATGAATGGAGAACAGATATAATGGAGCAGGAAGGGGCTTTTCAAGTAAATGCAGTTACAAGAAAAGACATATGAAGAAGGAAGAGAAAGATGAAATTCCATTGCATGAGTTTCAGGATAGAGAGAAATAATAACACAATCATTTTGGCAATAGTATTGAATTTTTTTTTTAAATGTGCAACTTATAAGCTTTCTTCCTGCACAATACATACTTGTTCCTGTCCTTATAATAGATCTAAAAGGAAGGGATGACATATGTATATTATACTATTATTCACAGATAGGAGATTAAGGGGTAAATGAGTTCTGTAGGATTTCCTTCTTTTTTTTTTTTAAGATTTATTTATTTATTTATTTATACAAGCACTGAGTACAGTCAGAAGCATGGGAGGGTGAGATAATTCACCAGAGCCAGAGCGGGGAACAGAACAGGCAGACCGACAAAATACACTGCTGAGGGGAGCAGCGGGCGCGGCAGGAAAGGTCTGTCGTGCCATGTGGGACCCTCTCTGGTAGCCAGGGATCGAACCAGCGCTGCAGAGGCCACGGGCAGTTTCGCAGCCCAGAGCCTAACCACTGCACCACCAGGGGATGCCCTGTAGGATTTTCTAATTATTAAAATAAGACTTGAATTCAGGCATTGAAATCTAAAGACATTTCTTTGTCTATACAGGCTACAGAAATAGATAAAGTAAGATGGCCAGTAAAAAAACCTGATAATACTTTAGAAGATACAGCTTTCTCTCATGTACAGAGGGGAAAGAGGTTCTTAGGAATTGCATTTTTTTGGGAAAAAAAAGGTAACCAATCTGACCATAGGCTAACTGACATAAACTAGAGTTACATTCCTACAGCAAATTTCAGGTCATTCTATCGGGAAGTTTTAAGTAAAGACCCTAAACATTTCTGGTATTACACAATCAGTTGTCTGTTTAATTCACTCCTTTTTCAACCAGTTCAGGGTCCAGTTCAGGGTCATGGGCAGCCAGAGACGATCCTGGCAGCTCAGAGTATAGTGGGCCATGACCCTGGAGGGCACCCCTCCATTGCAGGGCACAACACACCATGCTCCCTCCGGCTAGGACAACTGAGATGCCAGTCATCCTCTCGTGCACTTCTTCGGGGCCTGGGAGAACACTGGTATCCAGGAGAAAAACCGCTCAGATGTGGGGCACACGTGCCAGCTCCCCACTGACTGTGGTCCCAGGGATAGACCGGGATGGACTGTCTTTATTCTCTTCTGCATAATAATGAAATGAAGTTGAACAAAATAACTTTATGGAAAACCTGCTGTGTATTGGGAGTAGGCAAAAATATGCCTTATCACCTATTATTATTTAATCATAAGGCATTGTTTCTAAATTCAATTGAGAATACAGACTGCCTAGCACAGAGCCCCTGACCTTGTAGCTAGTGTAAAAACTGAGCATAATGGGAATTGTAGAGTGATGAAGTTAGGGTAAGAGTTTTCAGACGGGCATATACATGTGTGCGCAGGCACGCGTGTGCAGGCACACATGTGTGGGTGTGGGTGTGTGTGTGTATTAGGAAGCCAAGGGGTAAACAGATCAGAGATGTGTCCATTTTCCTGCCCGGCACTCCCTCCAACCTTCTTTTGGGAACAGCTCCGCCCTCCTTTGAGTGAGGAGGGCACCCCAGACTGCATGCAGTTCTAGAGGGACTGCCAGTCACCTTACCCCCTTCATGAGTGGGCCAGATAAGCTCAGGTAAGGAAAGAACCTAATTAGAATCTAATGGGTTGTCTGTGCTGGAAGAGAAAAAGTTTCTCTTTACATATGAAATGGGTGAGAAGTGATCTCAGCAAGGAGGTAGTAGCAAGATACACAAGCAGAGGAGAAACCCTCTTCCTTATCCTTCCCAGTGTGTGACCTAAAAATCTTGACTATTAGGGCCCTGAATCACCCTGGTCCACAGGGACACTCTGCACATCAGGTAAGATCATCTGTGTTGAGCCTCCCTGTGGCACAAGGGGTTAAGAGGCAACATATGAAGCTGTCTGCAGCCACTGCAGTATGAGTTTGATCCCTGGCCAGGGAGCTACCCACAGGGTACAGCAGACCTCTCCTACCTTGCCCAACTGCTCCCTTCAGCAGTATCTTCTGTCCATCTGCCTGTTCTGCTCCCCGCTCTGTCTCTGGTGAACCCTCTCACCCCCCACACCTCTGGCCTGTACACCAGTGCTTGTATAAATAAATATTTTTTTTTAATTTTTAAAAAATAAAATTGCTTTCATAGGTAAACAAAAATATCATGTGAGACAATACTGTATTTCCCAGAAACACTAAATTGTGCTTTTTAAATACAAACATTTCTGAGATCGGGGTGCATTTTGCATATGTATTTCCAGTAGCTTCTTTATCACCTGAATAGACATGCTACTGAATTAAGCCTTTTCCGAAACAAAGATGGCATTAAGGTTTCTAAAACATTTTCAAAACAAGGAAATGGAGAAGAGCAGCCTGCCTTGGAGACAGGACTCAGGCATATCACGGAAGGGAGGAGGTAGAGGGGGCCGCACCTACCCTGGCTCTGGCATCCACAAGGGCGCCGTTCCTCAGCAGGCACCGGACCACCTCCACCTGCCCGGCGCGGGCCGCCATGTGCAGTGCGGTCTCCCCCCTCTGTCAGGAAACAAGAACCATGGAATGATGAGTGAACTGACCAATCTGGATGAGGACAATAAAGGTGTGCCTCTTTGTGAAATTCAGCAATACATCCAAAGGTTTAAGCAATCTCTGAAAAGACATGGTGATTTCGTAATTAGTCTGGAAAAACACAGGTTTGTATGTTCTCCATCTTCATGAGGATAAAGCAAACACCTAAGCCTATTCTTTTTTTCAGCCTACGACAAAGCAGCAAACTTACCCCAATGTCCAGGCTACCCTGAGTCGAAACTTCACCATCAGCCTGGCCACTTACATCATTTTGGTGACATGAAGTGGTCTTTTACCCTTTGAGCCTCAAATCTGTCATCGTGGCACTTCACTATGTGACGACAACTTGATCTCCTTTTTATGAGCACGTCTACATACTGAAGGTGAAGGGAGCGTGTTGCAAACAATCACGCCGCTGGTACCATGTAGAAGTTGTCCCTTTCCAAAATTCAACATTGATTGCTGAAATAAACTATTATTTTACTACAGATTTGTCTTTGTGTTATGAGACTGCCCTATAAGTGATCAGACAAATTTGACTTTCCCAGGAGGTCCCTAATTTGTCACCCATGAGCATAATGATAGGCAGGTACTTAAAAGAACTACAGAGTAGGGACAGTCCTACCTGGTGATGACAGTCACTCTGAGCACTGGCCATTCCCCAAGTCTCCCCAGCACCAAATCAAGGCATGACACACTCATCAGGAAAGGGTGTTAAAAAAGATGGGAGTTAGATGTCAGGGGTTTTCTCTTTGGGAAGCTTGTTAATTATTGCCTCAAAGACAGAGGTGCTTTTAAAATCAAAATGTTTTCGAACCACAGGTAGCTCTGAAGAAGGCAGGTATTGATTCACTGAAACCATCTGGCAGTGTTAAAGGAACAGGGTGCTGGGAGACAAGTCTTCACTCGTAGTCATCGCAACTATTCTAGCAACGAAAGATGATTTCAACCAAGTCAAGTTGACTGTTCCAAAGAAAAATTGCTACTGACTTTGGTAATTGGATATTTCTTAAAAATCCACAGAATAATATTTTCTGATTCCTTGCACAATAAATCCGTAAGTCTACAAGAACTAATATGCCATTTGTGTCATAGCTCATAGTTCCGTTTTACCCTTTATTCAGAGGCCCATTCCTTACAATATCATAAGTGATTTTAAAAGATTTGATTTTGAACGCACTAACCTGGACATCTACTTGAATTTTCTTTTTTGTTCGTGATTTGTTCAACCTCTTATTTTCTGATGATACATTTGGACTTTTGTAAAGTGAGTGTAGCAGGAGTGTGCTGCTTTATAAAATGACATGTTTTTACAATAGTAATATTCATCTTCAGACTTGGTGGGTAGATGGTAAGATTTTTCCTCTTCGGATGAACATGATTTCTAATTTGCTTTCCATATCACTTACTACTATCCCTAAATAGACAAAGGTAAGATCTTCTAACTAGCAAAAATAAAAACTCTCAAATCTTTACCCTACTCTAAGTCTTATAAAAGTATAGAAATTTTACTTTATTTTAGTAGGTATGAAAAGACAAGGACAAATTTCCTCATAAGAAGTAAAGTCACAGAGGCCCTAGGAGGCCCTTCTCAATGACGAATGCATATGTACATTACAAGCCAAGCTTTATAAATAAAGCGTTTATAAAATGTTTCCTATGGTAGCCCTAGTATTTCTAATACTCTGATTTTATACTTAAAATAACTTACTTTTATGATGTTTCCATATATGAAATTGATGAGTTAGATTAAAAACCTAATCTAAACTATTAGACATCATATCCAAAGGAATGGTGTAGGTGGGTATGGTCTTGTTCAAGTCTTATTTAATGACACTGAGGTAGCTGACTTTTATTATGAATTACCTGTATCCTTTTATATTTATATTACCCTTATTTATACATAAGTATCCATAGAGAAATGAGAAGATAAACATAGTTTTAATCAACAGCTTCATATTTTTGTTGGGCATCTCATCTTATTCAACACCATTGTTTTCTTTATAAAGATAAACTAATTGTCTTTAAGAATTATGGGAAATTCTTCAATAGAATAAAAAGTGTGACCTTTGCCAGGAATCCCTTTATTGGTTATAGGAAGAGGAGAAAACTTAGCCACGCTCTGAACTGTGCTCTGCGTACCCCCCACAAGTGTTTGCTTTTCTCCTCCCAAGGGGGACGGGTATCTTCTACACCCAGGGTTGACAGTGAAGAGTTCGGATGATGGATGTATTATAGCTGGCAGTTCAGCTGTCTAGGTCTTAGAGTGCATTTATTTGTCAGCTTTCTGGAAAAGGAGCTTTGCAGTAACACTAGCTGCATGACGGAGTTACTGGTACACGTCACACTTGGACTGGATTCTGAGACAAAAACAAGACTGGCCAGAGAACATAAGCTCACATCCAAAGCTGGTAGTGACTGTCATGCCCTCTTCCGGTTGTTAGAACCAACGCCACTGACAGCGAAGTTGACTTCCACGTTGGCCGCATCAAGTTGGGAAGCATCAAAGCACAACAGACAGCATTGCATTCAACAATGCAACAAGATTTCAGGCAACACACAAAGGCTCCAAAGGCAGGGACTTTGGGTTCAGGAGGTGACTGGCTCTGACAGAGCAAGCAGGCAGTCAGTGACCACAGAGCTCTTCATCAACCTGCAAAGAGTTTTCAATCCAGCAGCCAGAACCCCACGTTATGAGAACACACAAGTTCGCAGGCATCCCACTGCTAGAGAAAGTCAGATTCCTCCAGTGCAGGGTTGCCAGATGAGCGAATCAAAATACAGGATTGGCCAGTAAACTTTCATTAACAATGACAAACAGAGAATGATTATTTTAGCATCATTATTTCAAACATTGCATGGGACATACATACTAAAATAATTATCCATTGTTTATCTGACATTTAAATTTAACTGGCAGTCCTATATTTTATCTGGCAACCATCTCTACATGGCATTTGCTCCCTGAAGAACACATGGCACAAAAATGGAAATTAACAACCAGAAAAAGGAGTAAGAAATGTGTAGAGGAGATGATTATGTTGGTTGGTGTCTCTCAAGTATTTGTTTTATGGGGCTGAAGGAACAAAAGGGAATGCAATGAATACATGAGAAAATGAAATAAAATGAAGACCCTAATGATGACCAACAATTGGAAGCTAAAATTTAATATAGCAATTTCTAAATTTGGGAAACTTAAAGAATCTAAAGGCTATCAATTAATTATTTTTTTAGTAATTTTTACCTGTAAAGCTACTTGTAACCTACATAACATTTTTTTCTGAGTGGAGCATATCAATATGGATTAAAAGCATCACTGTGAAATGATCTGGAGCTGGTCAGGTAAGAAATAAATTAAGAATGACCACAGAATCACACAATCATTCCACGCAGATTTTCTTGATGCTTTTGCAAAAATCTCTCCTCAAGAGATTAACTTAGGAGATATCAATCAAGCACCATGTAGAATATACATGTATATGTTATTATTATAACACAATAATCTAATTCAGCCTACGTCTTCATTGCCTGTGATCTTGTAGGCACCGGGATGCAAACAGGGAAAAAACAGTCAAGTGGGAAATTATTGAGTATTTGTTCTTGAAAGTTACTGGTTTATATAGATCTCAGTTTTAAAAAGGGAGATGGTTATTTCTGAACAATAAAAAAAAAGAAGGATGTTGATTTCTTTGAAATTCTAGGAAGTGACTCAAATTAAATTCAGCTTGGCACGTTGTGAAATTACTCTTACCCTTATTGGAGTAATTAAAAGTTAGCATTTAATATTATTATTTTAGGAGCAATGGATTATAACTAGGGAAATTTGTAGACAAAGATTTTACGTTTAAATTCTTAAGTGATTTTATGCTCCACTATGAATGTTATAAATAGCATTCAGATTCAAATTGTTTCACATGGATCTTGCCCATGCATCTGAAACTTCAGCACAGAAACAGTGTGCAAATTACAAAGGAATAAGAATGTGAGAGGGAATACAAATAAAAAGTGAATGGAACATTCTGTTTCGCAACTCAAATTGACGAGAAACCCAAAACTGGCAGCAGTGGACAACCAATGGCCTTGGAGAATATGATTCATTTTAAGAATTAGCACTAATATTTATTTGGGAGAGTTAATTCTGTTACCCACTTTGAAATAAACTCACTATTCTCGTGGCCCCTGTCAGCTTCAAATACACAACTGTATCTTGTATACAGCAAGTTCTCTTGCTTGGGAGAAAACTTGCAGTGAATGATCAACATTTAAAGAGGCACACTCCAAGAAAGCGAGAGAAATATAAAGAACTGAGAAGTGCCAATCCTCACTCGCAGTAGGTGGAGCGATTTTGAGGTATCCAGTAAATTTACCGGCCAAATGAAAGTTGTCTGGAGATCAACTTTCATCTTGGGAGACACAGGAAAGTTGCAATAATTTAACTCCTTTCAAGGAGGAAAGGACACCAGTCCAGCAAACAAAATCAAATCAAGACAGGCTGAAAAATTGGAATATCTATGTAATTGCTGGAGGAAGAATTTCCTATCAAGTCAAAAGCCCTAAATGGTGCATCTATGATCAGTCTTCCATATGATTGAGGGTGGGAGACTGATTAGTTGAAATTATCCAGAGCACAATTTACTCAAGTATCTAGAATGAGCCTTGAAAAGCATGTTGCAACCAATCACTCAGGATGTTCAGAGGAGCTTCTAAAATGTGTTTTGTTTGAATCAATGTAAAAAAGAGCCATGGTTCATCCATCTGCTCCCGGAAGCTGACACGGGTCATCCACCACAGCTCCCATTTCATTTTCTAACTCATTGCTTTTCCTTTGAGACTCTTCTCCGTCAAGTTCCAGCCATTCCTTAATGGTATGTTGTCACGGGCCTTCTCCCAGCTGGGCCGCTGGCTTCAAAGACACACACACAACACGCATCCCTACACACACCCACACGCGCCTTTTCCTTTCGCACTTTCTCCCTGGGGTTATTCTGACCCAAACCATACTCACAATGTTAGTGACATCTGGAGAGGCTCCGTTCTGCAGCAGAAGGAGGACAATGTTCAAGTGGCCCATGAAGGCAGCCACATGTATTGGTGTGAGGCCAGACTGCGAAACAAAGCAACAGCAAATTTTACTCCTCTGCACCGGTGGGGGCTGTGGGGCTTCTTCAGATCAATGGAAACTCGAGTGAAGAGGACAGAAGATGGATGAAAGGAAGGGGGAAAGAAGTAAGAGAAGGAATGTTTGGTGACAGGCTGAAACATTGTTCTACCTCTGTGATAGCTTGGATTGAAGCCCCATATTTCACCAGCAGTTCCATGACTTTGATGCGGTTTTTCTTGCAGGCAATGTGCAGTGGAGTAAAACCATTCTGTGCAAAAGACAATCAGGTTAGTTGGAAACATGCAGAAACGATTTTCACACAACTCCATGCTGGCACATTGCAAGCAATCATGTTACATCGTCACAATAACGTTACCATTTCTTCAAGCCGCAGGTGCTGCTAGGAGCTAAGAAAAGAGGTGGTGTGTTCTGGAAGCCCTGAGCTTGATTTAGAATGTGGTGGCCTGGATGTCATTCTGGGTGTGTGGTTACAGAGAAAACAAAAGGAAAGCAAAGCACATGGACCTACTCTTCAAAGAAGCAAAAACAGAGGGGCAATCATACTTTGGAAGATCCATGATGGGTTTGCATTGGAAATGTCTTGAAAATACAAAAAGTTAAGCATGCTATTTTCTGACAAAGGGTCATTTCTGAGCGCATGAAAAATTTTCAATTCTTTTGCTTCCAAAATCGAACATGACTGCCCCTGTAACAAATTTTTTGGTTCTGTTACCATTTTCTTCAAGGCAGAGGTGTTGCAAATGAGCCGAACTTTTTATTTATGTTGACAATTTTTTTATGTCTACTAAGAGTTACATTTCTTATGTTTAAATGTTTTTATGAGGTGTTGGGTATTAGCAGGTCATTATCTCCATAAAACTTGCTATTCAGATGTTACATCTTATATTTAAAGCTTTTTATAACCTGTTGCAATCAGATACGATTAATTTGATAAAGAAATTACTATTTCAGTGCCCGAATACTTTTCAAGAAAGGTATGGAGAATTTCTGGAATCACTGGAGGGAGATACTTCTCAGAGATAAAGGATTGTAGAGAAGTCTTTAAGAAACTAACTTTCCAAAAACTAAGCTAATGTGCTGAATTTGGGGGAAATTATCTAAAAATAGATTAACCAGCCCCATACTTACTCTTTATAGGTTATACTAAAGCATATTTTTATTTGAATCATATCTCCTATATAGAAAGCCATATCTATTTTGCATTATTCTACCAGTTCTGTTAACAGTTTTACCTGTCCTAGTGCAGACTAATTAGCAGTCAATATTCTTCTACACTGGCCATTCTAAGATGTTGCTTAACCTAATGAATAATTATTTTCACAATGTCTGTTATATTCCATGGATGGAATAAGCCATAAATAACCACATGTACAGGCAGTGCTTAAAAGTCTGCAGCGATTACATTGTGATACTTCATAAGTTTACTGACCACCATACAATTGAAAATAAGAATTTTTCTCAGTATGAGAAAATAAATACCCTCCCATAATTGCACATAATCCAAAAAGTATAGTTGCATCCCTGGTAAATTATTTTTTAAAGAAATGATTCCAATGGAAAACTTCTAATAAAAATAGCTTCAAGATTTGATCTTTCTGCTGACATTCTCTCATTCTAAATGTTGCTTGTCTGAAGACCAATTTAACTGACATCAACCACATAAACATATAGGGAAGAAAGGATTTGCTTTTAGTTTGAGAATGAGGAAACAGCAGGTATAAATTAGTGCATGCCTAATATTTCTGGTGATCGAGGTTAGGAGATAAGGGAGGCAAGGAAGATTTATTCAACACGCGGGATTCCTGGGGAGACACAGAGGTTACTCCAGGGCAGCCTTACAGGTTTCCCTTGCACGAGGCCTGTAAGGGTTTTTATGAAACACTTTCAGAAGCAGTGAGCTGCTGCCTCTCTGTTCTGTTAGCCCAGCACTGTGTAAGCAGGCTTTAAGGAGGACCTCCAAGTGAATTCTTCCTAGGCTGACACCTCCCACTCTCATCAAGGTCAGATCCATCCACCAGTTAAAAACTTTTGTTTCCAAAAGAGGTTAAGGGAGTTCAACTTTTCTCAGTCTTATCCTCCCTCTATATTGAGGCCTCTAGAACTTACTTTAAAAAATCCTACTTCTCAACTTCCACCTTCCAGGGACAATGGCTTTTCACTCCAGAGGTTTCCTGTCTCTCCGCAACTCGCTACTTTGAGGGGTGTTCCCTTGGGGTTCTCCTAAATCTGTGCTTGTTCAACGCCAGCATTTGCTAGCAAGCTGTGAGGTGAGCAGGCAGCGGTGCGGGTGACGCCCGAGCAGAGCTAAGTGCCCATCTGTCTGGACCATGTGTTGCTGGTGGCCGCCCCTGTCAACCGGCGTGGCCGGCCTGTCTTGACCTGTACTCAGTGAATGTGGGCTGGGCCAGGTTTACCAGGGCTCTGGCGTTGGGGTTGGCCCTCTTGTCCAGCAGGAGCTTGGTGACACGGTAGTGGCCACAGTGTGCAGCAACGTGGAGGGCCGTCAGGTAGTCCAGGGTGACATCGTCCACCGGCGCCTTGTGCTGTAGCAGATGCTTCACACACTCCACGTGGTCCCCCTGGGCAGCCATGTGCAGTGGAGACAGCCCGTTCTGCGCATGAGAAGAAAAGCAACCCCCGCCACATGTTAGCCATTACTTCCAGGTTCTGAAACACAACAAAGCCAACTCCTGATCGCCAACACAACAGGTAGCAAGAGGAGAATAACTTCTGTTTGACATGTGAATATATAGCAGATGATGTCTGGTGGAGAAGGAAGCTAAGAGGATCATTTCAGAATCAAGCAAAGTATCTTTGGCAGAAACACAAATTAATATGTCTTTCAGGAATGAACATGTAGTACGTGTGGCAATTCAGTGGGGATTTACCAGGACGAGGGCGATATTAGATTATGAAAGCAAGCGAGAACCGATGCTTCATTTATCTGTACCTAGTTGCACACACAGCAATCTATTAAATCTGCTGCATGAAATATTTTTAAAGATTTATTTATTTATGCATACAAGAACTGGGGTACCAGCCAGAAGTGCCGGGGGGAGGGAGAGGATTCACCAGAGACAGAGTGGGGAGCAGAACAGGCGGATCTACTGAAATCCACTACCAAGGGGAGCAGCACACAAGAGAGGAGAGGTCGGCTGTGCCATGTGGGTCACCTCCCTGGCGGGGATTGAACTTGTGCTGCAGTGGCTGCCGATAGCTCCATAGTGCTAAGACATAACCCCTTGCACCACCAGGGAAGCCCTGCATTAATTTCTTTACTTCTAAATGATGGGGAAAGAGAATGAAGTTGGGGAAGTGGGTGGGTCAGGGAGGGGAGACTATTCATTTCTTAGACCCATGGTACTGAAATTTTAATTCCTCCTTCATATCCCATTCTAGGACATGAACTGGACCTGGAGGAAGCAGTCAGGGGAGAGTCAGAGAGCATGAGCCCCCAGGCGGGGTACAGTAAAGCAATGACTCTTAATATTGTCCACACAATTGGGACAGCAGAATAACCACATTTCTGGAGCTGGGTTGCAGAGAGTTTGCTGGAATATGGAAGGGGCTGGTTGGAGAGTGGGAGGTTAGGCACAGAGCTTCACAGTCACTATAGGGAGAGGCCAGCTTGGAGCTACTGTTCCTTCCCAGATCAAAGAAATCATCAGGAACGAGAACCGGGGTGGCAGAGAAGACTCAATTTGCTGAGAACCAGAATTTTTAAAGTTTAAAGGGAGTGGCAACTACATAGATGAATATTTGCTCAAAGGATGAATAATGGATGTCTCAAGACTGGGTGTCTCATGGAGGGGATGGGAGAATAGTCCCTTTTCATTTCCAAGCTACTGGTATCACCTCACTTCAGCTTAGCTGATCATTTCCATCATGTTCCTTACCCTGCACGCAGCTCTAATTTTGTGATTATCTTCTTGTCTATTTTAGCCACTTAAACTCTGAACTTTTTCAAAATCAGACTGCACATTATTTATCTCAAGAGTCCCTTAGTGACTAGGACACTGCCTAGTGATTTGAGGCACAAGGAGAGCTGGAAGGTTGCAGAGAAGTGCACACAAGCACACACTCACAGGAGCCTTATGCTGGATCCTAACATATGAAGGCTACTTGTTTTATAAGAAGATCATTAAAACATTTACAATAGAGTACTTCAAGGTCTTCATTAGTGATCTGACAATTACAGGCAAACTCTGTAGACAAGATTAATTTATAGTTTAAAGAACAACATACCATCCTCAGCTTGCTCTGAACTTTTTAATGGTTTTCACATGTCCTATTTGAAATGTTGTTATTTCCATTTAAATTTCTGTTTCCTCAACAAATTTTTTCATAATTATCTTTGCCACTACCCCGGTCAAACGGTTGCATTTTAAAGACAGATGTCTACAACACTCACAGTACAGGATGAGAATCAAACAATGCAGATGCTTTATTTCTCTTCATCATGTGTTTCTGATTTGAAGTCGCCCTTCCTTGGCTGGTGGGGCACATCTTTAAAGAGCAGTTCATTCTACACCTACTTTAAATGTGGGGAGGTTTTTGCTGTAAATGATTTCAATGAAACGTTCACTTAAAAATACAATGTAAGTTGAAAATGATTTGCTTGCATTGGCTGCCTTAATTGTCGAGGTAACTGATCACTTGACAACTTAATAACATCCCACCAACAGCATCTGTGGATACCCATTACCATTCAGGATATAATACACTGCATCATGAAAACCTCCAACCAGTCAGCTCATCACTGGGTTTTCATTTACATAGATAAGTGTGTGCTCATGGTTGAGCATGGTTGATGAAATGAGACAGAAAATACCAAATGCACTGCTGGACAATATGCTTGCAAAATGGTGGCCCGTGGCTGGCCTGTCCTAAGTAGTGCCTCCCACATAACCCTGCTAATTCCAATGATAACCGACCAGCTACTGGTGAGTGATTCTTTTTTACTAGCATTACCTAAGAAGTAAAGATGGGGGACCTTAAGGATTCATCTTGCATTACTAATTGTGCTGCCTTAAAAGATAATTTTATAGGTATTTACACAGCCCTGTGGAATCATGAAAATGTAGACTCATAGAATGTAAGTGATATTGTCACTTATATGTATATATAATAGTCTCGTTGATATATAATAGAGTCACATTCAAGATTCCTTCTGCCGTAAGAATAGCAGATATAAAACGTAGAAAGAACTCCAAGGCACATATTTATCCTAACGCATGTATTTGTTAATTTTAAAGAGTTTGGAAAGTTTGATATGCATAGCTCATTCCTAGCACATAAATACTGAGGAACTAGAATATGCCTGGCTGATGCTTCAATTCAAGAACAGAGAATAGCACCGAAGGGGACAAGAGAGTTCTGGGGATCCCGTGTTGCTCACCACAACTCACCTTGGTCCTTGCCAGCAAGGGGGCACCCCGCTCCAGCAGAAGCTCTACCACTTGGTCATGCCCACTTCGTGCAGCGCAGTGGAGTGGGGTCAGCCCATCCTGACAAGAGAATTCAAAAATTAGGCTTGATTTCACGCACACAAAAAAACCCAAACCAAGACTGCATCTAATGCCTCCGGGAAGGGAGGGTTTCCTGAACTCAGCCCTAGCCACTCTATAGAGCAGAACCAGAATTGCTACTAGTTAACTGATAGAGAAGAAGAAGAGTAAGAGAGAAAATAACACAGAGAAATCTTGATGGAGAGCATGAGAAAGACTGAGACAAAACCGAGAAAGGGAGCAGGCAAGAGATCCTGCAAGTGGAGGTTCAATGTAATGAAACTTGCTGCTGTTGGTAGACTCAAGATAACAGGAACGCAGACTATGTCCCATTTACTGACCTTGAGAACCCACTTACAGAACCACACCTGGGAGGATATTGCTAGACTGTTTTCATCTTACTGATTTGTCCATTCATGTTCTGTCTAGAATTGTCACTTCATACTTTCTCCTAAAAAGCTCCCTGAGGCCCCTGTATAAGGGCCATTTCCAGATTCGTCTAATAATTTCCAGGCATATTTTTCAGCATTTTAAAACTACATAATTATGTTTTCAAAGGCCAAGTTTATTACAAATAAAGAGCATCCAATAAATTTATAGCACAACTAGATATTGTGTTATTTATAGAACCTTCTAAACTTGATGGTTCTCTGGCAGTTTCTGATTCTAGAGTGACCCCCACCCCATCCACAAATACCTTTTGGCTTTTAGGTTTTGTTTCTCTTGAGGGTGACATGGCCAAGAAACACAGTGAGTGGGAAATAAGAGGCAAAATGTAAGAACAAGACTAAGAAGTGAAAGAGAAAATGAAGTCCTGATTACATAAATTAACTGGTGGTCTCAAGATTAAGGGGGGTGGAAATGAAGACTGTCACACAGAAAGAGATTGGGAAGGTAGGTAGCAGTCAAGAAAGTGAGGTTGAGAGAGTGATAAAGAGAACTCCAGAGCATCTGACTTATCTAGAAGGCCAATGATCTATCTTCTGTGTCCTGCCTCCAGGGCCATATCTCCAGGGTACACTTTCCTCCTCAAAGTGTAATTCATCTATTTATAACACTCTGCCTGATCCAGCATTCTGGAATCTCTATGCTAGACATTTTCCATTTAGCCTTCCAGTTGCAAGCTCTTCCCTTCCCTGTCCATGTGCGATGAGCTCTCCAGATTGTATCAGTGGGCTCACTTGCCCACTGGCTTCTGGCTGGCCTCAGTCAATGAGAAATGCATCAAAATGTGGAAGACAACTGCCTGAAGGTCCTAAGTATGGTTGTATCTCTCCTGCCAAAACAGCTTTCTCACACAATTCTCTCATTTGAAGTTCTGGAGACCTCCTCTACTTCTCACCTTTCTGGGGCAGGGATGGTAAGGATCTCTACCTACTGTTTCTATCCCCAGGGGTACTCCAGCACTCCCTGTGTCTTCCCTACAGTCCGTCCACACTGTTATAAACAGGTGCTTTAACAATCTCTACTCAAATGATCAAATTGGAGTATGGGGCCTCCCCTGGTGGCGCAGCGGTTGAGCGCTGGGCTGCGAAGCTGCCTGCAGCCTCTGCAGCACTGGTTCAATCCCAGGCCACCAGCGAGGGTCCCACATGGCTCAGCAGACCTCTCCTGTCTCACCTGCTGCTCCCCTCAGCAGTGTATTTCATCAGTCTGCCTGTTCTGTTCCCCGCTTTGGTGAATCCTCTCACCCTCCCACGCTTCTGACTGTACCCAGTGCTTGTATAAATAAATAAATAAATATTTAAAAATATATATCTATCAAATTGGAGTATGCTTCTATTTTGAGCTAGGACCTTGACTGCAAATGATAGTTTTTTTGGTGACTCTATTTAGCCAGCATTCAGACAGGCAAATAACCAAAACAGATCTCACAGCAATGGGTTTCTGGAAATTAGCATTAAAAGGTTGTTTTTCCAGAAGAAAAAAAAAATGTAGTAGGATGCCAGGTTATTTTCAAGTCTGCCAGAGAGGAGCCTCAAAAGAAACTGGGCGGGCAAAGCCACAGAAAGAATTAGGCTTCTGCACACCTTGGTAACAGCACCTGCAGCGAACACAGGGCATGAGCTGCCGCATAAGTTATAAAAGAATCCGAGACAGCTGGTTTCTCAAACACCCTCTTGGTGGGGGTTTTGCTGACATCTAGAGTTTGAGAAATCCACAGAGCAAGTGAAGGCACCACACGCCATCGTCCAGCAGGTGGGGATGACTTTTCTCATCTTATCTAACTTGCAGCCTGTCTGAACAATGAGGGGATAAAAATTCTGTGATCAGGTTAAGGCCTCCAAAAACACGCTCAGAATCACAAAAGGAAAATGATGGCGAATACTCAGTAAACCTACAAGAAGATCAAGGAACAATAAGAATTAAATCGGCTCTAAATCTTACATTTACTGATGCAATTTATCTAACTGCCTAGAGGAATGTGAATCATCTCAAATTCAATCGCCCGACATGGTCAATCTCAATAAAGCTTTGGACACTTCCTACAGAGTCCAGCATCTCTTTATTGCCCACCCCCACCACAACCCAGGAGTGGGCAGGACAATTTACTTATATTCTTAAGACTGCATTTGAAGCTGAAAGACTTTTTTTACCTCAAGAGTTCCTTTCCCCATGTTCTCTTTATGTCTTTTTAAATATATGTACACATACGTCTATATACGTGTTTATTTATTTTATCCGGGCTTGCTTTACAATACTGCAAAAGATTTAGGGGAACAGGTTCACACCTCTTCCAATGGATGTTACCCACCACACCTACCACCAGCACCCATAGTCCTTCACCCTAGGCCATCGGGCCCCCTCCTCCCCAACCCACCTTGAGAATTCTTAAATCTGCAGTCATATTTCTAGTGTTTGTTTTGTTTGAGTTTTCTCTGTTCCTTCTTTTCTCTATATTCCACATATGAGTACAATCATCTGGTATTTGTCTTGGGTCAAAAATTCTTATAAGGGAAGTTCGAAGAACATTATAGAAAGACCATTATGTTGTGGGGGAGCCCATAGCACTAGCTTTTTTTTTTTTTTAAGATTTATTTTTATTTATTTGTGCATACAAGAACTGGGGCATATAGGCCAGAGGTGCAGGGGGTGAGAGGATTCACCAGAGACAGAGTGGGAAGCAGAACAGGCAGACTGATCAAAATACACTGCTAAGGGGAGCAGCGTGCAAGCCAGGAGAGGTCTGCTGTGCCATGTGGATTGCTCTCTGGCCCAGGATGGAACTCATACCTCATACCATTTGGCTGTCAATAGCTTGATAGTACTAAGACTTTAACCCCTGAGCCACCAGGGAGGCCCCACAGCACTAGCTTTTACAACCATTTCTATCCTTAGCTTTTCCTCTCCTCTCTGCTTGAGGCTTCTCCCAGCCATGCACCCTGCAGTCTGCATTCCTACAGGGTCTCCTTACTGACCTGTGCATCCCGTGTATGCCAGATCTGCTCTGAAACTCCGTTTTCCTTTGGTTGTCTCATTTCTCAAACAGCTCCGTATTTTCTCCACAAGAAAATAATACTTAATAAGTAGTTAGGAAGATGAAATGGGATGATATTTCTAGAATACTTAGCAGGGTGCCTAGAGCATCTGCTGCCTATGGCATTGGGGACCCACTACTGTTATTAGTCTAATTATTACTTTTAATAACAAGGAGCAAGCAGAGGTAATCCCTTTTTCTCATATATTGTTTTGTTTTCATCATCCTTTGTGCACTTTTAATATTTGCACTGAAGTATGTATTTCAGTATTTTAACCATAATCCCTACATAGTTTCTCCACATTTAAAAAATAAATAGGTTTTAAAATAAGAAAGAATAATGTCCTTAATAAAGTCTGAATAAATATCACTTTAACTAGCTCTAAAGTTCCTGTTGTAACATTAAAATGAGGCTTTCAGATACCAAAAAAAAAAAAAAAAAAAACCCAGAACGTTGATAAAATGCTTCAGTGTTTCACGCCCAATCCCTAATTAATGAGTATATCCACGAGGTGCGAACAACCTCAGGGATTGACTGAGAGCTGGGGAAAGTTGGGGAGAAGCTGCGGGTAGGATTTTTTTTAACTATCCGAAAGCCTCTATATACATCTTGCTTTTTTTCAGATAATGAAAACCACATTGATGAGAAAAGTAATAAAAGATCAAGAGAAGTTTCTTGACAAAATATACACATTAGTAATGTTTAGGGCTAATTTAATTGCTAGTGGAAACGGAGATCTCTATGATAAAAAGTAAATGAATAATATTTATATTTTTAAAAATGCCATGGATAGAAGCGCTATCATTTTAGCTTTCAAAAAAGTTAAAAAAAAATTTTCTTTTAAAATATCTTCAAAGGACAAAAGAAAAAACAAACCATTTTCCTTTGGTTTAGTAACCAAAAATAATAGTTCCAGAATTGGCCTCCCAGACTAGAGTCCTTGATTTCAGTATTTGCTTTCCACTTGATTTTGTGTTGAGTGAGAAGAATATAGTCTTTTAGTTATAGCCATAATTGAAAGACACGAATTGCTTTGAAATCCCAACTCTTTAGAGACCTGGAAGTATTTCAACTTATGGGAAAACCATTCAATGTCGGACCCAATCCTGGTGTGCTGGAGCCAGCATGCACAAACTGGTGAGTGGTGATTTTCTGCATATCTCTCCCAAAATCTGTGTCCAGAGAGAGCAGCAGGCGGATAGCTCAAATTCAACATGATGGGAGCATGGAGATATTTACATCTGAAGACCAGGAAAAGAAAAGACTACAAATGAGTTTTCCTGTTTGTTTGTTTTTAAGAGCTAATTGCTGAACTATTGCCAGCACCCTAACAACCTAAATCCTTGGGTTCTGTAGACTGACTGCTCTGTCAGTACAGGGACCTGGTCTGTTTCCTTAACTACTGTTATCTCTACAGAACAATATACCAACTAGGAACTCAAAGCCTTTTTGTTTAAGTTATGAACAGAACATCCTTGCAATGTATGCAATGAAAAGCTATAATAAAATTCTTATAAGGGAAGTTCGAAGAACATTACAGAAAGACCATTTATCTCGGGGGGGAGCCCATGGCACTAGCTTTTTTTTTTAAGATTTATTTTTATTTATTTATGCATACAAGAACCGGGGTATATAGGCCAGAGGTGCAGGGGGTGAGAGGATTCACCAAATTCTAAAATGAAATTCAAAAATTCAGTTTTTGCTGTCTCTAAGGGCTACCCTGGATGAAATACAATACAAATAGTTCTTTTACAGAGGAAGAAACCAAGGTAGGGTACACTCATTAACTTGCTGGAGGACAAGAAGAATTCATTTCTTAGAACTTTTTATGAAAATGCACTGCCTAGTTGGAGTTAGACCATTATACTGTATGTGCAAATGTACAGAGGCCACGCAAATTAGAGCACCTTCTAGATGATGAAGCAGATATTGTAATGATCAATAAGACAAAAATAAATTGCCTTGATGATCAGTGAATACTGCAGCAAAGAATTAAGAAGACGAATGCGAATCCTTAGGAGACTGACCAAGATAAAATCATCTTGCATTTACAAAGTGCCGTCTCTCCACTGGCACTCTCAATTATTAGAGAGTTTCAACAGAAACAGTTACGGTAAAGGGAGGCATTTTTTTAGTTAGGTACTTAAAGAAGGAAGTATGGAAATAAAGAATGCAGTACCACACATAGTTGTTCCAAACAATGCACACCTACAGCACAGCGAGGGGAGAGGCATGCTGCAAAGCAGAGAGCAGGACCCACAGAAACTCAGATGCAAAGACTCCAGACACCACAGCAAGGACCTCACAGACAAAGCATGCCTCCCCAGAACTCCCACATGCCCAACGACACGGCACTCAGGCCAAACATCTTGGAGAACCAAGATTAAGAAAGCAAGGATTCCTAAGGCCATCAAAACCCAGAACGTGTAGTCTGGGACTGCTATAGTTTCTCGAAGCTCAAAGATGATAAAGCTTATGAAAAATCATTTGCTGGCCTCAAGAGTTGCAAGGGAACTAGATTTGATTTTTATTCCTGTACTATAAAAATATAAAACCCCAGAATTAAACAGAGAGAAGATAAAATACCCCCAAAGGACATTGTCTACCATCCACGGACTTCTTATACAACAAATTTTATATTACGGAAATGTTTAATGTTGTGCTGAAATCTATGATCATCCAAATCAACCCAGAGAATGGCAATATTGAAGTACTAGCTTAATGTTTAACCAAGTAACCATATGTTATTTCAGTAATATTATCAAAAGTTAAGAGTAACTAAGCAATTTTCCCCACTTAAAAGTGGATAAATAATGACACCCAGGAGTTAATTCTGGACATAGGTATGATTATTAATGTAAGTTCAGACAGAGAAGCACACTGCCCATATCATACAGTTAACTGGCAAGTAGAAGAAGCAGGATTTGAAATCGGTGGGCCTTCAGAGTCTGTTGTACTCTCTGCCCATCTTACTGTCTAATTACAGAAATTAGAGTATATAGAAATTCAGTATGCTATTCCGCTCAACAAGTTTGAAATGAATGAAAGGCACCACTTCTTCCCAAGATGACAGGAGTAAAAGTGCAACATAACAACTGTCCTTTTCTTCAAAAAGACAACAGCAATTCTCCTGCTATGTAGCACAGCACAGCTGATTAAGAAGATGGTTTAGGAATATAGAAGTTAGGAGCAAAAGATTTTCAAATGGATTAAAGTATTTTCTGTTACCATTTCATAGTTTTCTATATCCTACTGAGTTTGGGTTCTTGATAATTACAACTAATCAAATCAGAGATGCATAAATCCAGTCTTTGATCTTTGCTCCCAGAAAAACAATCAGTGGTAACTTGCAAACCTGCCACAGAGGGGCCACCATTCTGTTTCTCTGGGCATTTATGAGCAAATATTATCTCTACTATATGATATGGAGCCTTTAAATATTGCATGAGGTTTACATCCAACCCAAGAAAATAATTTCCTTGAAAATGCATGGCCTGTGTTGAAGGACTGCTAGAACAGGTGCTTTCTAAAAGAAGACAAAAAACAATAATGGTAGGAAATTGAAAGAACAGAGACACTCACCCTAGTTTTGGCATCGATCTGACCACCACGATCCAGTAAGAGCTTCACCATGTTTGTGTTTCCCCTTTTGGAAGCCACATGCAGAGGAGTGATTCCATTCTACACCATGGAAAGACCAAACAAGAGCAGGTTGGGTATGACAGGGCATGGCAGTGATGGCTCAGAGGGGCACAAAGGAGGTGGAGACCTATGTGGTCCCCTCATCCAGGGTTTCTATGGTTTCAGTGCCTTTGAATTTTAAGAAACAAAACAGCACACGAACCACAAAGCACTAGAGTTAGAGAATGGAAAACGGAATGAAACTGCATAACTAAGTTAGTCCAAAGCTACAACACAGGTAGTGATGTACACAGTACGTCCACAGACAGAGGGAGCACTTTGGGGTCATAGAAAGGGAACTTCGGATGCTACCTAAGCTAGGGCTGTAGTTCAAATTCTTACTTCTTTCTACAACACCATGCATTCTGAAGCTTAAAAATAGAATACATAACATATACAAAACATTTTCCATTGGAAAATGGAAAAATGATCTTAAAGAAACTGTCTTCAGAATAGTGCTGTACAGAAATAACATAGCTGCAGTTTAGAAGACTTCAAAAAGAAAAAAAATCAAAATATGTGGATTCAATTTATTTTATTAGCCATCATCAGTAGGGCAAGGATATGTCCGTGATTTTTTGAATGTCATCATCTTGGAAATACTCAAACATTGCATTAACTGATTCTTTTTAAGTATACTGAGTTTTATAATTATCATGTAAGTGAATTCTTCCAATAAAATCAAACTATTAAACATCTAACTCAATGTTTTCTTTAGGTATTTTGGCAAGACTTCTTTTCACCAACTAATTCCCAATTCATTAAAAGAAAATTCCCTGTCAAATTGTATGCCTTATAATCACTGTTGAGACATTGTATAAATGTGCTTGTACATTTTATACTTAACATTTGAACAGTTTAATTATTTATTGATTTGTAGCTGCTCATTCATGATTCATGGCATGATTACACATAACAGCTCATAGTTATGTCAAAATGAATAGCCTCCTTAACTACTGTAAATGATTCCTATGTGTGTGAATTTACAACATTCTGAATTTTCTCTTGGGTAGTGATGATTTCCTGCATTTCAAAAAAAATGGAAAATCCTCTATCTTCAGCACAGATCTAGGTAAGCAAAAAAGGGAAACCTTTACTGGTGCTTACTTGTTCTTTAGTAAATTGCCCACGTACTGCCATCTAAAATGAGAAGCAATTTTAATCCATACCCTGGCTGTGAAGTCCACAGCAGCTCCTCGGTTTAGAAGAAGCGTCGCCACATTGACATTTCCATAGTGGGCTGCTATGTGCAAAGGGGTGAAACCACTCTATGGGAAGCAAAGAAAAGGGGAGTCAGTAAATTACCTTCCCTCCATGCCACAGTCACTAGATGAGTGAAGAAATCACATGGTGATTGTCAAGCTAATGTACAAGCAATGCCATTCAGATGATAAATGCTGCAAATAAGACTCCTTATATATCTATCATATGGCAATAAGGTAGTAAATACATATATAAAGAGGTAACTAAATAGCCTATACTTCTTGGTAATATTATTTCTAATGTCATCAACAATTTATCTATTCAGGGGACCCGTTGTTTATACAATACTATGTTTCTAGAAATGGTTAAGTTTTAGAGAAAAAGGAAATAGTATTTAACAACACAAGGTTTCACCCATAGGATTAATAGCATTAGGAAAAAAAAGTGTTTTCTCTGTAGATTGATTCAAAACCACTGTTTTTTTTTTTTTTTTCTTTTAATGTAAAACAGCACTTGGCTGGCATTTTGTCTTTGGAACTATGAAAATATTGTGAGAGACTTGTGCACAGGCTGTACAGTTCATTTTACATAGTTTATACAATCAGGATATTTCCATCCTCTGTGCATTCCGTCAGACTTTGTCACTACAATAAAAAAAAATTAAAATGAAGTAACATACTTGGCATCACTGTGAACATAAAGGAAAAAAGTCAGCTGCCCCTAATTTTAAATGCTAACTAAACATAATTTTATAGATAGAACAGAATGTGATTAAAACAAGCAGTTTAATCAACCATACGGGCAGCAAAATGTGTTTAGTTTAAGAATTCCAACAATTTTAATTGAAAGAAAAGTATATTTCATTTTCTTTTAGGTAAAAATTTAGAAATTTTGGTTGTTTTCACAACAGAAGCATCATCCAGTCTTTTCTTATTAGCGAATGCAAAGATGTACTATCTTTGCTTTCCACAATTTTAAAAATTTATCAGATAATAGAACCAATAAAGGCTCTTCACTGACCACCATATCTTTCAATTTTGAAATTATTTTGCATTGGTCTCTTGCATTTGGGGAAAAAAACACACCTTTGTTTTCAAGAAATAGTATCTAGATCACAACCACAATTTTTTAAATTCATTTGGTATGTGTTTTGTTAACTTTCTTTTAAAAGTGCCCTAAATAAGCATTCAGGTACCTTAGGAAACAAAAACTCCTCTGTGCTATCAGCACAACTAGCTGAAAATAATTTATGACTGTGGAGAGTGAGACACAAAATCAGAATAGTAACTATCCTTCCAAACCCAAATGTGGTGAAAATATTTTTGTTTGGTGCCTACGTGCTTCCAAATATTCAAGTCAAATGGAGGGGAACATCAATCTACAACGCGGCTGTGATTTAATAAAATGTCAATTTTTTATATTTTGGGAAATAATTGACTGAATGTTTTTTTATTTTTATCTTGGTATTTCCTGTCACTGAGACATATCCTGAGTGTGCATCTATTATTCAAGTTACAATTTAATTTCAAAAAGGCAGGGTGACTGCTGGTGAATCATTTTCCAATTATTCATGTGTAATATTATTATCTTTCTCATTTGCAAAAATAAACTAATTCACTGTCTGCCACAGCCTCACAGCCATCCATGGAGATGCCTCAGGCTGTGGCTATTGGATCAACCAGAGGGACGAGAAACAAAGCCCTCAGCGGAAGTCCCCCTGGTTAGCATGGGGGGAATGCTGAGGATCACTGTCCAGGATTACAATGGAGGACATTCCCCTGTTTGTGTCCCCCAAGAAATATTTCCACCTTACATGAATCTGTCAATTCTGTAGCTGCAAAAGTGCTGTTTTCAATGCAATGTTTGGAGCCAATATTGCTATCAAAAATGTATCTTAAGCAGTCACTAAAAAGCACTAAAATATCAAAGACAATAAATCAGTCATGAAGATATCAATTTGTATGATCCAGTCTTGAATAATGTGCCAAGCAGCTGGGCCTTTAAAAAAAAATTTAATTTAGTTTCTGACTAAATCTGTTCCATGCAGAGATAAGTAACAAAGAAAAGATATAAATAATTCAAATCTGTTCACTTCTCAAGGTGTCAATTTGTTAATAAACAAGAGATTTATTTTTAAAATGTACTACTGTCAGTAAATACTAAATGTGAATGCTCCAGAAATCCACAGGTTCACAGCCCAGTCATCACAAAAGCAAAGCTAAAATGGCCCTCCATCAATAGTCATTTGCTTTTGAATATAGGTTAATTTTTATAATACACTTTCAACAATATGTGAGTTAATGACAGTCTCTCTGCAACAACAGCCAAGGAGAGACTACTTACTACACACACTCACACAGCACTCATACCACACACACCCTACACATTCACACACTCTCACACACCACATACACCCCACACAGCCCATACTGACAGCCTTCTGAATTGAACGTTTTTGTTGACTGATATCACTAACTTTGGTGTTTGAAAAATAGATTTCATGATAATTAATATAAAACAATCAGACAAAAGCACCTGCTTTATTTACAGCCTGTCTGATATCATTATTGATTACATATAATGCGGTAAGAAAAATACAGAAAATATAAAGAACCACTATGACTAAATAAAAGGACAAAAGGCTGTCCAAGAAACCACCCTCACTTTTTGCTTTATAAAACTCTGATCTGAGAATTGTCATTTAATGGAGATGGTATCTATCTCCTGCAGGCAAAAATTAACAGCAAATCTCAGTGAGTGAAATATATATGAAAAAGTCGTTTCATGCTATATTCTAATAGCTATGCAAACAGTTTAACTGATTAAATAATGCTTCATATACATGGTACGTTAAATAACTTTGCATTACCCATTTGTCTTACTTATGGGAAAACTTTCCAAATTAATGTCCTAATAATGGAAGTCCCAATCATTAGTATGAATTAGTGAGCATTTATGCTATATGGGCAAAAAAAAAAAAAAGTTAAAAAAAAACAAGGTATATTTTGGTATAACAATACCGTACCTCGGTTGTCCTATTCACCATCATCTGAAGCAGTGTGGTGTGGGAAGAAGAGGGAAAATATTACACAGTGAAAGTCAAGGAAACAGTCCGTCTGCTCCATGCAACCGAATACACTGCTCCCACCTGCCCAAGTGCCTCTACTGAAAAGCCAGCCTGAAACCAGGCAACAAAATACTAGCCTCCAACTTCGTTTCTATTATTTTTGGCTATAGATAAAAGAGCAGATTTCTACAAAGCAGACCCTTAGCGTTTAAAGAAAATGATCTTTAATTTTTTTGGTTCCTGTGCTCCATAGTTCGTCCCCTTCTTCCTGAAATACCCGCTTGGGTCATTTATCTCTGCTGGTGGCCAGCGGTGATTGGCATGATCACCAGGGCCTACGAAGTCTGTGTGGCCCCCCCAGGAGGAAGCTGGGCTGCAGCGCCTTCCTGCACGCAGGCTCAGCTTTTACCTTGGACTGCACATCCGCATTGTGGTCGTTCTGAAGCAGGAGGGCAGCTGACTTGGTGTCATCCTTCCTGGCTGCGATGTGCAGGGCTGGCAGCCTCACCTTCCCTTTGGTGTCATTTTCCAACAGGATGGCTACCGCCTGGTTGTGTCCTTGCTGGAGAGCCACAGCCAGGGGCGTAAAACCATCCTGCAAAACAGACGAAGGGAGAAGCTTCCATTTGGTCCAGAGATGGAGGTTTAGCCACTTGAGTTTATAATATTCAACCAGGAAAAACTGATTAGTTATCTACTTGTTTTTATTTATTTTACTTTATTATTTCATTTTATTTTTTCTTTTATTATTTTTATTACTTTTCTAAAACCATGTAAATAGCATGTTCTTTTCTAAAAATATTTTATTTTCATTTTTTCTTTCATTATTTTCTTATATTACTTTTCTAAAAATATGTAAATAACATGTACTTTTCTAAAAACAAGTAAATAACATCTAAAAACATGTAAATAACATGTTTTTGGAAAAGGACCAATAACGGATATATACTTATCTAAATTAGTATTCAAAACCTCATATGATTTACTTGCAAGAGTCACATTTCAGTATGGAAAACAGAGAGGAATTAAATTTTCTGTGTACATGAAGGTATATTTTGGGATCCAGAAAGAAATGTTACGGAGGTACAGACTGAAGGCGCTTTGAGACAGCTGGGAAGGCCAGTGAGCTGAGTTTCCCAAACCACACACTAGAAATGTTAAGTCTACTGTGTGAGTAGAATCACTCTCTAGTATAAAGGATTCTTTAAATAAATGATAGTTGAAAACAATAATATCAAACACATGACACTGCTTTCAAGGAAATAAAATGAAATAAATGCAGCCTTCTTATATTGGCACATTTCTCAGAAGGGCTGAAGCAGAGATTTAGTCTCATATTGTTATCCAAGCTTTGCCTAAAGACATCCACACTACTCTTTGACAGAATTAGTCCAGAAAAAAATGGCCCGTGTTATACAAATCACACTGATCTCAGGGGGTAGGAGAAAAAAAATCAGTGCACGCAGAATAAAGAACTTGAAACCATTTCATCCTTGGCAGATGCATTTTCCAGTGACAAGCAGGAAATGTAGTCCCATTAGTAGTTATTTCTGTTAACTAATGAGAATAAACTATCAGAACGTTACTGGCTCCATAGAAGTTTTTCTCGAAAAACAAAACAAAACAAAACACAAACAGTTTACTCCCAAAGGGAGTGTAAATGCATTTACAACATTATTATGACCTCTCCTCCAAATGTACGGTAGAAGGAGTTTGTATTTATTTCACCTAAAGACTTAGTTGTCAAGAAAGGAAGTCAAATAGATATTAAAAGTTATCAAGCCAGTTTCTGGGGGACAAACCTCTCTGCCATCTTTCACTGGAGGCCAGGATTTTTACACATTTATCAGAGGGACTTCAGAACAGGAAGCAGGGAACAACAAAGCCTGCATACCGTGGGTAAAAAAAGCTGAGGGGAGCCTCCTTCCTCTCCCCCCAAAGTTTCCCACACCCAAGCTTTCCATGGCTGCTGAGGCCTTCTCTCCAAGCTCAAGGGTTTCTGGAGAATCACTTAAAAATCACTGTTCTACACAACCGCTGAACTTCTTCTCCAAGCTGCCTAAGCAAAAATGAGAAGAAAATTGAAAACAAGTCGGTTTACTGGAGAACACTCAGAGGAAAGAGAAAGCCGTGTTCTAAGTTGTCCATTCCAGCCTCTTCTTCTGTCTAGATGACCCAAATGCTTTCAGGTTGGATTACTTTTATTTCTTCTTTGTTGTTTTTTTTTTTTAACTGTGAATTTTTAAATTAGCTACTTCATATGATGCTTAGTTGTAGAACCACCAAATCTAATTCAGCCTCTTTGTGTTACCGAGATAAATTGAGGTCTGTAAATGCATCTTCTTTCCACAGGGCCCAAAGGTGTTTTATGATTATCCTCAATGAGCAATGCAATGCTGGTGACATAATGGGAGACCTATACCTTCCTCTAAATCCTTCCTTTGGGTCCAAGAGGTCTCGTCCAAAGAGAAAACTCAGGGGAAAGGCTACTTATCCAGGGCACTTATTGGGGGCAGGATATGCACGGAAATAAATAGGAGAGAGAAACCAAACCAGAAAGCCAGTAATGTTCCCTGTATGAACAGCTCTGGGTCTTCACAACTGGGCAATAATTTTGGTCTTCAGGTTCATTGTAAAGACATTAGAGCTGAACAAGATACCGGCACTAGGCCAGCACATCCAGGCCCCCCTCTCTGTGTGGGAGTGTTTGCATTTAGTCTTTGGTAATCCTAACTTTGGGGGAGGAAAGAAGTTGCCAGTAAAGCGACATAGATTGAAGGTTCTAGCAGCTGTGGCCACATCGTTCTAGCAGCTGTGAGCATACAACTACATGTCATTCTATGTGCCTAGCAAACAGAGCAGCTTTTCAGTGACCCATTCCTCATGAAAGTGTGTAAATACAGACACCTCTGATAATTTCTGGTGATCAGAAATGATTCCTTTAAGGGACTGATATAGATCCTAATAAAGATCAAATAGTGTTAAAAAGAGACAGGTAGAATTTACTCTAATCTAATTTCAGAATAATATAAAACTCCCATAGTCAGAACATGGCAAAATGACAGAAGCACAATTGCATGTGCGAATAAATTGGTATTAGCACCAAATCAAGGCAACTCATTGAGCTGTTAGCACTGGGTTCATGGCTGAGATTGCAGAGTTCAGTAGCAACATGATTGTTTCCAGCATATTTGATAGGAGGTACCTGAGATCCTTTGCAGCTGGCTTAAAGAAGATGGTCATTACAATTAAAGATTTTGAGCATTTGGGGTTGATAGTCTTACCTCAGTGGCGGTGCTCTGGTTAGCTCCATTTTCCAACAAATATTTCACAACATCGATGTGGTTCTCTTGGGCAGCCATGTATAAGGGAGTGAAGCCATTCTGAGGGCAAACAATGAAAAAGTTATCCTCCATCAGTGTGAAGATTAAACCAGGGAAAATACAAGTCAGGAAAAGAGCAAATACCAATGAAGTAAAATCTTTGAAATTCAGAAACATAGACCTTCACATATACAAATTAATTACTATAGCACTAAAAAAAAATCAAAGGAACCAATTCCCACACACAATTCCTAAAAGAATAAGGAAAAAGATATGTAGAAAAATATTTCCTTCATTTCCTGTATTTATTTCAGGACCAGAGATTCACATTTCTCATCACTTAACACTACGTTAAAACTAAAGATATTTAGTACCTTAATAGCTATGTTATTCGACAATATAAAAGCCCATGTAATGTTTACATAATATATTCAAACTTCTCAATTCATAAACAACTTCAACAGCCAGCATTATCTTGAATGCACACAGTTTTAGTTAACACCCTTAACTCTGTAAATTACTGCTCAGATTGCAAATCTTGTTAAAATTTTTAAAAATTTCCATTTCTTTATTTTACTTAATTGGTGTGACAAATCAGGGAGTGGCTATTACAGATGAACTACTAAAAATTACTTATACTTACCAGTATCTTAGTTCATTAAGAACTCTAAAAAGAACTATACAGAGGTAAAACATGAAAAATTTCTGTATCTATGTTATTTCTCAAAGATTAGTATTTCAACTTTCTGGCTGAGGTACCATGGTTTATATTGAACACCTTTATATTATTATTAAAATACATTCCGAAATTCTATCATACATTCATTACCACATTCATGTATTCAATTATTTACTAAAATGCAACCGCTGGAGCTGGGCCATCACAAGGACACAGTTATGAACAAGACAAACATCTGGGCTCAAAAACATATATTACTGTAATATAATATCATCATGGAGCCATAGTGAAAAAAAAATCACTGATTCTATAACAAGTCTAAAACTAAGTTTAAATTGGCAAATTTTCCTCTCATTAGGTCTTTGTAATATATAATGACTCATTAAGGAATAACTCTCAAAATATTTTTAAAAAGAAAAACTTTTCCTTTGTTTTTACTTAATTTACTTAATTATAAGTTTACATAATTTAATGTTGAATGATTTTTCTTAATTGGCTCATAACATTCCTTAAAATTTACTTTTTTATGTATCCCTTTTTAATTATTTTTATTTTCTTACATCATTGTTCATTTTTCTACAATACTTGATTTCTCCCCTCAGCTGAGGTCCCCCTAAATCTCCCACCACCACAGCACCCGTGACCATCACCATAGTCTCCTGCGCTCTCCCTTCTCGTGTATTAATCCCTCTCTCTCCCCCTCCCTGCTGTATGCCTCAGATCTATAGTTTGCCTGCTAGTCTTGTCTTTTTTTTTTCTTGCACCCTTTGTTCACTTTACCTATATTCCTCCTATAAGTGAAATCATCCAATAATTTTCTATTCTTTTTTTTTAAAGATTTATTTTTATTTATACAAGAACCGGGGTACAGGCCAGATGTGTGGGAAGGTGAGAGGACTCACCAGAGACAGAGTGGGGAACAGAAAAGGCAGACTGACTGAAATACACTGGTGAGGGGAGCAGCGGTTAAGACAGGAGGGGTCTGCCGTGCCATGTGTGCATCTCCCTGACTGGCTGAGAATCGAACCTGCGCTGCAGAGGCTGTGGACATCACAGCACTGCGCTCAACCGCCTGCACCACTGGGGAGGCCCCCAATAATTTTCTTAAAGAGAAAATTCTGTAAAATAATTCAGAAACTCTCAAAACCCAATTAATTCTCTCAAAACCACATTAGAGTCCTACACATATTCGACTCCCTTAAAAAAAAATCCATGCATTAATGAGAAGAAGTGAAAACAAAGATAAAACTTTGGGGATTTTCAAAAATTTAAAAGGAAATGAAAACAGCTTTTGGGAAAATTCTGTATATGTTGTATAAGTGTGGAAAGATTCTTCCTAATGGCCAAGATCCAGCAAAATAGAATATAGAATGTATGAGTAGAACAAGAAAAGTAATTTTAAATTTGACGATAAAAGAAAATCTGGAGGCTTCAAATGGTGGGAGAAAATTTAAAACTAAAAAGAATTACAAGAGGAATGATTTTGCAATTTTTATAGGACTTGGGAATAACTTGCGAGCTGGGTAGCATCTTCCTTAAAACACAGCAAACAGGTGAAATCTTGTGTATTTTAAGCACACTGAAGAGGTGGCGGAAGGATGGAATTAGAGCTTCAGGGGAAGGGAAAGCCAGTGAGGATGGTTAAAAACAAGAGTGGGTGTGGAATGGGCTCCTTCATGACAAGAAAAGGCCAAAAAAAAAAAAAAAAAAACAGAGAGAACAAGAACTTGTAACAGAGCAAAACAATGTGCTAACATGTTTTCCTCTGACAGATCTTATACACAGAGCAAGAGAAAAGGGGGGCCTGCCCTGAGTGTTGAAGTTCAGAGTGTTCTCCTCTAGCCAAGCATGGCAGGGGGCTCAGGGCTTCAGAGGACAGGCTCCCCCCAACCCCGCATCCTGCCGTTCCTCTGCTCCCTGAGGAGCCATGCAGCCACCCAGAACCCTTGCCTAAGTGACCCCAGATATGGTTCTACTCCCTGCTCAGACTTCTTTCTGGGGTTTGTCCATTTGTGTTTCTTAAAATAATTGCCCCCAAGTCTGATCCAGTCTTAATCACTGAAACCTATAAATGTTACTGTATGTAGAAAAAGGAACTTTGCAGATGCCATTAAGTTAAAATATTGAAGTGGGGAGATTATTCTGGATTATCTAGGTTTGATGTAATCACAAAGGTTTTATAAATCAGAGGCAGGAGGTCAGAGAGAAGAGAAGGTGCTACCTTGTTGGCTTTGAAGATGCAAGAAAACAAAGACAAGATCACTGAGAAACAGATTCTCACTCAGAAGCTCCAGAAGGAACCAGTAATGTGAATACCTTGGTTTTCACCCTGTGAGACTGATTTCAGACTTCTAGAATGTTAAACCAATAAAGATGTGTTGCTCTAAGCCACAGTACCTGGGGTGATTTGTTACAGCAGCAGCAGGAGGTATAGGATGACCAGAGCTTGGATGTGCAGTCTGGAGTGTGCACACCTGCGCAGGTGCTGCTTCGGGGTAAGGATGGAGTCAGGGATTGGGCGGGGTGGGGGAGCAGAGAAAAGAGGGGCCAGCTGTGGTCCAGGGTCCCAAGTAAGCACTCCCCTGAGCCACAATCCTGCATGAAACAACAAGAATGCTCAGAAGTCTAAATTTGTATTGTGATGTTGTAGAGATGTATTTGCCAAGGTACGAGGATGGGAGATACTTATTTCATAGCTTGTTGGTTTGATATAGTTTTTCATTTAAAAAAAAATTGAGAATCCCTTTTGCACTCTTGTACTGGGCTCTGCAAATGGTACTGGTGAGCCAGAGTGGTCGAAATGGACGGGAAAAAATATCAAGGCTGACAATGTGGCGTCTAGAGGGGGGACTTTCAGTGTCAGACACATGCGCAGAACCTTGGTTAGAATGCACCCTGAATATATGTGTGTACCACAGCCTGTCTCACAGCCTCACTGTGCAAAGGCTTCCAACAGAGGGGATGCAGAGAAAAAGAACAATAAAGATGTAATGGATTTATGAGCATCTGCTATATGTTCTTCGCTGTGAGAAACACTTTGAACACATTTGCCTCATACTACCTGACCACACAGCCCAGTTCACCTGGGACGAGATTCATGCAGTGTCCTGGAGCTTGGATGCTTCGGCTTATACGATACATTAAATGGCCCAATGCGATCTCCAACATGGAGAACAGTGCTGCAATGTGGTGTGATTAGCCCTGTTTGAACAGAGGCAGGTGAGGCCAACATCTCACAGCTAATATGTGACCGGGAGTTGACAGAGGGGAGCCAGGTCATGAAGAACCCCCTTCATTGCAGATGTGAGGTCCTCAGGGTGAATGTGAGGCACCCTCTCCTGGGGAGAGTAGGAAGATGCCTGGGGCCTGCGCTGCCCCCGTGAAACTTGAGTCTCCTGGTATAAAGACAGAGCACGTGCACTATTTTTAAAAGTCCTATTTTTGAAACGACCTTCAGGACTCTTCATAGGTGATGCAGAGCCATGGAACAGAGCAATGGACAATATGGAGCTGGGGGTGCTGCAATCCCTTTGCCCTTTCAGAACATTCACTCTAGGGACCACAGAAGCCCTGCTTTGGGGCAGAAGGACACAGAATAGAACTAAAGGATTAACTGGTATTGGCAATATTTGCACTGCTGTCTTTAAAAATTAAGGAAACACAAGACCAAGACAGCACCTTAGCTAGAAGAGGGAGAGAGTTTTTTGCTCTTATCAAATGTGTGAAGGAAAAAGGCAATCAACATTTATTATAGGCCCTAAGGAGGTGGGAAATTATCCTTCCTTAACCTACTGATGCTACTTAACAGGACACAGTCCCAGAGAATGAGACTCACGCCTCTGGCTATCGGGATGGGGTATAGTAGCTCTTTGACCCTGTTGTAACTTTTTATAGCAAAGCCTTGATCTTCACACATAAATAGGCAAACAGCACAGGATTCCTTTAGTTATACAAGAACTGGAGTACAGGCCAGATGTGCGGGAGGATGAGAGGATTCACCAGAGACAGAGCGAGGAGCAGAATAGGCAGACTGATGAAATACACTGCTGAGGGGAGCAGCAGGCGAGACAGGAGGGGTCTGCTGTGCCATGTGGGTATCTCTCTAGCCAGCCAGGAATCGAACCCGTGCTGCAGAGGCTGTGGACATCTTCACAGCACTGCGCTCAACCACCTGCACCACCAAGGGCCCCAGGTGACTCTTAATGGTACCATATCAGGACAATAGGATGATGAAATACAGAGATTATATGCCCAGGTTACACTGGAGGGACAGTGGGAAGACACTGGGTGTGATCTGGCTTGAACTGAGTCACAAAAAGAGGGAGGCAACGCACAGAAGTAAGAAAGGTGTTTCCAAGAGCAGAACCCCAGGACCTGTCAC